AAATAATTATCTAAATCTTCTGAATCCTCTGAAATTCGAATTTTAAACTAATTGTTTTACACTCACTTTTTCAACATAATTACCAAAATTTCTCATGACAATAAGAATTGAAATTTCTTTCGTAATTTGTCCTCCAATTTCCAGTAAAAAATTCCTGATCATCGAACCCCAAAAAATAATTAAACATCAGAGTACATAAATTGAATTGAACATTAATGTGAGTGTACCGAGAGATCGATGAGTAAAATTAGTCACCACGTGGATTTATTGTGATGACATGGAGAATTTTTGTGTTCCCAACAAGTACTGAATTGGCTGACAGTCCAATTGACACAAGTTGGCACCAGTTGGCACCAGTTGACCCGGTCGTACGCCGGCGTTGTCATGACTCCGGGAGTCATTGGGCTTACGAGCTTGTTAAATGCCAGAAGGCTGAACCCCAGTGGGTGACCTGACCCCTGACCCCGCTGTTCACTCCAAACATTACCCTCCAAACCCTATCTCAATGCCCTGCGCTCTTCATCCCAATCTCAATGGCTCCTCCACCGGTTTATGTCTCGCTAACGCACGCGCCTTTTATCAACCGATACCACTAACTCCTCCTCAAACATTCACCAAATTGATTCGGTTTATCGTACCAATGACAATGCCTCACTCACAATTCAATGATTTTTATCCCTCATCTATTTATTTTTATATTCAATACTTGAAAAACAAAAATTTTTCTGCGAAATAATAATTTTCCAATTTTTCAATTGAGATATATTATTTTTTATCAACCACTCGATTGTTTATCATTTAAACATTTTTTGAGACCAAAAATTTAAAAATCGCTTGACCGTTTTTCGGGGAATAATTATAAAAAATTGATTAATTAATATATAATAATTGATGCATCAATGGTATTGATGTTTAATTGAGTTTTTATATGCGCCATATTTTAAAAAATCGATGAATTTTTGGAAAATTTCACCCTTTGGGGGCTGCGATGAGATATTGGTAATGCGCACTCGACCTCAAAAGGCATAAATGTAATTTCCACCATTACGGGAATCAATTACCGAACGACAAAGTGTACTCGAGACACGCAAACTCGATTATCGACGGGGCTTTTGAGTATCAGAGGGAACGCCCTTTGCCTGTTCATCTAGTCACACCTATAGTCCCTGAATTTTCTGGCACGAAACTACTAATTTACCCCTGATGTTATTCAACCAGTTGATCTATTAATTCAATTCCCTTTTGATAAAAAAGATAATGAATTTTGATTAGCCATCCAGAAGACAATTCAGAATAAAAATAGAGAAATCCTATCATAATAGCAATTACTCTTAAATTTCTTTAAATAATTTCCGTTTGGATAAATGAATAAAAATGAGAAAATTGGTGAAAATTCTCTGTTTTCTCCATGACCATTTCACTTTGGAAAATGGCACCCAGACTCCATGAAATTTCAATTTTTCCCGACAGTGCACTCCTCGCTTTTCCACAAAAGCAAAAGAAAGGCATTATTCCATTTATTCTCGTGAGGATAAACGAGAAAAGATTGAAATTCCCTGCTGGTGGATTCTCCACTACATCCTCAAGTTTTTATTCCATCCGACTTTTTAGTCTGTATAGCAACTTTTCCACAGCCCGGGAAATGAAAGTCCCCACGAGGAGCTAAACTTCAGTAATGAAGGCGATGTTGAGTGTTTACTTGGTGCATTTGCCAGGGAAATTCAAGGAAGCGTGAGAAAAGAACTATACGGTGGTAATCTACGTAGGGGATAGGATAGCAACACTCTTTTTTTATTCAAACAAAAAGAAAAAAAATAATAATGAAGTAAGTTTGAAGGGCTTCTGAGAGCACCTCTCGACTTTGTGTGGATTTTTGTCGTGTGAAAAAATCTGGGGAGAGATATTAGAGTTACCTTCAGAGAGGAAAATCCTTCAGGTCTTTTTATTTTAGTTCTTTGTGGAACGATTAAGTTTTGGGTGGAATAATCCTGGGAATATTTGCCTCGGTGAATATCCTGGGAGACAAATTAATCCACCTGGTGGGATTTATTATTTGTATCAATGGAATTGTTGAGGATTTTTGGGAATTTTCATTGAATTAATTCGTTTAAATTTCATTGCTGTTTTGTTATTGAGTTTTTAATCCATTACGATCAAGTATTTAATTGAAAAATTCTCGAGGTCTTTAATTTAAATTCCTTGTTGATCGTTTTATTTCTTGATGAATAATCGTGGGACTATTTTTCTCGCTGGATCTTGGGGGAAGGCAGATTAATCCAGCTGGTGGGTTTTATTATCTGTCTCGATGCAAATCAAGTAGTTAAGAAGTTTCGAGGATTTTAATCGAATTAATTCACCCAATGAGAATAAAAAAAGTTTTTTCAATCCCCCAAAATGATCTCCCAATCCATTTAATTAGTTTCCAGTCCTTTAAGCTCAAAATAATTCTTCATAACCCAAATAAATAACCTCGAGGTACTCTCCAATTGTTCACATCAATTATTTTCATTCCACCCAATTACCCGAGCCCTCCATTGACAAATCAACGAATCAAGACTTTCAAATAGTTGAAAAAAAAAGGAATTACCCCCAAAAAAAATGTAGACGAGTGAATGAACCCGCATGGGGTACGATAATAATCGATTAAACTCCAACCGAAGAGATTATTTCACTGGACCAGTGAGCACTAAAGTCAAACAAAATCGGTGAAAACAAAAAGAAAAAATAAAACCAGAGAGAGATAGGAGAGAAGGGGAACAAAGTCTCGGGGGACAGATTAGGCATCGATCCGGTAATTGCACCCTTCTCTTTTATTTTTCATTTGCTCCCCTCCATCTTTCACCCCTTAAACCACCCAACCACCCACAAATCTCCCAATGGGGCCGAGAAATTGGGGAGAATGGTGCGATCGGAAAGGCACCCCCGGGAAATAGTTATAACAGCACTGGTCTGTGACACGAACCTTTTTATTTTCATTTCGCATACATATTTTTTTACGTATTCTCTCTGGACTCTATATTTTCATGAGTCGCTCGATACCACCAGTAATTGAATAAACACGAGCTTTTGTTGCCCAAAATCCAGTTAAAACTCCCGGGTTTTCAGTTATTCAACCGTTGCGTACATTTTTTTTAATAAACGCTGAGGATTCAAATAAAAAAAAGATTTCAAGTCTTTCCGCGAAAAATATAGAAGAGAAAAATTATTATTATTAATATAAATTGTTCTGTGGGTGGAGAGGTGGGCACTTGCAAAAAGCAAAAAGGGGAAAATGGTGGGTTAAACGTGACAATTCAATGATTAATTCAATCAGTATTATCGTTTGCATATTACTGCTCTCGATTTTATGAAATTCATGAGGAACGGTGAGGAGATGGAGATCGGTTGAATCCTTCTCACCATTTAACCACAGGAACAATGAGATTTCATGAGACTGCGAATTCCCAGTACCACTCAAACAAATTAATATGGAAATTTCACTTCCACCTGCGAATCCCCAAGCGTTTAAATCGTCACTTTTATGCATTCCCTTATTTCCCCCTTTATTGATCCTCCTTCGGTTTTTAATGAATAACGGGTTCTGTCTGCCTCGAATAATTATTTCCCTTTGTTTCCACCGATGAGAAAGCTCCCTGCGCATAATAGCAGTCAATTCGATATATTTTCCAATTTATCAAAAATCGAGTATTCATATATTTAAATATTTGACTTCTCAAATTAATCTGAAATTTCATTCATTTCATTCATTCATCTCTGCAAATTGAGATGATAATTTCTGACAGTTAAATCAGGAAACCCGAGAAGTTAATTCCTCCTCAATTAATTATCTCCCTCCACCCCATCCAAAATTCCCAATCCTACGATTTAAAAAAAAAAAATGTGATGAACCGGAAATGCTTATCCCTACTTAGCTGTATAATAATTTGGTGTACGTGTTGGGTGCAGTTGAATTTTTCTATAAATATTGGAATAGCAGTTTGCGCCTTGGTCTCTCATTCTTTTCAAATTTCGTGTCTCACTCGGTGGTTATAGGGTGGGTGTTGCCATGGCAACCGACTGTAAGCCGCTTAAATCCCAAACCCCCAGACCACGGACATTCGCGAACACCCCATCACCACTTTTCACCCCTCGAACCCCTCCCACCCCTCACACTCCTACCGACCCCCGCATGCCCCATCCCACCTCATTCCACCCCCTCACACCCTCCCTTTGCCGAATCACTCCTCCACCCCCCGACGACAAAAAAAAAATATCCCAACCCCCACTGGTTCTTTCACCCCTCTCATTTTTTTTATAATGAATTTTCTGGATTCATTTCTGCTTTTGCTTTTTTCATTTTTCGCCAGTCATCGCCATTCATCCGTACATTATTAATTAGTCGTGAACCGGAAATTGGTAATCAATAGATTGTAGAAAAATTCATTGAGTGATTCGTTACTCACAAACTGAATCCAATTACGGTCTTACCAATTTGATTATTTTACTGAAATTTCGATAAATGAAGGATTTTTAAAATAATTATTCGCCAATTCGCATTTGCAATTTAATTTCATGATTTAGTTTATCAAAGGATTGAATTGAAGGTGAAAAAAGCCTTCAAACAGCTCTCAACACTTCACTTTTCTCATTCCAATCAAAGAAATCCCAGCGTCTCGGGGAAACCGGTTGAACCAACCGAGAAGACGAAACGATCTCTAATTACATTTTCATTCCACTCAGTAAATTAGTCAAACTGGGCATAAGAAGCCACTCCAGGGTGAAAAAAAGCCCTCCACAAGTCCGTAAACAACTCGACGACACTTTCCACTTTATTATCTCGAGAGTCATAAAAACGCCACGAGGAAAAAAAGTCAAGGAGAAAATATTAAATCCGTAGCGTAAAAAATTCTCACCGGAACAGATAATTTATTTACTAAAATATAAATAATAAATATACATATGAAAAAAAAATGGTGAATTAAGAGAGAGAAAATAATGTTTGAATTTTTTAAATGTTAAAGGTCTTCAACCGGCGAGCACAAAAGCCCAACCGACGACAATCGGCAAATCCCACCGTCCAACTACCGGTGTATTACCTCAGGGTCATCCACCGGGTCCAGGACCAGGACCAGGTGGACAGCAAAATAGCAGAAGTTTTGCCGCTGCACTGAGGAACCTTGCCAAGCAGGCAGGACCGGCTCCTCAGGATGAAGAGCCTCGTGCGAGTCCTAAAAATCGACCTCCACCACCTCTTGTACGTGGACCCTCACCCGCCAAGGTGAGTTTCACATGACCCCACTAAAACGAGATGAATAAAAATAATATATCACCATTCCAGTTATTCCCCTTTCCTTCACAACCTTTGGCCAATCAATTTTATCCACTTCCGCATTTTTCGTTACGAATAAACCAGTCCCGAGTTAATCTCCCCTAAAATGTTCACCAACTCTCCAACCGCTCTCTTTATTATTTTATTTTTCAATTATTCCATTTTATTTACTCCCGAAAATCTGGAAGAATAATCATCTAAAATCGATTTTTCATTGAAAGTCCGATATTTTCAACTTCATCAAGCGAATTTACTTGAAATAATTTTCCTTGAAAATGTATGACGTATGAAATTGAGAAGAATCAATATTCCATGCTTCCCGAAGCACAAGTGCTCTTTGATCTTCCGATTATCTCAAGTGAACTACAATTTTTCCGTTCTACAAGACCGGATACCTTTTTCATTTCAACAAGATTGGGGTACGTTCTCGTTCACGTCCCTTTGTGAAGTCTTTGAGAAACTTTAAATTCGAGTGACCTCTTCCTCTCTTCTCACCCTGTTGTTTCCCTTCGTCTACCCCTCCGACAAAACAAGCCCCCGGATACATAATTCTCAGCGCTCCACTTTGCTGAAAACTTGTTCTATCGTCCCGAATAATGCGGAAGTGAGAAAAATTGGTTCTTGTTTCATCCTTACCAAGGGTGCAATGACAGTTATTTACTCTCCAAATGGTAATCCCCTTTCATCCCCCAACCGTTGATTTCCGTTAATTAATTTTATTTTATTTTCATCGTACGTAAAATGCAAAAATACTCCGAGAAATTAATTGATAACTCAACCGTTAGCATAATCGTCAAATATTTTTATGATTTTTGTCATGAATGGTTGATGAAAAAGGGATGTTGTATGATTTTTTTTCAGGAGCGTTCGACCCACGAACGGAGACCCGAGGAAATACCGTCAATGTACACGACAGCAAGAGCATCGGAGAATAGCAAGCACATTGTAACATCAGCAGCATCGGAATTATTGGCTCGCTCTGGTTTTCAACCATATCGGCCGGAACACCATCCAACCCAGCCACCCCCAGCATTTGCACTGGATCCAGCGGCTTACAGTCCTTATCATCATGGCCTCTATCCACCGCCTCACCTCCAGCACGCTTATAGGTAAAAACTCATCAAAAAGATATTTCTCTTAAACTTGTCCAATCGTGAAACTGAATTTTGTAATGAATACACTCACACCCTCGTCGACATTTCAATGGATATCTTAGAATCGGAGAGAGATAGCGGAATTTTTATCATCACCTTTTTTGCAGAGTGAAATGAGAGCTATGAAAAAGGTTCTCACAAATATTTCGTTGTCTCTATCAGATTCAGTGATATTTGTGAGGGAAAAAATATATTTTTAATCACTCCTCTGCAGAAAGTTACCCCGAAGATTCACCACGTAGATTTTCAAAGCCCCTCTGTTCAGGCTCTCAAAGGAATCTCCTTATCTCATTTCACTGAACAATCCAATGTTCTCATAATTCCAGCTACCGAGGCAGAACAGATTTCATAATTCTCCATTGAAAGATTCATCTCAAATTTTTTTCGTTCTCTGCACTTTAAAATCCCAATGAAAGAGCGTACGTTTCTAATTCAATTGAATTGTTATTGTGTTTCAGATTAGAGGAACAGTTGTATCTGGAGAGGGTTGGAATGCTCAGGCCGCCTTTATTTCCGGGAATGCCCACGTATCCACTCTATGGACTCAGATATAGCCCCGAAATGTTACCACCAGCATCACTTGGCCTCATGTCTCCTGTTATGCACGAAAGGTAAAATCTAAAGCGAAATTTTGTTCAATAGCAGGATCTGTTACCTATTAAAATAATACAACTGAAACTACTACCTCAAAAAAATCATAATATAAAAGTTCTAGAATGAAAAACGTCCACTTTGAATTCTTCTGAATTATCCATTCATATAAAAAATTGAGAATGTGAAGTGGAAACGTCAGGAGATTTTTTAAAAAATTAATTGAATTACAAAATTAAATAATCGATGCCTTTTTATTGTTTAAAGGCTTAAAATGGAAGAGGAGCACAGACTGAGACAAGTACGAGAGCAAGCAGCACTGAGAGACGAGGAAGAAAGGAGAAGAGCAGCTCGAAATTCTGCATCAGCTGGACCAACACCAGCTCCAGCCTCAGCTGATACAGCAGGTGAGCGAGTCGCTCCACCCCCCACTGCCTTCCATTGAAAACGAATAATAAAAACCATTAGAGAATATGGAAAAAAATATTTTAAATGAAATATTGAACGGAAAATGTCGTGTATTCTTCGGGTTTACCAGATTCATCCTTCTGACTGTTCTAAAAACATAACTCTCAAGTGTCTCAGTTACTCATTTAATTTAAAATCTCGTTCTTATACTCCTCATCACTCAAATATTTATCGATTCTCCCGATTGTCTGGTAAACCTTTGCACGTTACCATTAGCCAGTGTTAGTTAAATAACCAATTGATAATGAAGGTGAACCATTCAGAGAAATAGAAATAGAAATATCAGATTTTTAAACCAAACTGTTGGTCTGACTATTCAGAAGAATTTAGAGTACTTCAATTGCCATATGAACTGAATTAATTAGTGATTTTACTGATAGATTGTCACTTTTTATGAGGAGATTGTGTTGCATATTTAAATCTCATATAATTCTGCCATTTTTTCGTTTCCCATAATTTTTATTTAACAATCACTTGCAATTACCTCTCGAGTCCAATAATTAGTCGTTAATTGAGGGAATTGGTTAATTATTAATTAAGAACAAAGTGTTCACTTCCATTACGCCAGTTGACGAATTGGTGAGCTGAATTGGTATTGACTCAATTTTTTCTGGAATTTCTACAGAATTTAATCGGATAATATTTAAATATTCAACACACTCGATACTGAAAAAATAACCGAAAAATTACCACTGCCCTATCCCTGAAAAATCGCCCGAACAATCCCACGATTGGCTTCTAAGCTTTTTACTATTATTTTCCATTCTCTTATATTTTTTAATCGCCTCTTTTTTAAAATTACTTTGATACCCTCTCCAAGCCAATGCCAAGCGATCGTTTTCTCATAAAATTCTCTAATTAGAACGAAAAATAAACCTCAACAAAAAATGCCACTTACATTCTCCTCGAATTTACGTGGTATAATTAATATTAAGTAGAACACAAATAAAAAGCGAATAAAAAAGCAATAACAATAACTAAATAAAAGTGAATAACAAAAAAAAACGTGTGATCGTTGTTGAAATATAATTTCATAGGAACAAAATAATTGAGAAGAAAATCTACTTTGACTGTGAAAATAACATTAAAGAAAAAGCAAAAAAAAAATCCTAATGGATGGAAGAAAAAAAAACAACATACTACGCTTCTACTGTTTAATGTAGCAAATAATGAAAGTTAATAGTCATAATTAATCGTTTCTTATGAAGCAATAGGTTTAATATTTTTTAGATAAGACCGTACGAGGATACGAGAGATAGATGAACGTCTACGTGAGCCCTTCCCCTCGAGAAAATGAAAGAAAACGAAAAAAAAACTTGAATAAAACTAAATAAATAAACACTTTAGGAAGATAAACGAATTTTCGTACTTTTGCACACGAAAGTCGAAAGAGTGAAACAAAAGTTAACTAAATAAAAATTAAAACAATAACTGAATGAATACAAAAAAAAAGAATTGAGAGTCTTTGTAATAACGATTCTCACACGAGAATAAAGTGAAGATGAGTGAGGAGAAGATTTTAAACGCCTGAAAATCACCTGCAAGATATGAAAAAAAAAGGGCCATTTTGTATTGTTCATTACCTAGGCGCCCAAATGAATAGAAAATAGAGTCATTTAAAAATCTCTAGGCACATGGAAACATGAAGAAAATGGAAATATTCTGTTTAGACTGGACGACACGAAGGCTGACTTAATTATAGCTCCGTCTGATAGCAGTGAACACTTGAAAGAAAAAATGAAAATGAAAAAATAACAATAGCAATGCAGTAAGTCATTCTGGTCATTTCCCCTCCCCCCCAAAATACTTGGAAATTCCCAGCCCCCCCTTTCTCAACCCCACCCTTAACTCTTTTATTGTCTTTAGTGAAAACGAAAAGAAGTGAAGAGTAAAATACGTAATTATTTTTAATTTAGTCAACTGTGAATTAATGGCGCGTGTTTAACATGAGAGTGCACGATACCTGGTCGTCTCCTTGGGATTTTAATAGCATTTTGCCTTCAGTATCCGAGTCATGTTTTTAAGTAGAACATTTTGGAAATTTATTTTAATTAGGGGAGAGTTACTTAATTATTTTGTTTTGGGCGGAGAAATCGTGCGATACACTGATACATATTTTTTTACGAATATGTACAACGGCGTTTAGATTTTTTAGTATTAGATTTTTTTAGCAGGGAGTAAAAAATTTTAGGTGAATGATTTTTTATAGACACCCGAAATGAGAATTTTCGTGATTTTTATTCTGATCCCAGAAGAAAATTTGGTAGTTGAAAAAGTATGTGAAAAAAAATCATCAATTGGCCGAATTAATATAAATATCATTTATATTTATATTTTTCGATGGAAGATGAGCCTTGTTAGGTAATATTAAGGAAATTTAGTTGATAATTAGGAATGAAGAAATTTTAAACAGCATCTACTGGGTCTCGGCACTCTCTCGTTCCCGCAACTGTTTTAGAAATGTTTTTCTTTTTTGTCACAGTTTAATCAACAATTCAGGAATTTTTACGTGATTCTCTGCTTCTCCTTTTTGTGGGAAGGAAGAGTGAGTGAAGTAACTATAAATGCTCTTTATGAAAAAAAAAAAACTAATAACAAAGAAAATATACAACTGACTGAACAAACGGAATTAAATCCACCAATGTAAATAACTTTGTCACACATTTATCAATTTTTTTTTGTCAAAATTATACCATTTTTATATAATTTATTATGTAAACATGTATATTTGGACTATAATTGAAAATAAACATTGCAAAAAAATAATAAAACCAACAACTGTGAGATCAAAATTTGATGGAAGTCATTCTTCGGAATTCTTGAACCCTCGATTAAAAAATAAAAAAAAATTTCATTGTAATTTTTCTGAAACAGTTTTGGGGAAGATTCGGTTGGATATTTACCGATTAATTATGTAAACGGATAATTTTAATGAATTTTTTAGAGACAATACGTTTGTAACGCTGAAAAAAAAGTGCCTGTATTCGATGAGATTACGATCGCTCTGGTATTTTATGTCTTTAGCATCGTCCATTTTATTTATTTCAATTATATATATTTTTGTTTGTCAATTTCTTTATCATCTTATTCTATTTTTTACAAAATTCTTAATTCATCCATTTTTGCAGCTTAACTTTGATTGTTATATTTGTCAGAGAAATCATCCCCAATACTTTTAAAAATATATCACTAGATGTAAGTTGCACAATCAAAGACTAGATGAGTTATTTGAAAAAGAGAAGAGAAAATTTTTTGAAATTTGGGAGAAGGTAAGTGAAAAATCCGAGGGGGTACTCATATATTCGAAATATTCAATTCAATTCAATAATAATACAATCGATAATCAAACATTACAAATGATCAATGTCCCTTTCACATTATTATTTTGGTGACATGTAAAATTTTTCGTCGCTGGGCCCGAAAACCGCGATTTAAATCGCGGTTCACCAGGCCCAGTGCGGAAGAGTCAAAATTTCCGAATTGGCACCCGAATAACTTGCAATTCGCCTACACTCCGCCAAAAATTTTCCACCCCCAAAATATTCCGCAATTTTTCATCCCCAGTCTTTAAAACGCACCACAAACCTTGTGAAAACATTCCGAATTTCCGCAATCCCTGAAACATGAAAAACACTCTCCGATATTTTCCCTGATTTCAAATCGTGACCCCCCCAACCCGAACCCCTACCGTATCATTACCAAGCACTGTGTGGTCCGGATTTGTTTCAGCTAGGAAGCCGCCTATAGCGGCTCAGTTGCACCCAGAGAGGGATTCTCACCGTGACCGTTCGATCGCCACATCAACCCCCATCACACCCCTGACCCCCCAATCCGATAATCACAAGCCCCCAGTGCCCGCAACAGGTCCTCACCACCGCAAAGAAGAATCTCCAGTGTCCCATCAGGCCCCAGTCCCTCCGCCACCTCACAGTATTCCCTTACCACCCCCTCTCACCCCCGCTGACAGCCCACAAATATACCACCACCCGCGCCTTGGGCCCTTCCAGCCTCCCCCATCCCCCCTGACACCAGTCACCCCCCTAGCCGGTCAGATATGCCCCGTAACAACCACCAATCCCCCACCAATGCCCCTGCCACCCCTTGGTCCACCCCTCGGACCCCTAAATCTCGGTCCCCCGATTACCCCCATCCCAATGCCCCTACCAACAATACCAATGCCTCTCCACCCGAACACAATTCACTCTAGTCAACACCAATCAAGCCTCATCACTCCCACTCCCATAACCACTTCCACATCCACAACCTACCCCCTTCCACCACCACCCCAAACCCTCAATTCCTACACAACAACGACGAATTCCCTCCTGGCGAGTGGTACAATGTCAACTCACGCTGTTCAACCCCTGAATCAACCCCCAAACACTTCGAATCACGTGACAACCTGTCACAAATCACCACCAGTGCCCTTGAGGATCAAAGAGACACCAGTGACAACGAGTCAGTCGACGTCAGGAGGTCAAGGACAAATGGCTCAACTGACACCAGTGACGTCAGCCCATCAGCCATTCGTTAGGCCATTTGAGGACTCGTTCAGATCCACCAAGATACCGATCTGGGGCATTCGCAATCAGATTGGACACGAGAAAAGTGTGACAACAAGTGGAGAGACTGCTGAGGGTAAAGGGCCCTATCAGACCCAGACTTATCATCCCGTTGTGACACAGGGGGTCTACAAGCCTCAGGTGTTTACACCCCTGCAGTTGCCTGTCAAGGGGAGTTCCACCAATGGAGATGTCAGGATCAGTCTCAATGGGATGAAGAGTCAGGTGGAAGGACTGGAGACTAGCTGTCAAAATAATCCGAGTAATTCCAGTAATCTCAGTAATCAGAATAATCAGAGCAGTCAGAGCAGTCAGAGGAATGGGATTGTCTCGGTGGAAACGTTGGTACACGAGAAATCGGTGAATGCCAATTTTTACAGCAACGTCGAGGGTAATTTTATGTCAAAAAATGTCAAGACTGTGGAGAGCTCAAAGGAGATGAAGCCTGTTGATGTCTCTGGAGACACATTGAGGATTAATCACAGGATTGGGAGCAACTCCGGTGATAAAATAGCTGTCAACAACGAGAGTGAGAGGACACCTGTCAGAACTGAGGGCGAGCGAGATGAGCCACTAAAAATTCCGTCAGCCAACGTCAATCCGTTACCCTATCAGCCCTTCAAGCTCTCCATCAATGAGATAAATCACAAGCCAAGTATCGACAGTCAGATACTCCAGAGTATAAAATCGGAGGAGGTCCTCAGGACGTGTCAAAATGTATCTAATGTACTTCTACAGATTCCCAAGTACCAGGAGAAGCTGTTGAACTTCTCCAGTAATGATTTCAAGGGATCATTCTGTTACACCGATAAGTGCAATAATTTGACGGAGGTGACGGTCAAGTGCGAGCCACCTGTACTCAATGTTCCTGATCCCAAGGTCATTGCTAGGGGAGATTTTTTAGCTGACAGGGGGAGGGATGTGACGTCGACTCTTGATCTTGCTGAGAAAAAAAGACGTAGAAAGAGGGAGAGGAGTTGTGGGGCCACTCGCAGCTCTGAGTCCGAGGGTGAGGTCGAGGTCAAGGATGCTGATTTATGGATCACCAAGGGACCACCTGCCAAACTCGCCTTCTCCGAGAGCAAACTCTCATTCCTCGCGATCTTCGGGTTAACCACTTTGAGCACAAGAAATGGTAATATTATTATAAAAAATTCCAATTATTATTTAAAATTGTTTCATCCACAGAAATTTCCCGAAAATTTATATATCGGCTAAATAATTTTATTAGTATTTACCCTTTGGGTAATTAACGGGAATAATTATGGGATTTTTGTAGAATTGGAGTTGTGTAAATTGGAGAAGAGATATCGCCTGAACCCGGAGCCCCCGGAAGTGCCTCTGGACACATCGGAACCGATAATCGAGTCGGTTTTACCGATACCCAAGGATCATCCTGATGTACTGCTCAATTCCTCGGATTTCATGCCGAAGGTCGGATTCTTAAAAACCATCGGCTTGGACATTATGCCACCAAACAGACGAGACGGTAATTCTCGATTTTTCATAACAATTATCATAAAAATTGCATTAAATAATGAAATCTCCAATGAACAATTCCAGAAGCGGAGGAAACCTGGCAATACGTCCTGAAGGATCGAAAAAAACGTAGGACAACCAATTCGGTAACAGCTTATTGCGAGCGAGTGGCAAAAGTGTATTCTAAGACACCCCCAGCATCTCCGAGGCCCCTCCAAAAAATGCGACTACTCGATCGCATTAAAGTAAAGTCAATTCCAGAGAGGCCACCGCCTCTTCCTCCTCTCGTACCAAATATTCAGTCCACGTATCACCCGGCGATGCCTGTCCGAGGGGAAAACGGAATTAAACAGCCCCGTAAACTCATTGACATTCATGAGAACTGCGACGAGGACGACGAGACCAATCACAAAGTTACGTGGAGCAGTATTGAGGATATTATGATTGCTTACAACGAGTATTCCAAAGGTAAAAACTACTCCAACTTCAATTAATTTATCACTCGCAAAATCATAAAATAAAAATTTTGCCAAATGATAAATTAATTGTGATCCATGAATTTTAAAAAACCAAATAAGAGTTTTGTGAAATGAAATCAATAATAAATGTACGAAAACGTGTGATTGCGTTGACAGGAAAATCCCTGGAGAGAAGAATCCTGAAAAATCACATGTCAAAGTTGATATCCCAATCGAATACTCTCCGCTCGGAAGCAATTCAACTGGAGCGAGTGAGATACGATTTATTGGCAGCGAGACAGGCTCTCGACAACGAGAGACGACACATCAGCGATAAAATTGAGAGGGTAAATGCACTTGTCAGGAATCTTAGATAGCGATGCATAACGCACAACACGGAAACTCATTCATCTGTGATATTATCGAGGGGGTAAGGGCCGAGGAATCACCGAAATGATATAATCCACGAGTCAATGAGCCTCTGGACTCACCCGAAATGCCAAGGATTTTTCTCTGTTTATTTAAAGGCCATTCCGTTTCTTTTATTCTTCTGAGAAAATCTGCTGGTGCCAGACATGTAGAAAATTGTAAAAATAAAATTCAGAGACATAGGACCATATCAATTATCACGATCAAATGTATAAATTGTACAAACGTCTGTGGAAATTCATCGTTTTCACTCCGGTACGAGAATTTTTTTTTTATTCATATTAACGGCTCTTACACCCAAAGTTTATTATTAATTATTGTAATTTGTACGATATGAATGCGAGGGGGAAAGTGAGATTTTCAGGAGACATTGGTCAAGCATTTGTTGGGAATTATTTCGGGTGTTGGATGAGATGAAGAGATGATTTTATTGATTTTATTTGATTTTATGTGATTTTTATTGAAGCACTGGATCATTTATTCGATGTAAATCGAATAAAAATTGCTCCTAATTAATTTTTTTTAAACAATTTTTAATGAAAATATTGAATGTGTAATTGTGAGATATGGGAATATCGAAATAATTCTCTTCATTCCACTCAATGACTCATGTAATTCTCTTTTTAACATCTCAAACATGAAAAATAATAATTTATAACTGATAATTCAGAACGAGTTGTACCAGGCGATTCCTAAGTCTACCAATTAGAAAGATAATATCGATACAAATATAGTATATATTATATAGTAACGGTGAGGAGGACGAAGAACAAATAGGGAATAATAGGAGACTCGATCATTTTGTACATCGTCGGTAGTCAATGACGCAAGATATATCGCAGGACGTGTGAAGATGATTCAAAGATAATTTTTATACCTCGTGAATCACCGAATTAGCACGTCAGTCATTAATTAACAAATCGTGAGAATACAATTTTATGATTAGACCCTGAATTAATATTTTGGGTGATAACGCAAATGCTCGATATGAATTTCGAGCGAAAGGGCCAGTCCACTGCGAGAATTGAGTAATGAATCACAGTTGTGGAAATGAAAAATCAAAATAGAGAGTTTTATCTTTATTCTCGTTGGTTTTTCGATTATTTTAGTCTCATTATTCTATTTTAGACACGTGAAATTTGAAAGTGATTTTTATTTTCATTTTTATTGAGTTGTGAATGAAAATTTAAATCAATTTGTTGTTGAAAATTGACATTTGTCGATATGAAAAATTGAAGGGGTGAAGATACTTATAATTTTTTATTGTACAAAATTAATACGTCATCGAAGGCACAATTGAAACTTATTGCGAGACCAAGGGAAAAGAGCGAGAGACGGAAATGTAATTAATTGTGCATTACCTTGAACATTCCACAATAGCATTGTCATGGGGTGGAGGAAAATCATGAGAAAAAAATCGATGAATTATAAATTTAATTCGCACACTTCCATGATTATTCCTCAAACTAATTCGCTGTTTTTTTCATCAGGTTTTTCTCAAATTCTTGTGTTGAGATCAAGTTATTTCTCTAGGTTCGCATTTTTTCTCCTTTTTACTTTTATTGAGTGCCTAACGCTATTCTACATTTGTAAATATCCATTATTTTTCTGTATTTACGTGGAACAAATCCTACGAAATTGTAGGACCAATGTGAGATGATTTTTTTTGAGAGAATATGAGTAAAGAAAATATTTAAAAATCATTGATGTGTTTAATCGACCTGTGATCCGCCATTTTCCTAATTCCAGTAGTACTTACCATTATTTCGAACCGAAGCCATTAATTTTGATAATCATTCCTTTTTTATTGATATTTATTTAAACACTGGGATATATTATTAAAAAAATGGAATGGACAGATGATAGGTACCGCACAGCGAAATTCTAATGATGCAGAATACTGAAGAAATAATAAAAAATCAAAAACAGCAGTTCAATTTGCAAAAATAAAACAGATGGCAGCTTTCGTCGAGGGTGAAGCTCGAAAGATGTCACTCCAGCAGTGAAAATCAATACCCGGCTAAAAGAAGACATCGCGTAATCGTAAAAAAGTTGAGCTTACGTGCTTTACATGTGCCGTTCAAAAGAACAAGATAAACCGTCATTACTCTATCTATCTGTGACATCACATGTTATGACTCAACAGTAAATCGAGGAAAGTGGATATAATTCAAGGACGAATGAGAAAAATTGAGGTGAGCTGCATAAATTATGATATTTACCAATTACTTGCACCACTAGCTCCATTAGTCCGATAACGATTGCGACAATTTCTATTTTTCATTTCTTCATTATTCGCGGAATTCGCGGTGAAGAAAATTCGTCGAACTCCATCAATTTTTAATTTTATTTCTCAATTTTTTCGCGGATTACAATTACAACAGATTATTTTTTGCACGTGTTATTTTATTGAGATTCGATAAAAATTCAATAGAATTCAAGTAGATTTCGAGTGCATGAATAAATAAATGAATGAATCAATGGAGTAACAATTTTTTCCCCTTCGAATAGAAAAATTCTTTGGAAAAATATCTAGTTTTAAATCGTTGAGACCCATTCGAGGAAAGAAATGCTGCAAATAGCATAATTTCCTGGACAACTTGGGTCAAAGCCATTGTGTCATAAACCAAATAAAAAAAAAAGTCATTGGATCGATACACCTGGCCCCGACCAGTGCAGCGTAATTAACATCATGATAATCATTGGCCCTACCCCTCCCTTCTCTCCCCCATTCGTTAATTAGAGTCACGACTCCCCCGCTTGTACGATGGGCATTTAAAAAAAATTCCTACAATGTTTTCCATTTTTTACGTGAAAAACCGGTTGAGGAAACAGCGGAAAACCGAAGGTCTCGACACGGAGGTTTCTCCCACTCCCTTGCAGCTTTGCCAAGTGGATTTTTAGACTGTGAGACTGATTGTCCAAGCAGTTCACCCGTGCTGTTCAGACCAGAAAGTCGCAAGACACCCGATCCTCATTATAAACAATTATTTATCACGGGATAATTATCAATAAATTGAATTTACGCCGACCGGTGCATTTTCCAAATAGAAAAGAATTTTTTTTCGTAAACTCCAAGTGACTAAGTGACTCCAATTACCCTCGATTAATCAATTAATTCATTAAGTTTAATTGCTGGAATTGTGACGTGCGGAATTCATAGAGAATTCTCTGGTGACAGTTACGAGGAATTTATCATTTTTGTGGTAAATTGTATTGGAGTAATTAGGGAGAGGTAAATTGAATATATCATTTTAAATTGGCAGTGAATTTTTGGAGTGCAATTTTTATCGAAGAAATGAAAGGGGCGATTGAGAATGTTTTGGAGTAATTGGAAAATTAATTAAAATTTGAATTAACCGGTCGCACGTGCGACGAGAAAAATTGAACATGTGGCATGTTTAAACATTGACTCCAATTTTATTCCATTCATTCATAATTTAAGATAATTGTCTCTCGTAACGACTGAGATAAACTTGTTTATTACTTCGTAATGACGAGATAAAAACTCCAATTTAGACTGGAAATTGAGATTTTTTACGACGAGTCATTAATGTTTTATGCCGCACTAAAACATCTCAACTGATAATGAGAATAAATTGGGAGCCTGTGAAATCTTCGGAATTACTGGAAATACTTCGCAGTTAGAATTTTGAAGGTTATCGCCACCACGTGCTTGGCAATTAAACACCGAAAGCTTAATTATCCCTGAAGTCGATTATTGCCCAATAAAAAATCACCAATCGGCGAATTTGCATTTCAAAAAAATTTCTCAGCCAATTCCATCAATCCGATTCATTTGGAATTCTCGAATTCCACTGAAATTGCACATATGGGAGCAACTGTCAAATATATATCAGTCTTATCAGTGAAACTGCATTAGATCCACATTTTTATCACCAGTCGATGAGATTATCGATGAGATCAGAGATTATATCGAGTGATTATGAAGATTATCGTGATATAGTGAACCCCTCGAGGTCCTTCAGCTTTCATTAAAAAAAACAAAACGAATTGTTAATAAACCCTTCAATTATTTTTTTATCAAATTTGGACAAGAATAATTTGAATTTCAATTTGTATGTGATTTTTACTATTAAACATCTTCTCCATCTTTTATCAATAAACTTTATTCTGGAACGACTCCTTAATTTCATTAATTATCCACTGTTATTTTATTTTTTATTATTACTTAATTTCACTTTCGTCACTGCAATTTCGGGTGATGAATGCTGTAGATTATTTATCCACCGAAATGTAGGTCCAGCATTGAAAAATTCATTTGGAATTTCATATTATTATTTATCGCTTTTAATGTTTTTTTAATGTTCAAGTATGCTGAGTAAAAAAAATCTCGATGGAAATTTAATGACGAAAAACTATTCGATTATTAATCGGCTTCACCCAATTCTCATGAGATTATTAAATGGATAATGATAGTTGAAATTCAGGGCGAAGGCCTTTTATTTCACTTGAGAAATTAAATGATTCAAAAGAATCGTTGGCCAATCGCTGAGGAGGTGGTCAAGGACTCCACTCGGCCCTATTTCACATTTAGATTTCATCAACAGCACTTGCTCGTCATACATTCAATAATTTCATCTGACCTTCTCGAAATATTTATAATATTCACATGAAATTTCCGATTTCGAGATTCCAAGAATTTCCAAATTACAGTCACCACTATTTTTTTTATTACCAATGGATTGTGATTTTCTGGTACTTGCACTAGCACTTTTCTGTACAATTACCGCATTCCTCTGGATTTCAAACTGTGTGGTAATCTTTCGAAATAGAAAAAGGAGCGTTACGAAGAAATAATGACAGCCCCGGAGATTATACCAATTTCGATTAATTGCTTTTTTTTCTCTGACAAAAAAATTAATAATTACGAGATGATTAATCCCTGATAGTTAAAAAATAAAAAACACTGGGGAAAATATTGTTTGTCATTCGCTGGTGAATACTAGAGGCCAGAGATCAGAAGTTTATTCTATTCCTGGATACTTCATGCTTCCGTAGAATACTTTTCACCAACTTTGCGATAAAAAAATTGACTTTCCCTCATAATTTCATAAAAAATCCAAAGAATTTCCCGTTCATTTGAATCCCCCAGCGAAGTGCATTTCGTTATCACCACTTTTTTAATTAATATCTCGCAATCGAAGAGAGATAGCAATATTTTTATCTCTACATTTTTTATAGAGAACAATTCCAGCTGCAAAAAAGATATTCATGAAAATATCCATATCTCCTTTTGATTCTGATATATTTCCGAAAAACTGGCATCGAGATGCGTCGACTTGCGAATTATTGTTGTGACGAATTTCTCTCGGAAGGAAAATATCTGCGTCGGAAGATCTTGGTACTTTTCCAGCGACAATAATATCGTTATGTGTCCGTTTAATAAATGTATGTAATATTGAATGAAATCGCGTAGCTTTAATTTATAAATAGCCCTAAGTTGTCAGGCGTCACCGAGACATAAGTGCAACTACTCTCAGGAATTACAATTAATATCTCGATTACTACTGTGCGTCAACGATTAGCGCAATTTTCCTAGACATTCGCGACTGTTACGTAATTTTCGTGAGAGTCGGATTTCATTTGAACTCTCAACTTGGCGCGATTTCAAGCCGCCGTTTTCCGAGGATTCGCCATCTCCGTTGGTTATAAAATAATTTATTGACAAATAGAAAATTCAGCGGTTCGTAGAAATCGCTCACCGACACCTGCCAGAAATAATTAATTACGCATTAATTACAATCATAATTAATTAATAATTGAGAATCGTGTGTTATCTTGATTAATCATTTAATTGAATTCTTACAATAAAAATTTTTACTGCAGGATCGATTCGACGAAAATAATAATTCCGCGATGAATATTTTTCTGTACGAAAAATAACGAGACAATCGTATGACCTCCTCCAATTTTCTCCACTAATTGTTGCGTATCATTTTTAATTGACTCATCATTGAGTCAGCGGAGATAAACCGCCAGAATTTTTTTATCTTTGATATCAGTCGAGTGAGAGTTACTCTAAACATCGCAATAATTTCAGTCCCTTCGCATTACCTCTTGGTCAAGGCTAGATTATGACATCATGTTTTTTTTTTCTGTAATTATCTTCACATTCCGTGACGGGTGGCAATACAGCGACAGAAATAAAAATCGATAAAACGGTTAATTGATGACTGTCATTTCCAATGTTGCATTAATGGCGCGAAATTATCATTACGGATAATCATCATTACTGTCACGCACAATTGATTGAATCCATGGGGGGAGTAATTCCTCGTGCGATTTCCACTGTTGCAGAAAATGATAAAAAATCCATTAAGTGCACTCGATGATTACAAATTCCAGAAAATTACTCGTAATTGCTACCTCAAAAATAGAGAATCCAGAGGAATGGAATAATTAGACAATCGTCAGAATGGTTATGCAATTTTTGAGAATATGGATAATTCTCTCAAATAAATGCGGGGCAAATATAATTTTTTTTTATTTGCGCGGGTGAAACTGTAACTCGTTTTTTCGAAATCATATTTCAGATTATCATAGAACTCGAGCCATCTGCTTGTTTGACAGATTTAGTTTATGATCCCCAGAGCTAGTTAATAATTAACTGAGTTGCGTGACTGGATGAAAGAATAACGATTGAAACAATTAATTGTAATTTTATAACAGTTACGACGTGCCATTGAATTCGAATGGTGGCTGAGACGCCGAAAATGGAGGAATTATCGAATGGGGGAGACGATCACTGCATCTACAAAGATGTTGTCATTGTTGGTAAGCGGAACTCCAATAAAAAATCAATTATCACTTCTTCCACATGATGTACAGAATTTGTCGGTTGAGTTTTTCGGAAAAATTTCCAAAACTAGAAGAAATACAGGAATTTTCGTCGGACCTTTTTTGCAGCTCTCAATGAGCCCTACAAAAAAGGTTCAACAATTTTTTTTATTATTTCCCGGAGTTTCGAAAATATTTACCGAAAACTCAGCGAAGTGAATTTACGTACTTGCACTATTTATTATAATTGAAATACCGAATTGAAAAATGAATATGAAACCGCCAGGAAATGGTCCGGGTGGTATTTGCATTTCATACATGCTGAACGGAAATTGGCCGTATTACTCGGGTAAACCCCATCCGGGTGACGAAATGCTGACAGCAAGATTAAACTACATAATGGAGAAGAATGAGACTCCAGATACCGCGAAAGCGTCTGCAAGAGGTAATCCGGGGAATCCTCGGGATAAATCAAGCGACGAATCACCCAGCAGTGATAAAAAAAAAACTAGGGACGAAAGACGGAGTCTCCTGATGAGATCCAGGAGTGATCTGGAGATGCTGATGAATGGTCTGGAGGGACGAGGCACCTCCAGACCGATGGCACTTCTTCTGGATCAACTGCAACATCCAGGGGTCGATGCAGGACTCGATATCCCAAGTCTCCTCACCTGGGAGTCTCATGAGCATCATCCCCAGCACAAAGTTATTGACCATGTGGTCCTGGGGAAGGGACCACCTGGGGGCACCTGGCAGTTCATGGATCCCAATGTTCTCACTATCAGTCTCACCAGGTGGATGTCACTTCCTGGGCTCGATCTCAAGAAGTGGGAGGCCCTCGTCGAGGAGGAACGACTTGGAAAGTCCACCATCCTCAGGAAGAGAATACCTGAGGACTGCTGGAGTCGCCCCAAGGGCAGCTTCGAAGTCGACAGGAGAATTCCTGTGGGAATCGTCGCTGCTTACTACAAGGATTATGTTTACAGGATGGGACTCACTAAGTATTTCAAATGGTTTGTACCCAGTGTATGAAAAATTTAAGATCAGGTGAAATCCATTTCTCTGAGAAATTCTAGTTGCCAAAGATCTGTCAAAAATAATAATTTCGCAATTATTTTGATGTGGGCTTTTTCTCGCGAAATAAAATGACAATTTATTTAATCTCAGCGGACGGACTGTGACAAGTGTTCAGCCACTTCCGGATGCGTCAGACCTGGAGGAAGGCTACGAGTGGATTGTGCAGGGCTACGAGAATCAGAGCGGTAGAAAATTCAAGTACAAATGTAAAAAAGTTGTCCTGGCAACTGGTACAACCAATTCTTCGAATCGTCTGGGCCTACCCGGAGAAGAAACACAGCCCAGTTGGGTGACCCATGATCTCAATGACCTGGAGACACGTCTCGATCGTCTCGCAGGGAAATGCAGTGAGCTTGACCATTTTTATCTCTTTTTGCAAACAAATTATTAATTTCCTATTCCAGACAATCCATAATTCCCTTTAAATTTCAGTATAAATGCAAGAGAAATATTTTTTTAATTTGTAATTTGCTTCGACCAATAGGCAAATGCTTCCTGAGGAAAGATTATAAACCGGAAGTGGCTCCAGTACTGGTGATCGGTGCAGGTCTGAGTGCAGCAGATGCGATAATGGCAGCAAGATTCAGATCAATTCCAGTGATCCATGCATTCAGGGATTCCTCCTCGGTATCCGAGGGTGATAAAGTCGATAATGAAAATGATAATGGAGTCAGATTAAGTCAGAGCACCTACGAGAGACTCCAGACACTTCCAGTTTCCATGTATCCAGAATATCACAAGGTTTACGAGATGATGGCCGATGGCAAGTGTCACAGGCTGTACAAGGCACTTCCAGGGTACAATTTAATTGACATCGAGGTGACAGGGTGTGATTGCAATAAAAAAAAGGAGAGGAGGGTCTTCCTGAAAGGTCCTAACCGGCAAATAGTCAGCTTCAAAGTCTCCATCGTCGCTATTCTCATTGGTAATCACACAACTCTCCTGATTAAAATTATTTTAAGGAACGAGTCAAGGTTTTAATAATGAATTGATCGAATTTATTTATGGGATGGGATAATTTTTTTATTGCAGGATCGAAACCAGACCTGTCATATTTGGGTGAACTGGCAACGAAGCTTGGAAAACAAGAAGGAAAATTGATAAATGGACGGTCGAATCCTATACAGATCGACGACTACACGTACGAAGTAGTGAAGTCCCCAAAAAGTGGACTTTATGCAATTGGTCCTTTAGTGGGTGATAATTTTGTTCGTTTTATTCACGGTGGTGCTTTTGGTGCTGTTGGACATCTCCTCAGGACTCTAGAAACTGATTAATCGTGTTGTGCTATTAATTAGTATTTTATTTTTATCTTAACACCAATCGTGCGGTGCAATAGAGATATTATTCTTGTAAATTAGTCTTATCGAGGAAGAGAGTTGACGTGGGAATATTTTTATACGAATGCGTTGGTAGGTGACGAAATTTTTTACATGATTTCATAGGTTTCACTCGATTTTTTTATCTTCTGAGAATATTCTTATGAGATTTTGATAATTTTTCATACATTCCGTTGATGAATGGCTATTATACACATTTTATTTTTATCCATTGGGGTTTTGTTGGTGAGAAATATTTGGGGGATTTGCTAATTTTTATAGTCAATTCTCTGTACCTCTAGAGGCCCGAGGGATGCTTTTTATATTTTTACTGTACCTCGTAATCGTGCCTTTACACAGATATTTATTTTTTTGTACGTTTGTGGTAGATTTATGGAGAATATTTCTTCAATGAAGCGATTCATTTTTCTTTTCCACTCAAAATGTACAACGATCTTCTCCAAAAATATTCAACAAATTTATGAATTTAATTTGTACCGAGATTATTCCCAGATATTAGTCTATGGGAATATATGAAAGAGATGAAGAAAATTATTTACCATACGAACAAATTATAAATGAAATTACTGAAGCATTCGAGTAATTTTTTCATTGAATTTAATCAATTACTCGTTATAGCTGAAGAGAACGGAATAAAATTAATAGATAATCACCGAGAATGATTACCATAGCCTGTGATATGAGAATTTGTTGAAATACTACAATTAATAAAAACCATTACAAAACATCTCAATACCATTTTAATTACCGATTTTTCATTACCTCACAACAATTACGATTATTTAAATATTTGTACATCCAACAATATATCGTTACAATTTTCAGTGCGTGAATAATCAATTAATCATGAAAACCTGATTACCGAAATTAGCCATAAACTCTTTTACTCATCATAGCAGTACATCATTATCATTACTTTTATTTAATTAAATGCCACCATAAAAGTTTCATACCACGAAACATTCAATGAAAATTAATTATAAAATGAATATTGAATCAATTATTTTGCTAAAATGTGATTTTCAATTTAATCTTTTCGTGAGGTTTAAAATAATTACGAGTAAAAATAAATAGTTGATGAAGACTAGGTTTTAAACAGGATAAAGAGGAAACTGAGGAGAATTATAGCACCAGCCAGGATCATGATGCAGTAGAGTTTTCTATTCGCTCTTTGATAAGAGTCAGCTTTTTTCAATTGCTTATAGCCCTCCTGTACTTGGCACTGGGTCTGCTCGATATTATAATCAATTCTATCGAGAATAGTACCTTGATCATGTACCATTGCTGCTAGATCCTTGAAGTGGAGGACAAAACGAGTGATTTTTTTATTATTTCTTCATATTTTTCCCACAAAAAATTAATTCTGCAATATTTGGGAGATAATTAATTACCTTGAAGATGTAATTTAGATCGGCTATACTCTGGACAATGTGTCCAACCTCCTGCTCCCTCTCGGCAGCCTGCCTCATAGAGTTCTCGGCTTCCTCGAGCTGCAGTAAAACAGATTCTTGCCTCTGCTGTTGCACAGGCTGCCAGAATTGATCATTCGGCTCGTTATAATTATTATCAGGCACCCACGAATCTGTGGATACATCGGGAAGGAGGAGTTGGTCTTCCTCGAAGAAGGGCCTGTTCCTCTCCTCCCTGGAATTCACCTCTGGAAAATTCCAGGATTAAAATCATCATCAATTTTAATCGTTGATAATTCGGATTTGATCTCACGTTGTAAATAATTGTTCTGAGCAGTTCTGTAACGCAGTCCCAGCTCCTGGAGAGCCGATGACAGAGCCAGGACAGCACTCATCGCCAGGTTACGCTCCGCAGGTCTCGTCTCGTGTCTTGCAGCATTTTTAACAATTTGAACCTGACGATAACCACTCGAAAAGGCCTTTCCTATTTCTCTGGTCAATTGTTCCATCTGTCTCTCCTCCTGGGATTATCAATTAGATAGATTTTTGAGTTTCAAATAATTAAATTATAATAAAAAAAAAAAAAAAAAAAACCTGCGAGGTATCATCGAGGGTTGGTCTCGTCACCTGTTTCCCGTGGAGTTCAATTAAACTATCTAATTTATTTCTCAACCTGCTGAGTATGTACTGAGTTTCTTCTAGAGCATCTGTCCAAGCGGGTGGCGAAGAATCCCCTAAATTAATTCTCTTCAGCTCCACATTATCCACACCCCTGCGATCACTGCCCACCAGGGCCATTCGATCAGACAGATTCTGCCGATAAAATTTATCAATCAATTTTATAATTCTCATTAATTCACACTTGTCAATAATGGAGCAACAATGAGGGGTTAATCGTGTCACCTGTTCGGCATAAATGTGTTTGCTCTGGAGGGCATTATTCCTCATGAGGACGAATGGCTCTGTAAGATTCCTCGTCGCCATTTTCCTGTTAATTCTCTTTTGCACGATTTATTCCACAGACACAAGCATTTTAACAGCTTTTTATCAGGACTTTTGGCACTCCCTATCGTTTGAATACATCAGGACCACTGACAGAATGTCAGAAACAGCTGATTCGATTAATGACGTCACCTCGCCCCTGCAGATGTCTCTGTCTGCCCTTATTCTTAATTTACAAGAAGTCAATTACGAATTGGTGAAGGGTTATTTAATTATGAACCTGAATTCAATTTATTTCTCAATAATTTCTAAATAAATTCATGACGGCTAAAATTCATAATAAATAACAAAGCATCGATATTAAAATTGCAGCACCACAAGTAACAAAAACGATTTATCTTTATTTTCCCTGAAGCATGGATTAATTAAATCCATGATGAATACCTCTTGAGTACAAAATATAAGGCGATTTATTTTTTACTTCCTCTTCCAACGGCCTGAGCAATACTGGAAAGCCCATCCTGAATGACGAGCTCATCCAATTCTCTCTTAATTTTCTGAACGATGGGAGGGCCATGATAGGCATATGACGTGTAGATCTGGACCAAAGATGCACCAGCCTTGATCTTATCATAAGCATCACTCCCATCAAAAATCCCACCAACCCCAACGATGGGAATTTTCCCTTTTGTTCTTCTGTACATATCCGCAATCATTTCAGTCGATTTTTCAGTGAGAGGAGCTCCACTGAGTCCCCCGGACTCTCCCCTGCTTTCGCTCATCAATTGCCCCCTGGAGATGGTGGTATTAGACAAAATTAATCCATCGACCCTCGACTTTTTCCTCAGAATGACGTCCACCACGTCCTGACGCTCTGCCTCAGTCAGATCTGGTGCCAGTTTTAAGAGAAGTGGTGGTTTCTGTCTCATTGAGTCTCTCACTTGATTCAACCGAGTCAATAGTACCTCTAGATTATTTTTACTCTGCAGATCTCTCAACCCCTGGGTGTTGGGACTGGAGACGTTGATCACCAGGTAGTCTGCAACGTCTGAAAATTTTCTTATACCCTCGGAGTAGTCGTTTATCGGATCCTCTGAAGTCTTGTTCTTTCCTAAATTTACACCGATTATTCCAGCGAACGTGGGATCGGCTCTCAGGATTTTCAGACGATTGTACACTACCTCGTGACCATCACTGTTAAATCCGTATCTATTTATGACGGCTTTGTCCTCAGTGAGACGAAATACTCTGGGCTGAGGATTTCCTGGCTGAGGCTTTGGAGTAACTGACCCTGAAAATTATTTTCTCTTCATTAGAATTTTTCTAGATTGAATATTTTTTAAGCAGTCACCTATTTCCACGAATCCAAAACCCATGGTGGTGAGTCCTTGAACAGCTTCTCCCTGTTTATCAAAACCCGCAGCCATCCCCAGAGGATTACTGAATTTTAATCCCCATAGGGATGTTTTCAGGGTCGAGGGGTCAGAAATATTCTGCGAGGGTGAGAATCTGTACTTCACAGCTGTCACTGCTAGATTGTGGGCCAATTCTGGATCCACCAATCTCACCAGGGGCATCACTATTTGATCGTAAAATTTTTCATTACCCTGGTAAACACTGAGACCTGTGAATAATGTAGCTCCACTGATTGTAACCTTTATGAACGATTTTATTTTATCTCTATTTGACATTTTCACTGCCATTTTTCATTGTTTTCCCATTTGCAGTCCCTGGTTGCACGTTTCAAAGATTTCTAACCTCTTTCCAATATTTTTATTGAGATAAACTCACTACCGTCACTAGTGCAATGACGTAATTACTGAAAGGCGAGATAAACTTATAGATTAAGTAGAATTGAATCGAATGATTTTTTGGGTAGTTAGAAACTGAGTAAATTCACATTATTATTTTTAAATCCCCCGCGTTGCATTATGTGGGGCACTAGGACACGATCCCATTGGTTGAAGTTCTGGGGGTTGGAGTGACCCCAGCGGCATCATAGTAATGCACCCCAAGAGAGGGAGGGCGCCACACGCAATGGGGGTTGAAGTGTTGCTGAGATAATTTAAATGATCAGAGGATTTTTCGCTCGCTTTAATGCTGTTTAATTTTTCAAATAATTTGGGAAAACCTGGAAAACAGATCTAGAAATAATTTGAATAATAAGAAATTTTAACCGAAAAATTCTAGTCCAGATTATTAAACACAAGTTCTTCACTCTAGACTCGATGACTTCTGAAGATGAACTGGTGTTTCCTCGCAATGGAAAACTAAAATTTATTATTGATCATGTGTAAAGGCACTATTTCCAAAAGTTTCTTGATAAATCCCGAGAGTAATTTACCTATGGAATAAATTGCTTTCCCTCCAGTGCGTGTCGACTTCTCAAGATGAACCGCTTATCTCTTGCATTAGTGAAATAAGAATTGTTATTGATCGTGTGTAAAGCCGCGATTTCCAAAAGTTTTTTCAACTCCAGGGGCAATTGAGGTGTCAGAAGGGTTGACGATAATTTCCGCAGTCGCAGTGTGAAAAAGTTTCTTCTTCAAGAAGAAAGACTGACAGTATAATCGACTCGTGGAAATAATTTTCACCATTACAATCTCGAGAAGGGGTGCAGAATGGATATTTTTACCGAGGGGCATTACAAGAGAAATCGGATACTCATGATATCAGTGGGAATTTGGCCGGAGTCTTCTATATTCTCCAAAATATTTGCCCGCACTTTTGCACTAGTTATCTTGTTCAGCATGTTACTACCTCAGGTATCGAAAATTCATATCGATTTTTCTGATCAGTTATTTCGATTTTCTCGCTAAGACTCCACTGAACGTTTGCAAAATGAGAAAAAAAAATAGAGAGAAATTTCCCCAAAATTAATGGATCGGAGTAATTGAAAAAATTGAAATAAATTAAAATAATTGGAACAATTGGAATGGATTTTTCTTACTTTTGTGAGTTCCATGGGCTCTTGATAAATTATACCGCCTAGAAAAATAAACAATATCTCTGGATTTGTAGTATGCATTTTTGAAACAACCGGAGCGAAATATAAGCGATTTTGTTTCAGTCATAGTAAATGAAATGGCAATAATTCTTGTATGTATGGAGCTATGTTACGTCGCGTCAAACATGAAAAAGGTAAAACGAGATAAATAATAAAAAATTCCAATACGAGTGGACAAAGGAAAATATTTTCCTCGAAAAATTACAGATAGAAAAAGAAATAAATCTTATTCGAGAGGACTGGACAATGCTCAGAGGAACTCTGGCAATCGAAATTCTTCATCGTTACGTCTCGAGAGGATCCCTGGGGACAACATTATATATGAGTATTAAATTATTTATTACCCAAATAAAAATGTACAATTTAAGATTTCAATTGAATGCACTGACAGATCGATTTCAGGTTTCATGTTCTCAGCGACAATTTTGATTTTCTTTCTCCTTCCACTGGAGCCGGTGATTCTCGACATTTTGATACCTCTTAATCAATCGAGAACTAAAATCCACCCATTTGACTCTGATTACTCCGTCTACGGTATATCTGCGGATAAATATTATTATTACACTCTTCTCCATAGTCTAATCATAGCGCTGATTTTATCCGCCTCAATCGTCTCGATTGATACTTTCATTCTGATCGGCGTGGAACATTGTTGCGGCTTGTTCGAGGCCGTCGGGTAAATAATTTCTCCATTAATTCCACAACTCATGATAAATTATTCATAAAAATTTCAGTTGCATATTGCGAGAAATGCGGGATGAGGACAATCCGTCGAGTGAGGGAGAAATAATTCGTAGAGCAATACTTATGCACAAGCGAGCAATTTCGTGATTATTCTCAAACTCATTAATATCGACAGCTTAACAACAGAAGGGCATGAGTGCACAATATTTTATTCAATTAAAAATAAATTTTCAACTTTTTTTTCACATTTTCTCGGTTAAATGAGAACTTCAGCACTTGCGTCGATCTGTTACGGAGCTATCGAATTACTCTCGAATTAAATCGAGTTCGGATGTTGTTTGGATTATTTTTATTGTCTTTCTATAGATTGGCAGAACTCATCGAATCTTCCTTTACGATGATGCTCGGATTTGTAGTTCTAACTAACATGATATTAATTAGTATAACTGCATTGCAAGTACGTATATCATTATCTCGTTGCGATTACATCAATTTATCGATTGCGATTGGTGCAGGCCATGTTTGAGATGGACGAACCCGCTAAAATGGCTGGATTCCTCATTTTTGCTGTTGGACAAATCACACATTTGTTGTTCCTGAGTATTCCAGGGCAGGAATTGTATGATCACAGTAGCCGAGTCTTTAATACCATGTAGGTCCCGCCATTGAATTTTTTCAAATTTGAAAATTTTCAAATTTCCCAATATTCCCATAATATTTTGGATATCCTCACAAAAAATAATTCATCAAATGGCAATTGATTCTAGTTACAGTACCAACTGGATTAAATTATCCACTGAACACCAAAAAATGATCCTCATTATGCTGATGCGAAGTATGAACCCATCGTACATAACAGCAGGCAATTTTTATCGAATGAATGTCGAGAATTTCAAAAATGTGAGTCTCCTGTGCCATTCCACTGTTATAAATAATGATCGAACAATTATTTATTCTAGGTATTGCAAACCTCAATGTCGTACTTCACAGTATTCCTCTCAGTGCGATAATCACGATGATCTCATCAAATAGAATGAAATAGAATCGAATTTATTTCCACAACGTAACTTTTACATATTTATATTTTCCGAAATTAAATAGATAATTTGCTGCAAAAAACACCAGAAACGATAAAACAATCGTAACTACCCTCCAATTGTTCCTCAACATTCTCTCCAATCCAATTTCTTTCTGGAGTATTTTTCGCGGTTGTATTGCCCCGAACTCCTGAAAGAACTGAAAGAAAAAGAACGAATTATTATCGATCGAATGTAACCCCATCCTCAGTATATATCCCATGATTATTTATGATTGACAAGTACTCATAGACAAGTACTCATTTTCACAAAATGTAAGATAATGAGTTCCGTTTAGTATCTTCTTACACACGGTGCGCAAAACCCGTCATTGTTATCCGAATGACGAATGACAGAACAGTCTGAATAAAACCGACTGGACACATGGATATTTTCAACGATGGTTGTTATAAACAAAATAGAATTCTCATGATCACAGTGGGAATTTGGCCTCATTCACCGTTGCTCATCCGAGTGATTGCGCGCTGTGTTGTTCTCATAATTTTGTGTAGTTTATTGTTGCCCCAGGTATTTTTTATTTAATATTTTCTCAGTGACAGTGACATCCACTTAATTAACAATTAGCTTTAACGCATTTTGGCTCACGTTACTAAGTTTGTATTGACGGGATCATTTGATTTTTCTGTTTCGTAATTTTTAGTACGCCTTTCTGAATCAGCCAGACAAACACTTGAATGATTTGATATCCTGTCTGATAATTCAATTAGTTATACTGACTGTCGTCCTGAAGATATGCTACATTGCGTTGAATATGAGAAAGGTTTGTACACCAGTTGAATCAGTCGAATGGAATTTAATTATTGAAGAGAGAAAATTATTGCGACGTTTTAAATTAATCGAACTGAGTTGTGAATATTGAAAAAATATTGGAACGGACCGTTTTGATCTGCTCTTTTTTTTTAGTGGATAATTAATGGAGTCACTAGAACAATTTTCAGGTTCTAGATGGGATGAAACGAATTCAAGAGGACTGGATAATTCTCGAAAATACACCGGCGATTCATGTTATTCGTCGTTACTCCAAGAGAGGATACATAATATCTAAAATATACATGAGTATGTATTCCGAAAAAGAAGTGATTCTGTAGAAAGAAATTTGTCGTGTGCGGAAATTTCTGTGGAACCCATAAAATGTCAATATTTCCTAGTGTTTTATGGGAATTTTTTCATGAATTTCTCTCGCCATTTTTTTTTTCTGTCTGGAGAAATTTGAATGGGGAATATTTTCAGTTTTTTTCTTCTGCGCCACGACGCTGGTTTTTTTTGTAATGCCTCTGAAGCCTCTAATTCTCGATACGATATTGCCGCTGAATATATCGAGACCTCGGATATATGCATTCGACGCTGATTATTCAATATTTAATATATATGAGAATGATTATTATTGGGCCTTACTGCATACTTTGATCCTTGGGTTGACGCTGGTTGAAGGAATTGTAGCGATTGATACATTTGTTTTAATAATCGTTGAACATTGTTGTGGATTATTCGAAGCCGTTGGGTAAGCCATAATTACCGAATTATTTCTATGATCTTTTAGATATATTTTACAACTCCCAAAAATCTCTGGATTAAAATCTCTCAGAGTTTAAATATATTCATACATTTTCAGGTACATACTCAAAGGCTTGCGAAACGAATCTTGTTCGTTGCGCAGAAATAAAATCATCCGCGAAGCGATTTTTGTGCATAATCGCGCTTTGTCGTGAGTACTGGATTAATAAATAAATATTAAACAAATACGAGACGATAAAAATATTTTTCAAAATTAATGAATTTCCCTTTTGACGGAAATAATTCACCAAAATTACTGAATTTGTCCAGCAAATTTCACATTTCCTAATCCCATGTTTAACTAAATAATCGGGATATTATTTTTAAAGATTGGCAGAACTAATCGAGTCATCCTTCACAATGATGTTTGCATTTGTAGTGCTGATCAACATGATCCTGATAAGTATGACAGCCTTTGAGGTACGAAGACAGAAAAAAAAATTCTTTGAAAGAATAATCCACTTCCAATTATCGATAATAATTATCGTATGGATATGAACAATTAATTTTCAGACAGTCTTGAAAGTGGACGACCCTGGGGAGACGGTGAGATTCGTATTGTTCATTATCGGACAAATAGCCCATTTGTTCTGCACGAGTTTACCCGGACAGGAATTACTCGATCACAGCAATCGTGTCTTCACGGATATGTATAAACAAATTCAATTGTTAAGGTGTTCTCAGTATAAATGATAATCTGTCAGTTATAACAGCAATTGGTTCGACATTGCTGGTGGAGAGCAAAGGATGCTGCTGTTCATGTTGATGAGGAGTATGAAGCCATCCTACATGACAGCCGGTAAATTCTACACACTGCACATTGAAAATTTCAAAAATGTGAGTCTCCCGCCGATTTAGCTGATAACAATTTCAAATATCTCTGATTTTTTACAGGTACTGCGAACATCGATGTCATACTTCACAGTATTTCTGTCTGTTCGATGATCATTGGGAAGATAACTCCATGTATTTTCTATTTTCAACCTTTCCCCACTAATTAAATTAATATTGAACGATCCCTTTCGGATCCCTGAAGGAGAGCCACCAAAATTTTCCGAAAGAGTGAACTCCATCGATTATTTATTTTTTTTCATCAGTCATTTGATTTTTTCATCACTTTTTTATTCGTATGACTGTCTCATTTTTTTTTTTGACACTCGGTTATTTTCAGGGGTCCTGAATTTATATTTTCAATAAATTATCTTCAATTTCTAAATATTTTGGGATGAATAATTTCGGTGGGTGCGATCGTGATGAATAAAAATCCAATGCGCCACGATGGAGACTTCAATGCGTGGAGTGGAACTGATATCGTACCACATTCGAATTATTTTATCCCTCAATTTTATAAAACAAATTGTTCATCAGATTACGAGTAAAAGAAATTCTGAATTAGATCAAAACAATTAAATTTCACCAATGGGACTTGAAAAATTAGGAAGTCAACCTGCAATCACTGAAAAGGTCCAGGACTGGTAATTGAATTTTCTATTCCCATTTTTTTCTCTATTTCCTCTACTTATTTTTATTATTACACAGTAACAATTAATTAATTAATAAATCAATGATAAAAATTCACAGAATCATTTTTAGATTTTCGCGATAAATAAAAAAATGCAAGTTGAGACAAACAGTTTCACACCCGCAAGTGATAGACGTAAAAATATCGCGTGCTGTGTACATCTCGTAACAGAAAGAAATAGTTGGGGGAACCCCAAACAGCGATAACAGGAGGAACTAACTCTCCGCAACAGCTATTACACACTTGAGAAATTGCCATCGATTATTTCCATAAACGCTTCCGCAAAGTTTATCACAGAAACAATGGCGTATTACGAGCAATTTGTTGAATTGCAAATGAAAGAAAGAGTTAGAGCTGGGGAGTAATTTTTGTCTTAGTACTCCACGAACCACCGAGCAGTGAAGAAATAGCTCTCGACCAATTCAGGATGAAAGCGGTCAACATATTTTCGTGTGGTTATTACAAAAATAACAGAATCCTCATGACAATCATTGGAATATGGCCGGAATCATCGATTAAGATAAAAATTTTATTGCGCTGTACTGTATTGGTGTTGTTGATTTCAATATTGATACCTCAGGTATCATATTTTTATTTTTTATACGCATTTTGGTTGACGATAGTCGGTGTCATTTTTTCAGTGGGCATTTTTATTGAGAAAGTGCGAGAATATGGATGACATGATATTCGGAATAATAGCGCAGATAACGATATCGATAGGATTTACTAAATATTATTTTGTCATGTCGATCATGAAACAGGTGCGATCATTTATTTATTCTCCACTTCGATCGATAATTCATGGAATAAGTTTTTCAGCTTGAGGTGGTCATTGAGAAAATTTCTGAGGACTGGCGAATTTTTCAAGACTCACTGGCAATTGATACTCTGCACGTTTATGCATCGAGGGGAACATCCGCGACGAAATTCTACATGAGTAATTATTCACTGTATTTTTACGGTTAAAATTTTGAATGACTTAATTTAAAAAGTTAATTTATTAAATGAGGATTCAGGTGACTGCATTTTCTGGATGGATAAACAATTTAGGGAGGGTTTTAAATAAAATTCACGTCATACTTATATAATTGAGAAATAAAACCCTCGGTTCTTTGAAGACTCACATTTTTCAGGGGCAATTAATTTCAGTTACCATTTTCTCATCGTGTATTTTCTTCTCGATTGCTCCATTGAAGCAAGTGATTTTGGATGGACTTGCACCTCTTAATGAATCGAGGCCAAAGATTTTTATGCTGGATGTGGATTACTCAATTTATGGAATGGATGCGGATGATCAATATTATCTGATTCTGATCCACTCGTGTGTGACTACAATGATAGTGATGGATATGTTAGTGTCTGTGGACACATTTATTCTGGTGATGGTGGAGCATTGCTGCGGATTGTTTGAAACAATTCGGTAGAATTGCCGGACATTCGGAGTTAATCCTGAATTTATTTAGGTTGACTGATGAATTTTTCAGGTACATATTGAAGGAAATGGAGCTGGAGGAATCTGGGGAAAAGCAATGCCAGATAATTTCCCGTGCGGTGGTAATTCATCATCGAGCTATTTCGTATGTATTACAGGAAAATCGTGGATATTTATATGTTTATATATGTAGAATGGAATGTGGCGGGGAAATTTGAAAGTTATGTGAAAATATCTTCAAGATTCCTGGTTTTTGAAGCGCATCTTTCAGTTCACTTTACTGATGGGTATTCAGGATTTATCGTTTTACAGATTAGCGGAATTTATCGAGTCGTCCTTCAATGTAATGTATGCTTTAGTGGTGCTAACTAGCATGGTGTTGATCAGTACAACAGGATTCGAAGTATGGGAGCCGGGTGTTTGAAAGGATTATGGAATTTTCCATGAAAATATTGTTCCAGGCAATAATAAAAATGGATGAATTGTCGGAGGTGACGAGGTTTGGAACATTTGCTGCTGGTCAGTTGGTCCACTTGCTATTCATGACGTTGCCAGGCCAGGAATTACTGGATCATAGTACTCGAGTTTCCGAGCAAGTGTGTGTATTCGAAAAATCAACGTTAATGATGAAGCTTTATTATTTCATTGCATGACAGCTACAGCTGCGATTGGTCTCGGATATCCACGGATAGCAAAAAATTGATATCCATCATGTTGATGCGCAGCATGAAGCCACTCCGGATGACAGCCGGAGGATTCTATCTTATGAATATCGAAAATTACGGCAATGTAAGGAATCCAACAGGATTTAATTCACATATTCGATATTCCCGTTGATATTCCATTTTCAGGTATTGAGAACATCGTTTTCGTATTTCACGGTAATGTTGTCAACTCGCTGATGCTCAGGCTTGAGCATTCAATGATATTTATCGACTCCCGATGTACCATGTGCTCCATTGGATAATTGAAACGAACGTGTCGCTTCAACTTTATTTTAACAAAAATTCTTATTATCTCGTAACGTTGACTTTTATTAAAATTCTATGTCGAGTTCTTCCTCGTGTCGACTAATTATGATGATTCCAGTCGAACGCGTAAGCCCGTCGTTTGCTCAGATGACTTTTGCCTGAGATGAAATGAATTTCGAGTGATCACAATCACCCGTTCACTATAACAATCACTCACCTCGCACTGAATCCTTTTACATGATGCAGATTGTCCGATTTATTATCTCGATATGACTTCAACTTTTGGGATTCCCTAGTTTTCTGTTTCAGTATAGTTGCCGTGAAACAAGCATCGATTTTGTACATAAAGTGGTTGAATTTACTCAAGTATTATGACTGCTGGTGATGGACGTACATCGCGTGCTCTGTACTGTAAGTGAAAGAACGATTGGAGAAACAAAACCCTCTGGATGCAATTGCGACTGACACCTGATGGCGTCGGTCTGGTGTAGGTTCCAAGTATTTTCTCCAAATAATAGTGTACGAGTCACATGCACGAATGACGTACCCATGAAAAAGGCGATCGATCGCTTTCATAAACGTTTCTACAAAATTCACCAATGCTACAAGCGATGGACTATCAAGGGTAATTTTTTGAATTGTAAATGATGGAAAGGCTCTGGGGGGAGTTGTTCTTTCTGTAGTCCGCGAGCCGTCGAGCAGTGAAGAACGAACACTCGGATATCACTTGCAAATGAAAGGTGATAATATTTTTTCCGATGGATATTACAAGGCCAACAGAATTTTGATGATTATTATTGGAATATGGCCGGAGTCATCGCTGTCTGAGAAAATTATTGTCCGCATCGTTATGTCCATAATATTGCTTTCCATGTTGATACCTCAGGTATCAGATATCAATTATTCGATAATTCACGGGATGATAAATCGTTGATTTTGCAGTACGTGTATCTATTCAGAAAGTGCGATACTCTGGATGATATGATATTTGGACTAATAGCGCAGGTGTCAGTAGCTATAGGATTTACAAAATATTACTTCATGGTGTCGAATATGAAACAGGTTTCTAGGTTTATTGTCGAGTTTTGGAATGTGATTAGGTGGAAATTCCGGGGAATTATTGTATTGTTGTAGATTCGAATGGCTATTGACCAGGTGCGACAGGATTGGCGTATGTTTGATGATTCCCCGGCCATCGAAACTATTCACAATTATGCTGCGAGAGGATCACTCGCTACAAAATGTTACATAAGTTGGTATTTATGTGATTCAATTATATAATTGGTGTAATTTCCAGTAGAAGACGTCAATTACAAATTTTATTTTTTTCTCAAAGCCATCGGACCATCTCACCATATTTTATTTACACTTCAATTCGTTCGGTGACAAGATTTTTTTTGTTGTTTATTGGTTCCAGTTATCTTTTGTGCTGCATATTTAATCTTCTCTGTTGTTCCACTGAAACAAGTTATTTTGGATGCACTGATTCCCCTCAATGAATCGAGGCCGAAGATTTTTATATTCGATGTGGACTACTCCATTTATGGAATTGATGCACTTGAGTACTATTATCCAACGTTGATACATTCGTGTTTCAGTAGTATGATAGTGCTACATATGATTGTGACTGTAGACACGTTTGTGCTGGTCATGGTGGAGCATTGTTGTGGGCTGTTTGAAACCATTGGGTAAATTCTATAATGATATAATTATGAATAAATCAGGTGATCCTGAATTTATGTTACAGCTTGATTACGAAATTTCAGGGGTATATTGAAGGAAACGGAGCTGGAGAAGTCTGGGGTACGGCAATTTAAAATTATTTGTCGTGCAGTGGTTGTACATCATCGGGCTATTTCGTATGTAATCCAGCGAAATTGTGTACATGAGTAATATAACTGTAGGGTATTGAAAGCAGCTGGTGAATCTTTCCGAATTCAGTTAAATTCAAATTTTTAATAGTCAATATTCGAGGACCAATCACTACCGAATTCTAGAAATATATGATAGTGTAATTTTTCAGCTGGCGTCCATTGGAGATTTATATTTTCACAGATTGGCGGAATTTATCGAGTCATCCTTCAACATGATGTATGCTTTCGTAGTGCTAGCTAGCATGGTGTTGATCAGTTCAACAGGACTCGAAGTATGGCAGCCGGGTATTTGAAAGGATTATGAAATTTTCCATGAAAATATTATTCCAGGCAATTATAAAAATGGATGAGGTGGCGGAGATGACCAGGTTTTTAACATTTACTGTTGGTCAACTGTTCCACTTGCTATTCATAAGTCTGCCAGGCCAGGAATTACTTGATCATAGCACTCGAGTTTCCGAGCAAGTGTGTGTATTCGAAAAATCAACGTTAATGATGAAGCTTTATTATTTCATTGCATGACAGTTACAGCTGCGATTGGTCTCGGATATCCGCGGATGGCAGAAAATTGATATCCATCATGTTGATGCGCAGCATGAAGCCTCTCCGGATGACAGCCGGAAGGTTCTATCTTATGAATATCGAAAATTACGGCAATGTAAGGGATTCAACAGTATTGAATTCAAATATTCGATATTCCTGTTGATATTCCATTTTCAGGTATTGAGAACATCGTTTTCGTATTTCACGGTAATGCTGTCGACTCGCTAATGCTCTGGCTTGAGCATTACATGATATTTATCGACTCCTGATGTAAAATGTGCTCCATTGGATTGGATAGAACTTTATATTGTTAAAAATTCTCATTATCTCGTAACGTTGAAAAAAAAATGTTAAAACTCACAGAATTTTATTAAATTCCTATGTCGACTTCTTTCTCATGTCGACTAATTATGATGATTCCAGCCGAACACGTAGGCCCATCGTTTACTCAAACGACTTCTGCCTGGGATGAAATGAATTTCGAGTGATCACAATCACCCGTTCACTACAACAATCACTCACCTTGCACTAAATCCTTTCACATGATGCAGAGTGTCCGACTTATTATCTCCATATGACTTCAACTTTTGGGATTTCCTAGTCTTCTGTTTCAGAATACTTGCCGTGAAACAAGCATCGATTTTGTACACAAAGTGGTTGAATTTACTCAGGTATTATGACTGCTGGTGATGGGCATACATCGCGTGCTCTGTACTGTAAGTGAAAGAACGATTGGAGAAAAAAAACCCTCTGGATGCAATTGCGACTGACACCTGATGGCGTCGGTCTGGTGTAGGTTCCAAGTATTTTCTCCAAATAATAGTGTACGTGTCACGTGCACGAATGACGTACCCATGAAAAAGGCGATCGATCGCTTTCATAAACGCCTCTACAAAATTCACCGATGCTACTAGCGATGGATTATTAAGGGTTCTTTGTTGAATTGTAAATGATGGAAAGACTCCGGGGGGAGTTGTTGCTTCTGTAGTCCGCAAGCCATCGAGCAGTGAAGAACGAACACTCGAATATCTCTTGCAAATGAATGGTGATAATATTTTTTCCGATGGATATTACAAGACCAATAGAATTGCAATGATTATTATTGGAATATGGCCGGAATCGTCGCTGTCTGAAAAAATTATTGTCCGCATCGTTATGTCCATTATATTGCTCTCCATGTTGATACCTCAGGTATCAGATATCAATTATTCGATAACTCACGGGATGATAAATCGTTGCTTTTGCAGTACGTGTATCTATTCAGAAAGTGCGATACTCTGGATGATATGATATTTGGACTAATAGCGCAGGTGTCAGTAGCTATAGGATTTACAAAATATTACTTCATTGTGTCGAATATGAAACAGGTTTCTAGGTTTATTGTGGAGTTTTAGAATGTGATTAGGTGGAAATTACGGGGAATTATTGTATTGTTGTAGATTCAAATGGCTATTGACCAGATGCGACAAGATTGGCGTATGTTCGATGATTCTCCAGCTGTCGAAAGTATTCACATTTATGCAACGAGAGGGGCATTCATTACGAAATCTTACATAAGTTGGTATTTATGTGATTCAATTATATAATTGGTGTAATTCCCAGTATAAGCCGTCAATTACACATTTTATTTTTCTCTCAAATTGTTCATTGGTTCCAGGTATCTTTTGTGCTGTATATTTGGTCTTCTCTGTTGCTCCATTGAAACAAGTTATTCTGGATGTACTGATTCCCCTCAATGAATCGAGACCGAAGCTTTTTCTATTCGATGTAGACTACACTATTTATGGAATTGATGCACTTGAGTACTATTATCCAACATTGGTACATTCGTGGTTCAGCTGTATGATAGTGATACATATGATTGTGACGATAGACACATTTGTTCTGATCATGGTGGAGCATTGTTGTGGGCTGTTTGAAACCATTGGGTAAATTCTATGATGATATAATTATGAATAAATCAGGTGATCCTGAATTTATGTTACAGCTTGATTACGAAATTTCAGGGATATATTGAAGGAAACGGAACTGGAGAAGTCTGGGGTACGGCAATTTAAAATCATTTGTCGTGCAGTGGTTGTACATCATCGGGCTATTTCGTATGTAATTCAGCGAAATTGTGTACATGAGTAATATAACTGTAGGTTATTGAAAGCATCTGGTGAATATTTCCGAATCCAGTTAAATTCGAATTTTTAATAGTCAATATTCGGGGACCAATCACTACCGAATTCTAGAAATATATGATAGTGTAATTTTTCAGCTCGCGTCCATTGGAGATTTATATTTTCACAGATTGGCGGAATTTATCGAGTCATCCTTCAACATGATGTACGCTTTCGTAGTGCTAGCTAGCATGGTGTTGATCAGTACAACAGGACTCGAAGTATGGCAGTCGGGTATTTGAAAGGATTATGAAATTTTCCATGAAAATATTATTCCAGGCAATTATAAAAATGGATGAGGTGGCGGAGATGACCAGGTTTTTAGCATTTACTGTTGGTCAACTGTTCCACTTGCTATTCATAAGTCTGCCAGGCCAGGAATTACTTGATCATAGCACTCGAGTTGCCGAGCAAGTGTGTGTATTCGAAAAATCAACGTTAATGATGAATCGTTATTATTTCATTGCATCACAGTTACAGCTGCGATTGGTCTCGGATATCCGCGGATGGCAAAAAATTGATATCCATCATGTTGATGCGCAGCATGAAGCCACTCCGGATGACAGCCGGAGGATTCTATCTTATGAATATCGAAAATTACGGCAATGTAAGGAATCCAACAGGATTTAATTCGCATATTCAATATTCCCATTGATATTCCATTTTCAGGTATTGAGAACATCGTTTTCGTATTTCATGGTAATGTTGTCGACTCGATGATGCTCAAGCTTGAGCATTACCTCATATTTTTAGACTTCTGTATTATCTGCTCCACTGGAAAGTTGAAGCGAACGTGTCGCTCTCACTAAACTGTTAAAGATTAATTATATTGTAACATTGAAAAAAAAAATGGACAACTCAAGTAACTTTATGAAAAATTGATTGAAGGTTCTACATTGTATTGAATAATTATTATGATTAGTGCCCTGAGAACTCACCGAGGACTTGGACGTACCGATGAAAACACGTTTGCGCAATAATTGGTTCACCTGTACCGAAACAAAAATCCTAATTGGCAGTTATGAAACGACTCGTGCTTTGCAAAAAGTAGAATGAGAATGAAATACCTGGAAAAAAACCGTCAGAGCCTATGGAGATGAGAACTGATAGGGGAAAAACTTCTGCATCCCTCTAAACTTTTTTTGTAGCAAACTCGTGCGAAGTGTGAAGTTACAAACATTTTCTAAAAATGAATAGAGGAGTGAGAACGGAGCAGGTGTGAAAACGATGTAAAGTCCGAAGAAGAAAAAACTTTGACATTAGGGTGCATCACTCGAAAGTTTTTCTCGAGAAATCCCACGAATTGCCTCGTCTCACCACAGTTTCCATGATATTTATAGATAAAAATTCACAGAGCCACCTTTTCTAGTGCATATTTGAGTGCACAAGGGGAGAAATAATGGGGAAAATATGAAGAGAAAATAAAAAATACTTCGGAGGTGAATCATTGTTGTGTATGAGGGTGGGTTCAACCCCTGCTTCCATCACTCCGAGGTCGTTAACTTCAGAATAAATGGATTTTCCATTCGATGGGAATTATTCGCCGGTACTTTCTACTATTCGTGGATGATCATAAATTTTTTACGTAATGATTCAACTCAGGTGGTTCAGGGTTTTAACTGGCAAATGATGTTCGGTGTATGTACTTCCCTCAGAGGTGAATTGAAAAATACAGTGCACCTGCGCGTGAAAATGCTGGGACTGAGGGAGAATCCCATTGTGGAATTTCGTCATGTGTTATTGACAATGATCATTCGGAGGAGAAGTCTTCCACCAGAACGGTAACAAGGGGATTTGACGAGAATATGAATAAATAAAAATAACGTGTTATCCTAAAATATCGTATAGCATCGATGACGATACTAGGGGGCATGCTAAAACCGAGAAAAAAAGCTGAAGTCATTTGTATTTCTCGCTTGAAGGAGAGACCTCGTGTGAACAGTGAATAAGCACCGCCAATCATTAAACACCCACCGCTAGGAGATGAATAATATTTGTGGGCAATATTATAAATGGAATAGGATACTCATGACTATTGTCGGAATATGGCCCGAATCATCGAAATTTATTACATTAGCGGCGCAAAGTTTAGTGGGTCTATCAACGCTGTCGTTAGTAATCCCTCAAGTATGTTAAATTATGGTATCATAATTCTACAAGGATGTGCAGAGCAAAGCAAACTATTTTGCAGCTGCTATTTTTTTTCGAAAATACTAGAGGAGAGAAGCGCGACTTCATCCCCTTCGATCCGAATGATTAAAGCAACCGTTTTGCCTCACACTATCCTTTACACATATTTTGGAATGTGACTATCAAATATTATTTCACTTCCAGTATGCCTTCCTTGCGAGAATGTGCAGCATTCTGGATGATATGATATACGTGATAATCATACAGATGATAACTGGTCTAGGAGTGGTGAAATGTTATTATTTTGCAACTAACATGGAACTAGTTTGTATATTTATGGAGAAATATTGATGAGAAATTAATCTCGTGGAGGAAATCCGTTGAATTATTCGCAGATTAACAGCAAGACCTTCGACTAATGAATCTGATATTTTTTTTTCAGATGAGAACAGTTATAAATCGGATGTACGAGGATCATCGTATTCTAGAATCGTCACCAGCTGCTGCGACAATCGCGGCATATGCTGTAAGAGGATGCTGGAGGACTCAAATGTACACAGGTACCTTATATAATTAGGGGAAAATAAATTAATGAAATAAATTCAAGAAATGATACGTTTCAGTTACAATGCTGAGTGCATGCTCTTTTTTCCTCCTGAGTCCATTGACACCGGTAATACTTGACAGTCTACTACCACTTAATGACTCCAGACAAAAAATATCTACATTTGATACTGATTACTCAATTTTTGGAATTAATAGTGATGAATATTATTATGTTACCGTTATTCATGGATATATCACTGGCATTTTAATTATGATAAGTATAATAGCAGGGGATACGTTCATGTTCATTGTATCGGAACACTGTGGCGGACTATTCGAGGCTGTCGGGTAACTGAACTCGAGTTATACGACTGGAAATTCTTTAAATAAATTATCGTACCAGTGCCAAAAGATGAATTTTCATGAATTTTATTGGTATTTGAAATAAAAATTACAAGAGATGACACTGAAATTTTTGGTCGACAAATATCATCCGTTTTCGCTTACTAGCACTCCAATTTCTCTAAAGAATTTCTCTCTGCGAATTTTTAATGACAAAGGAGTACAGCTGGAAGCCAATGTTTCAGTGCTATATTGCAACAAACATACGAGAATGTATCGCCAGAGTTGCGGAATCGATCAATTCGCGATGCAAAAAATCTTCATTATCGAGCTATCTCGTACGCATCATCAGGATTATTATTTTTTTTCTCCATCGCTCTGCGAAAAATTCTAATTTATGAATTTGCACGATTCAGAATGGCAGAGTTGGTTGACTCAACCTTCACAAATATGTACGCCTTATTAGTTGTGTTGAACACAGTATTAATCAGTGTGACAGGATTAGAAGTATGACGATCGAATTTTTATGAAAATCATCTCGTATTGTGTCATCATCAGTTGCATAATTTCAGACAATTTTAATGATGGATCAACCATCCGAAATGGCTCGGTTCTTTCTGTGTGCTATAAGCTTCGCAGCGCATTTGATGATTTTAAGTGTGCCAAGCCAAGAAATACTCGATCATAGTAGTCAATTATCTGAAGCTATGTATGTCCTACCCAATTAATTAATTTATTACGAAAATATTTAAATGTTTCATAACACATTTTTATACATCTCGCGCTAGTTATGCCAGTAACTGGATGGAAATGTCCATAAAGGACAGACAATTGATATCCATTATGTTGATGAGAAGTCGGAAGCCACTTTGCCTGACGGCTGGTAGATTCTATCACATCCACGTGGAGAATTTCTCTCAGGTAATAATCACGTACACGTTCTCATTTTTCTATTCATCTCATCTTCAATTTTTAGGTACTGAAGAAATCATTCTCGTACTTCACCGTTTTGATATCGTCTCGATGATCGAATTGGTGAACATTACAATTTTTATTCAACTGATTATTGGTAATATTCACCACAGATGGACAATAATCTTATTACCCAAGAATAGTAAAGAACTAATAAATGTTTTAAATCCTTGCTCTTATTTCCTCTGCTCAAATGATGAGTAACAATTTACTGTAGCTCAAACGAAAACATTTATTATCCAGGAATCATAAAAATACACTGAATCTTAATTTTTAATTGATGATTTAACCGTAAAGATATCCACATTATGTAATTAAATTCCATAGAAAAACCGTTTTCGGCAAAACTCACAGGTTTATACGCCAGGTTCTTCTATTAATTTTTGTACACTTGTCTCACTAGTTGACACGACACTCCACTGTGGAAGTAACCAAATCTCAATTATTTTGTATTGCATAGAAAAATCAACCCGAAAAATTGAAGAATTTATCCACAAGACTGGAGCTTGTCCTTATCTTTCGTTTCGATAACTAGAGGCCTCGTGGCGTAGAGATTTCCAACAATCACTTGTCTCTTGATCATCTCCAGGGATTCGAGTCCTTTATTATAAATTGCATCTATCTTTCCACTATCTGCAATACAGCGATTGACGTGGAACTCGTGTCTTATTTTTGCGAGAGCATATTCTCTGTAATTGAGCATTTAAAAATCATTCGCTAAATGATTCTACAGGAATTTTTGAATTTCAGGTGCCACCATAACTTAACCCACAAACTAACCAAAAAAATAAAATTTCCACAAACCTGTAATTATAGGAATTCCATTTCTTGCTTTCCCGGATTAAATTCCGGTAAAGATTCAACACAGCTGCACGTCCACAACTCATCATGACAAATTATTTATGTATTTATTTGATTATTTAATTTTTACTTCCTGGAGCACTCACCGACACTCGCATGGTGTTTGTGACTTGAATCCCAACCTCTAATTCACTCCAAGATAGCAATAGTCATAAAAACAATTGTGAAACGTCAATTATGGCTGTGAGTAAACAATTAAAATTATTTTCACAATCACTCAGACATTTATCAGGATTAATAATGAAAGTGGCACATCAATTCGAGCCATTAGCACTTGTGAATACATTGCAAAACTTCATAGAATATACGTTTCATTTTTCTGAGGTTATTCTTGTAAATACGACTGAAAAAAACTGCGAATGCGATTTTTCCATAAAAATAATTCTATTAAAATACTTCCTATACAATTTCCTCAAGCCAATTTTTCAAGTTCCTTTGAGTCATTTTATTGAAGAATTTGTTAAATAAAACAACTAGATAATTAATTGTAGTATAACAAAATAAAATAAAATAATTCTTAGCAACAAAATGCGCATGGTGACCACAAGGAGAAGAAGAGGAAGGAGAGTATTTTGGATTTGTCGAAATATCTAGAGAAAAATATTCGTGTGAAATTCGCTGGAGGTCGAGAAGCTGCTGGAATTCTCAAGGGATACGATCCTCTGCTTAATCTAGTGCTGGATAATACCACAGAGTACCTCAGAGGTAAAATCACTCAAATTCCACTGAAAATTTTGATTTCCACAGAAAACATTACATTACACTCTCATTCCTCCTCATGTTTCCTCTGGAAAATGAAAACAATAATTAAACGATGATTTTCCATCAATCAATTTCCAGATCCAGACGATCCATACAAATTGAATCAGGACACACGAATGCTGGGACTGGTGGTCTGCAGAGGAACGTCAGTAGTTTTAATTTGTCCAGTAGATGGTATGGAATCTATTCAAAATCCGTTTATCCAACAGGATGGCTAGTCCACTGATTAATAAAACATCAATCCCGAGAATTCGGTAAAAAAAAGCCGTGAGGCATTGATAATCGTAAGGAATATTTTTTAAATGTTCAAGTATATGTTTTTTCTACCATAAAACATCGATCTGCATGTTCAAATGAATAAAGATCATTCCATCTTCATGAGGGCCTCAGTCTTGAAACAATAGGTGAATAATTAATGTAGAATTTCATAAATGAGGATATCGTGGGATTCGAATGTCAGTCCCTTCCAAATTCGTTTCTGAACCAGGGATACTGCTTTGGGCAGTCGAAACAGGTCGTCAGGTATCTGTAGGACTTGAGAACTCTACTCGAGAGTTTACAGGTGTTTGGCATCTCGCAGGCAATTTCGTGTGGGGCTAGATCACGGGGATGACATTGCCAGGGCTCAAAGCTCGATAATTCGTTGATTCCTGTTGGCTTTTTCATCCACTCGATTGTTTGGTGGGTCGTAGTGAAGTACACGTCTGAGAGGTGAAGGATATCGTCCAAGAATTTCTGCAGGGCCAGGAGAAAAATTCTCTTGTGAAAAATGAAAATTTAGACAGGCGAGAGGTGACGTAATCTGTCCTACGGTGGACTCCCGTTAACGAGCGCTATTCTATTTTATTTTTATTTCTCTAACTGGCTATATCTCAAGTAAGTAAAAGATTAGGAGAATAAGTTTAAGAGATCAATCCATTTACCTCGAAGGCATAAATATGTGTTGGATTTCTGAACCACATGGAATTGAAATGCAGACCTAGTGGAGCACGGTTGGTTAAATAGTGTCGTTTGAAATTCAACATCAACATTTTGTAAATCTCCTCGCCGGTCAAGCTTGATGGGCACTGTTCAACCATCGCGCACGTGTAATCCTGTAATTTTATAAATAATTATTTCTATTAGATATGACTTCAGGTTTAATGAAAAAATATTATCAAAGATTTTAACTAGTTCTTTTCTTTTCCACTCTCTCTCTCTCTAATTATCACGAAAGATTATTTTTACCCCAATTAACAGTTGATTCAGGGGCACTTCCCAGACCCCGGGATACGCCCTGGTGGGACAATTCTGGTCTGTACCAACGCATTCATGTGGTGCCTGGTAATCCAGAGTATATGGCCAAAATGGTGAGTCTGTGAAGGGCGCAACCATTGATGAATCGTACGAAAATCCGAACTCAGACATCATGAGGAATTGTTTGTTCCATCCAACACGAAGGAATGGAGCTCTCAAGCCCTTGATATCCTCCAATCGAACTGCTGCGAATTTATTGAGAATGTTTGATAGTCCAACCATTTCGTCAAACCAATCCTCAATCGTTGCATTGTGAGACCACCATTCCTCTGGGCCTCGATGTCTATAATAAATCGAAATTAAAAAAAAAATCTCTACCTTTCCCTGAATTCATTTCACATGAATTCTCGTTCAGCGTTTTTTCCACTCGTATCGAATTCATTTATTGGGAGAAATTCACAGAAAAAATTTGATAGATTTTAATTTTTATTAGAATTACTCACGTGACGGAGTGAGCGGCAATTTCATGGCGATTATTCCACAGATCTTGAACGTCCCGATGATTCGTGTATTGATGGCTTACATAGAAAGTAGCTCGTATGGGGCAGCCATTGGGATTCTTCCTCTCATCATTGAACAACTCTGTTTCGAAATATCAAAGGTTTCGATCAATTTCTATTGTCGCATCGAGAAAGTCGTGCACTCACTTGTGTAGAGGTCGAAGTTCTCAGCATTCACTGCATCGTCGAAGGTGATTGTTATCATCTGGGGAACGTCAGATACCGTCAAGTTACCTGGAATTTGTTTGCCATCGTGAGAACACCAGCAATCTGGAAGTGAACAATTTTCGGTGTTGCAGGGGAGAGCTGCATTCGGATCGTGACCATCTGAAAATATTTTCAGCAATTATGTTGCATTTTTATTGCAACGAAATTCATTATTTCTCATCTTACCACACCAGGCCTCGTCTGATCCATCCGGACAATCCACACTACCATCGCAGAAATAAATATTTGGTAAACATGTGGTATCTCCACATGCCAAATTTCCACTGTCACAGGTTCCATTCTCAAGAAGAGGTTTCGGTGGTTGCACGTCTGAGAATAAAAACTTTTCGCTATCAACTCCGCCCGATGTTACGAGATAAGTCGATTTATCTCGGAAACTACTGATTTATCGGGAAAATCTCGAAGGACATTTTTGTAGCTTATTAAATTATGGATAGAAAAGGTCTTCTGATGTTTTCTCTCAAAATCAATAAAATGGCGACAGAAATGAGGTAAAATGTCAATTCGACTGATGTATGAGTTTTCAAGGAATGACTCTGGACGTGATAACATATCTGGGAATCTAACGGGAATAGCGGAATTTTTATCAATACCTTTTTTGTAGGTCTTATTGTACTCTATAAAAGAGGTCTTGGGAAAATTTTCACTGCTCCTGTTACGTTCGGAGATATTTTAAAAAATAAATCACTTGCTACCACTATCTCTTCGCGATTGAATTTCGCAATACTATTAATTTCATTATTACCTGTCGTCACGTCGCAATTATCAACATTGGTTTTAAAATCACATATCTGTCTCGTAACATCGAAGAGGAGTCCCTCCGAGCATTTGAACTCGAATACCTCATTGTCTATAAATAAAATAACAATGGCGATATGAGAAATCACGAATTCTCCGAATCGTGAGAGCTGCGAATCTTAATTTAATGAAAGAAAATAGTTGTTAATGAGGATTGCATAAAAACTTGTTTTTACAGGAGAAACAAGATTACATTTCCCTCGATTATTTTAATTATTCCTCATTACGTGTAATTTCCATTCAACTATTATCAAGTGAAATGTTTTATTTATTTTATCAGAAGGCATTTCATGATTATAATTCATTGACTTAAATTTGCAAAACCAATAATTTGGCAATTACCTAGGCATAAGAAATATTTGGCACATTCCGTTGGTGCCCAAACGCTGTGAGCAGGGGTATTAGGATTTCTATAAAATTTATTTTCCTCAATGCAAGGCGCATCATCTCTCCCTCCCACAACTAGAAAAACTGCAATTAATAAAAAAATGTAATTAATTGACAAACGATATTCGGTAGAACAACTGAACCGGAATATCAATTTTTAGCGATAACTTTCACCGAAATTATTTCCACGTGATCGGCTCTTGATTCATTGCCCGAGGGTGCGTAGATATGATTTTAAAAAATTGATACATGTTGATGTTTAACACATCGATGAGATACGAGGAAAAGAGCACTGACAGTTTTCACTTCTCGAATGAAAGGCAGTGAAATTTCCAGCGTTGTCGATTTATTTATTTAATAATGAAAAATATCTTCGACTGCAATTACGCACTGGGGGTTGATATCGCGGGTCTAGTAATTGGTGATAATTATTTTTACCGGCATTGAGGATCAGGATGTGATTTAATTGGATGGTGCACCTCATGGCTTGTTAATGTGGACCTTTCTCGGTGGCTCGCACTTTCAAACTGACAATTCCCCACTTTTTCACCGGTCCTCTTCACCTACCTGGAGGAGAAAGAGTAATATCTTTTTCCCACAGTGGAATGATAATTTCACTTATGGTTTTGGATCAATGACCGTGAGAAAATTCTTATCTTCCTCGGCATTCAAATATTCAAATTAAAACTCAAGTACAAAATGATTTCTAACTGTTCAGTTGTTGCGGAATAAAATAAATCATTCTGACGATGGAAAGTTGCGGATTGAATTTTGAATGTTTCCAATTAAATTCCAATTAAATCTTGTAATTGTCAATAAAATATCAATTACTATTCAAACAATATCCTCCCTACAATTTCCAAAAATTTAAATCAAAATTTGAATTCCCGATAACTTCTGAGGTGAAATTTCACATTTCAATTTTACCTCGAAATCACTCAGGATTTTCAAATAATCCCGGCATTCCCCGAGAGCCTCTACCTGCGCGGTCAATTCCACCCTTACCAACACTCACCAAAACAGCTGTACAAATCATCCCTCCCCCGCCCCAAAAAATAACAACAAACAATCACAAGATTATATACCAAATTGCCCGTGTAAAAATCGAACGCGAGTCCTAAAAACCGACCAATAAGTTCCCTTAACAATGAAAAAGCCTTCGAACTCCTGAGAAATAATTAATAGCGATTGAAAAGGAAAAACCCCTGGAAAATTAGTTGCACAAATGGTCAACATCGAGCGGTGGCATCGTCTTACGTGGGTTCAATGTAAATCGTCTAGTAGTGGTCGAACTTTCCGAAGCTGAATAAATCCCTCACCTCGTTCAGTCCGGAGTTCCAAATTAGATAAAAAATTATAAAAACCGAGGATTTAATTGCTCACAACCTCTGTCCCAGGAATAATTATCGGAATAATAAAAAAAATTCATTGTTGAACGACTGAAGAGTTTTTTGGAACGTTTAAAATGTCTGATACACGTCGCAGAAGGAAGTCAGACCAATCAGGAGGTTCTGAAGACCTGTCCGAGTCTTATGAGGAGCTCAATGCCACCAAGGAAACCCAGGTAAATTATTCAAACGACTTTTTCATTAATTTCTGATTGTTTTGGAATTAATTTGCCAGTTATTCGATTTATTTGGGCGTCTGTCACGCGTTTTTGGAGTACCTCCATCAATCTGGAGCACTACATCTTCACCGGTGGTTTTTTTTTTTTCTCCAATATCGTTCACCAGATTGGGGTCATTTACGGGATTCATCGGTTTCTCTTGTGATAAGGAACGAGTTTATTTATCTTTTATTTTTGGGGGCGAATTTCTCTGTGAAGGTTAGGGTCATTGGAATCGGGAAGTGCAATAGAGGGCACGTCGCCGGCATTCTCTCGTCGAAATTATATTTTCTAACAATAGACGAATTTCTTTTTTGGAGTATTTTAAAGCGTATCCTTTTTTCTTAATTGGATCGGGCTGGGAATTTTTGGCGGCGTTTTTTCGATTTTTAATCGTTAGTTTTTCGGATGGAGCAGTCGATGTTAAGTGTCAAATTTAAGGCTGAGGTGATTTTTAAAATTTTTACAGTGTTTTTCAGTGGGTGGAGTATTTTGGGGATTTCTTTTGAGAGATCGCAGTGTATAGTTGTTTATTGCACACTTGCGATCTTTCGGTGAGACCCATTCGTTCTGAGGAATTAAATGGCAGTGGGAGAGGCATTTTTTTGCCAGGGGTCACAGCAAAATGGACACTGAGTGATAAAATTAGGTCTGCGAAAAATTATTTGTTCCACATGAGAAATTTTAGTGGAGTGGAACAAATTTACGTGGAGGAAAACTCACGTGGAAATCGGGTCGACGGATTCTGTCAGATTTCAATAGATAATTATGATTTCCTTCCATTTTTTTTTCATTTTTATGAATTGATTCATAGACCAAGGGAAAAATTCTCGCACGAAAGATGATGAGTAAAGATCAAAAGAGAAATCGCATGACTCTGGAAAAAATTATAATGTTCTATCAGAAATTGAATGAGGTTTTTATATTGGAAGATATTTGAAATTCATATTGCCCAGCTTTTTTGGTCGATGATTTGCCTTGTTTGGTGTTATCAGTAATGAGGCATACACACATTTCTCGATAGTAATTCTTTGTATTTCATACAAGCGCAAGAAAGTGCGATAGGAGCTCACGTTACACAAACAAACTCTGAAGTGTCTATGGGTTTTAAATATTGAAATATTCCAGGCAGTATACAAACTATAAAAAATTTACCTGCCTCACCACTATCTAATCCTTCCTTCTTTAGTATTCACTCATAGATTTTTTTTCTTCTTGAACTCATTGAATTATTTCGGCAATTCTTTTTGAATTCTCAACTCGCATTTATTCTCCGCGTTTAGATAAATAGCAAAGATTCTCGAAAATGGAATTTACAGAATAGTGAACCGACGGAGGCACACCATGACTCCGAGTATGACACAGCAGGAAGTGATGGAGAGTCAGACGGTGGATCTCAGGACGGTGTCCAGAGGGAGAGTGGTGATGGCCAGGAGGAGGACAAACCCCAGAAAAAATTGGATGACGACGAGGACAGGCGAAATCCCCAGTACATACCGAAGCGTGGGACATTCTACGAGCACGACGACAGAACAGCCGAGGAGGCGACAGAGAGTACTGTTGAACAGCCACCAGAGAGGGATAATAAAGAGAAGAAGGTCTGGAGGGAGAAGGAGGACAGATGGGATCACGACAGGTACAACGATGAGGAACAGGCGCCCAAGAGTCACGAGGAGCTCATTGCAGTCTATGGGTATGACATTAGAAATGAGGAAGGCCCACCAAGAGCTAGGAGACGAAGAAGATACGGACGTGGTCCCAATAAATACACTCGCAATTGGGAGGATGAGGATGCTTATGGAAAAACCAGTGGTAATAACACATCTACGAAACATAATAGAAGGTCTAACAGAGGTGGTGAAGAATTTCCTGCCCTAAGAGGCTCCAAGGACGAACCTGAAACTCCTGAGGAACCTGTTATCTCGTCAGCATGGTACACCAATAAAAACAAATCCCAAACGAAACAATCGAATTTTCCACCGCTCCAGTCACAGCAGGATAACCAGAACAATAAAACACCTGGTGTTCAGAATAATTTAACTAATGAAAATAAAGCTCCGAATGAGCCGACAAATCCAGCCTGGAAAAAAGACGCTAAATACACGAGTCAGAGTCTTAGTCCCAGTAGAAATATTCCTCACGTTGAGCCTGATAAAATTGTTTATGGTAAACAGAATCACGTGAATAAGCGGCAGGTCCAGGAGTCTGTCAGTTTGGCAGCGAGTCGAGTTAGGGGACGTGGATTCAAACCTAGTGGTAATAATAATGTCATTGCCAATAGATCGGTCGAGAATAAAGGGCCGAAGGGTCGCGGAGGTGGAGTTATCACCAATGACAATGTACGGAGAAATACGAGTCTCGATGAGGAGCAAATTGTCAATGACATCAAGCACATGAGCGTCAATGATGGCAATTATCATCACCAGGGACGGCCAAGCAGTGAGTATACGGTCATATGATCAATGATTCAATCATTATCAGTAATGATTTATTTTCAGGGAATTTTTATGCACCACCAACGAATCAACGTCCCAATGTTCCTCCACCACGAATGCAACCACCATCACCTCAACAGCAGAATCATCTTCAATCACTGCCCGATGTTGCTGGTAATAGACCAAAACGATATTCCAGTCTTCGACAGAGACCAGCTATGCCGGAGGGTCCTGTCCAGCAGACGTACCCTCAGCAGCATTCACAACATGGACAGCATAATCAGCATGGATTTTATCCACCACAAGGTAATGATTAATCATCTTTTATTTAAAATATTTTCTCAGAAACCAATTTAATTTTATCACTTTCGATATTAAATATTTTTCAGCATCTTATGTCTTTTTAATCCACACCGTTCTTTTTATATACAGTTGTTTACTCAATCATTTTTATTAATTTACCTCTATCAGTTGACTAATAAAATCCTCAGACTTTCAAATTAATATCTGGAATTTAATCATTTTCTCAACCTTGTGTCTTTTTATAATTAATATCACTCTTATTATGTACGATCATCTAGCTGGAAACGCCCACGGTGTACTAGACTCCCAAGGTAAGGGCAATTGTTCCCAAAATTAATTGTTGATTGTGGTTTTGTTGTTCCTTAAATTGTTTATCTCATTGATTTCCATATTGGAAATGTAATGAATTGGTATTGGAGAATTTCATGCATGAGAATGTTGAATATTCAATTAATGAAATATTAAGATGGCATTTGATTTTTATTCTCAACGAATTGTGTGAAATTCTGTATTGATGTAGAAAAATGTTGTTTCGTGTGGTGCAGTCGTGAGATTTATGAAATGTTTTATGAGTACTTGATGGTTCTAGCTTATCCACAAGGGCATTTCGAGCCACAACCACCTGGACCAACGACTGTTGCTCCCATGGGTGGACAACCAGTGATGCCATTGCCACCAGGTGGCCAGCCAGCTCCTTATGCACCTCCACCCTTTTTAGTACCACCACCGCAGTTCATTCCACCGCAAACTGCACCACCTAATATCATAAATTATGTGTCAGCATCCAATGGTCCACCATTTCAACCAAATTTCCAGGGATATCAGGGGTATAATCCCACTGTTCAGGTAAATAGTCCCCTTTTATTTTCCAGTATTATTCCTTCGTTATTGAAAATAATATCCTAAAAATAAAAAATTATCTGCTTTCAGATTAAAAATTATTGGAGAAAAAACTCATTAAAATTGTAATTTTATTCGTTATTACCTAACGACAAAAATCCGATTTCTATAAAATGCTTTCCACTTTTTACGGGGAAGATAAAATATTGAAAGAGAGAATTAGAGTAATGAAATGTAATGGTCCTTGTGTTGCAGCCACAGGGTCCCCCACCTCCACCAGATTTATTCCAACCCCAGGGCTGTACTTACTATAATCCAGCTCAACAGCCACCCCAACAGCAACAGGCAGCTCCAGTTCGTCGTCCAAAGGCAGCAATTCCTATTCTGCCACCCCCTGATAACAGCCAGCATCACCAGGGTAGTAGGGGCAGGGGTAGAAGCATCAGCCAGACATCCCAGAACCCAACGGGTCATGCCCAGTCCTTCGAGGAGGTCAGGATGGAGTCCACAGAGATCAACTCCAAATTCTCGCCAGAGACATTCGAAAATTCACAGCTCGAGGGGCCTGAGTCCTCTCCAGACCACGTCCTACAGTCGGAGAGCAAAGATTCACCCGTTGTCGTCGAGGGGGAGGCCAAGGTCTTGGAGGATACAGGAAAAATTGAGGTTGAGGTACCACAGATGGATGAATTGTCTAATGTTGATATTGATGAGGGAAAAGTGTCGACTAGTGTTGATATTGCCGTTACCATTGGGGAGACTGACATCACCAAAGTCGAGACTATCGTGCATGAGAAACAGGTTGTGGAGGAAGCAGCTGCCTAAATTGATCGAGTGATGAGTGGAGAATATTTAACGACGTAATTGTCGGTGAAGAGCATGCATAGATTTTGAGGAAACTCATCTCGAGGGAAAATTTAATTTTTTTTCCCCGGACATATTTTGATGGTTGAATTTCGGTCGAGGCCTCCGAGTGAATGATTTTTTTTTCTTCGAAAATGGAGCCTGTGGGTCATTCATTTAATTGATTTATTGATGAAATTTCGATTTCCAGTTCATGATTCGTATGAAAAAAAAATTACTGAATTAATAGGGTCTTAAAAAATCAATCGAATAAAATAATACAATTGTAATATCTCATGAAGTTCAATTTTAAAATAACGTAACGCGAGAAATTGAATAATAAATTAAAAGAAGTTAAAGAGATAAAGGGAATTGAGAGGAAAGTTGAAGCAATGCGAAATGATTGCTGCCTATCGACAAAACTTATTAATTCACTATTCAATGACGATTAATGAGTCTATGAAATATTTAAGAGATAATTATGAGCTATCTTGATAGATGAGAATCGGAAGTTGAGAAAATTCGAGACAACGGAAAATGCAGAATGAGAGTTTTTAAATTTAACTCGATAACGCTGAGATATTTAACATTATATAGATAGCTATATAAATATTTTCCCAGAAAATTAATAATTATGTACGTAGGAATTTTGAGGTTGATATTGATTGAGCTTAGTGTACATAAAAGAAATTATTTGAAAATTTTTTAGGGAAATAATTGAGAGGAAAATTGAACATTAATGATAGATTCGCTTGAGAGATATTTTCATGCAGCTTAAAAAAATTATTTCTTTCCTTTTATATGTGCCTGCGACATCATAATTATGTAGAGTATATTTGCTTCTTGTACAAATATCTAAGAATTGTATTCTGAATATTATTTAACACGCCTGGGCGAATAAAAGCATTCGGAATCCACTACGAAACTGTTATTTCGTCGATTAAGTCTTTCTTTAATCGTGCTTTTGCAAATAATTTTTTTCCCCCATTTTCTAATGGTCAGAGCATTAACTTGCGCAATCAATAAGATAAAAATTGGAAAATGTTTCATGTATAAATAATGAAATATAATGCTGGTTGAATAATAATTTATTGACGTATAAAATGCAACTGATGAATCTTTTATATTGTCTAGTTAATGTGCAAGAATAACTCAGATGTATCCAGAATACTGGAAATTATGGGCAACACGAGAAGAATTGAGAATGATCATGAAATATAGAAAAGTGCATTGAAAATATTCACTGGTTTATTTCATTTCCTCAACTCTGGGAAATCCTTTATTTCCGATCTTTTTTTTTTACAATTTCATCATCTTATCTTGTAGATTTTACATAATTGACATTCAATAACATTTATTTACAATTATTCCCATCATATTTATACATTTATTGCCCGATAATTCACTACTTCGAATATATTTCGGGGCGAACAACTCGAGACACTCAGTTCTATATTTATTACATACTTTGTTGTCCAGGGTTCATTTTTTCAAATAAAAAAAGGGACTGAATCCATAATTGACGACGAGAATTTACGCTGTCTTGTTTTTGTTAAATATTCAATAGTCATTTTTGGAAGAGAAAATTGTTACCGCTTCAATAAATCAAATATTCATCTCTAATTTGTATTTCGCATGTGACACGCGAATATTCAGACTCCGGAGCAGTCGCATGTGATATTTTCGTTGCCTCCGCAATTTAATTCGGAATGGTCAATATTCTTGATACATGTCATCCACACTAGAATATGCGATGCATGAAAAAAAATTTATTGAAAATGAGTTCTCAAAGGAATTTAAATAAAAATCATTAATTAATTATACAGAGTTAACACATTATTTATTAGATAATTATATTGTTTCGGGGGACGTGAATTTATTGAAATTGAAGAAATCGGAGGATTTATCTATTGGGGATTTTGATATGTCATTTGGTGGGCGAAATTAATTTATCGTGACTGGCTAATGCACATGTTCAGGGGTACAATTTCACTGGTACCTTGAAGGGTTTGGAAATTCAATTCAGTTGGAATATTTCTGTAAGGTTGACATCGAGGATCTGGAGGGCAGTATGGGAGGGTGCATTTGAAAATTCGACGGTCATTGGAACCTCGTGGGCTGCACTGAAATGATCGTCGAAATTCTTTTCGGAATTTCCCTGAAAGAAAATTGAATATTCGTCACTCCCTCCCCCATAGGAAATTCCAATTCCAGTTTTACATTCCAATATTATAAAATTATCTAAAAAATAACTCACCGCTCATGAAGTTGTAAATTATGGGATTCATCGCGCTATTCGCGTAGCACAACCAATGAGCTATGAGGCTGCAAGTTACATTGATTTCGTTTGAAGGGAGTCCAACTGTTTGTCTGAAATTTAAACAATGTAAAGTAAAACAGAAATGAAATTCTGGCGAAAGCGAATGACTCCTTTCAACTCTGCGTTGTTTCGTTCGGAAATATCTCAGAAACTGAAGGACACAGCTAAATTTCTGTAATTACCTTTCTTGCAGCTCTTATTTATCCCTATAAAAATGATTATAACAAAAATTTAATTATATGCCCTAGGTTCGGAGTTATTTTCGAAAAACTCAGCGAAAGATTCAGCTGTCTCGTTTAATCCTGTCAGTTGGATTCAGAATAAAATTATAAGTGTGTCATTTAATATTTTTATTGAGTGTAATTATTTATCAAATTCATTATTCATACCTTAGAACAATGAGAATATGAACAGGGAGATAACAGAGTCCAAATACGAGAACTACAACAATAAGCATTTTGGCAGCTTTTCTTCGAGACGCCATTTGGCCCTCGAAATTCTCGTGGATTGACGCTGTAGATTCTGTTATCGGTGGTGTACTCCTTGATGCTGCAATTTGCGTGGAGAGAGGGAAATTAAAACCAATTAATTGTAAAGAATCGATTTTTAATTTTATAACAATCGTAAATTGAATAATAATTCGATAATTATATTATATTAATTTATAACTATTATCTGATTCAATTAAAATTCCACAGTAAAAATATATAATATATTTTGAAATATATTTAACATGTACCAGAATGATATGACATAAAAAACCGAGAAATATGTGGGAAGTCGATTTTTTAAAAAATGTCTCGCGAATTTTTCAATCATAAAATGAGATATTCGAGGCGCAAATGATATATTTCCTTGCGCATATGAATGATATATATGTCTCAGGTTTTTAGGTACCATATGGGCAGATCTTTATATATGGACTGAAAAATTGCAATAACTGGGGCATCGAGGGAAAAAGAGAAAAGAGAAGATAAGTCACTCACATTGATATCCTGGGATTTTACTCCTCCAGAGAACCCGGATAATGCTGCAGTAAGTGAATGTCATAAACAGGAGAGGACCTCCGTACAAAAAGACAAGTTTAATCAGTGCAAATATTCTCTCGCTTCTTTGGCTCCAGGACACGGTGCACTGGGTATAGAAAATCGTGTCCACCCTGAGGTGGGGCGCGGGAGCCGTATGGAGAACAATGAGATCTGGAATATCTGACATAAAAATTGCATATAACCCAGGAAATTGCCCTTCAATACTGTTACAAAATATCCTGTAAAATTTCACGGCAAAAATTCCTCATTAAACCTAATTAAACTCAAATTATATGAAATTTTCTAGTAAAAAGGTAAAACGAGTCATTCAGCTCCCCTATCTCCGGAACTGAGGGAAATACAGAAAATCTTGTAATTACCTTTCTTATAGCCCTTAACTAGCTCTACAAAAAGGCTCATGACACCAATTTCGCTATCTCCCTTTATTTCGCAGATATTACCGAAGAATTCATGCGAGAGCTGAATTTTATTCAAATTGAATTGAATTGAAAAATTCAAATTGATAATTGAATGAATTCCTATCTTATGGCTTAATTGAAGTTATTTCTGGTGCAGTTGTCGAGGCTCTCACCGAAAATTAATGAAAATATCCAGATGACGAGAATTGTTCTTTTCGCTCGTTTGGTTGTCGATTTGAACTTGAGAGGAAAGCAGATTGCGTACCACCTGTCGATTGATATGAAGGTAAGGGTGAGGATGCTCACACTCACGGAAACTGTCTGGAAAATAAATGACAATGGGAGTGTCAAGGAAGGCTTTCTCATTCCGATGGGTTAAAAATCATTTTCCTGCATTCAATGGGATTTGTTTTCCCCGCGTTTGACATTTTCCGGAGAAAATTGAAACAGGCGACCGCTCGGGGGTTCCATCGATCACATTATATCGAATGTCTCCGCAGAAATCGATATTGTTGGTAATAATTTAATTATATTTAATAAATCCGAATTTTTTTCTCTGCGCGATCGGAGGGGAGAATTTATAAATGATTAAATGTTGATTAATTAATGTTCTTCTTGAAATTGCAAAAGTTTTATTTCAGTGACATTGTGGCATTGCGAAACTTGATAGTAATAAGAGTAATAAATCTTGGTCTTAAGAAACAAGAAAATTTCCCCGAGTGTCTAATAAAATATTACCTCACGTGGTAACAGGCCTTACCGTCATTTTCACCCTCTTTTTTCCCCCTCATATCGTCATGTTTTTATTCATGTGATAAAACTAGTCGATTTTCCATTCACACGCACCGCCAGAATAATTCACGCAAATGTTTACAGTCGAATTAAAAATAATTAATCTTTCCTCTGAGTATTTTTTCATTGTGAAATTTAATCTTTGAAAATTCAAAACTTCAGGAAAGCCTAGAGATATTGGGAGTTAAAAAAATTATGGGTCATTGTCACATCAGGTATTGAATATTTTTGTTATCCTAAATATTTCGTGTCATTTTTGTGCTAGCGTGAAAATAAAAAAGGTGAAACTTGATTGGAAAATTGAGAGAATTCTGCTTCAATAACAGAGTTGTGAACCCATGAAGAGACCTCTCTGAGGACCTCGAATGCCATGAGATAATCGAATTATATCGATGATTGAGTTAGTCGCAATTTAACGTGCGTACAGAACATAAACGAGCGATTTAACGAATTCTCCACCGTAAGTGCAGGATAAATCGTTTTATTCGACAATTATAATAATTATCTCTTGAATTTCAGAACCTCATGGAATTGACTCTGACTTTAATAATTGATGAATGCAAAAATAAAAACATTATTCATTGATTTTCAGGAATAAAATTTCTTCTAAACGAAATAATTTCAATATTCGAATTCTTTCAGCAATTTTCAGTAAAAAAATCCGCAAATATTCGTATGAATTTATTTATACAAAACTGGGGTTGACATTCAGAAATGATTAATCCCTGTCAATTGTCCTGAATTCCGATGATCTAGGTTTAATTTGATTAATGGAATGGACTCGTGCGGGAATGTACAAACATCGTGTATCAGCGACTAGTAAAAAATTTAATCTCTAGAGAAAGAAAAAAACACCAACGAGGAGAGGATTGCGCGGAGGTACGTACCTAAATGAGGCGTAGTGTGTCCCCAGGTGTAACAAATCACAAGATTGTGAACTCGGCAGGTACCTATTATTTCAATAATATATGGAGTTTGTGGACAACGGCACGTAATACGAGAGGTACACGAGAAAAAAAAAATATGGAGAAAAGAGACTACGAGACTTGTTCGAACATAACAGTCAATCAAAACGGATCGAAAATGTCAGGTGAGATAATTACATCAATTAATTACAGAATGATTGCATCACCATCGGTAATTTCCGTAATTATCAAAGAATTCACCTGTCCCCGAAATTGTTAATTGCTCCATTTAATTATCTAATTAATAATATTAATTCATTAATGGTATTTTAATTCTGGATTAAACAGATTTTTTTTTGGATCTCCCTAATTTTTTTTTTAGTATAGTAAATGTTAGATATTCCATTTTTTAATGGAATATTTGTACATTGGTGTAAAATTATTAATTCGATTAGTGCAATGTTTATAATTAAAATTGGATCATTGGAGGCGTCAGTGCAAGTGGCAGCTAACAGCCTCGCCATCTCAAAAATTATGTACTGGGTATGTCTTGATGGCCATACCCTGCAAGCTCGCGTAATTGCAAACTTGCACGCTATTAAAGTAGCGAGCACCCTTTTTGATGATTAAATCGAACGTCAGGATTTTTGATTAGTTCGACAAGGATTTTCGCACGCGAGATATTTTTTCAGCGGCCGCCATCTCTCGGTACATGAAGCGATCGCAGAGAAAAAAATTCGGTAATTAAAGTGAATAATTATCAACATTTATTCAAAGTCATTTTGCTATCATCAATTGTTATTGTTTTCAATTGTTCATGGGGGGACAATGAAAAATCCCTAATTTATAGGTAATCAATGGAGTTTAGCGCGAATGGAGGTAATGAGTGTAAAAAATCCGCATGATTACTTGCATAATTGCTAATGTCGACTTTCGGAGTCTGATTAGCGGTTAAATACGCGTGAAAATGAAGTTAATGAGTGGAAAAATATGAATGAGAATTCCTGTATCAACATCGAGCCATGCGAACATTTTTTTAGCCAGTACCGCTCTTTTTTATTCGCGTAAAACTTCGAGTACTTTTCTCACACTAATTATTCAATTTTCTTTGAATTTCCGCGGAATTTCAAATATTCAAAAAAATCACTCTTCTGCTCTGATGATTCAGCGAATAAAAAAATGAGATAGAAACAGTAATTGAGGATTAAAAAAGGATTTATCAATTAATTGGTAAATAATAATTGATTATTTAAATGTGGACTCACTTGAAGGTAAGGAATAGCTTTGCACAGGCAATTTCCCAAAAACCAGGTCTCTGTGACGTCCCACAGAACAGTCGATGGTAAACACAGAATAATGACCATCAGGTCTGCAATTGCTAGATTAACGATGTAATAATTAGTGACATTTCTCATGGTGTGATTACGGTGGACCGCAATGCACACCAAGGAGTTGCCGATAATTCCACCGAGGAAAACCGTTGCATGGATACCAATGAGGACCAGGTACCATCCCCTTGGTGTCAAGTAATCAGCAATCAGATCGACGTACGCCTCGTCACTTATGCAGTAATCGTTGGTGCATGTTCTGTTATCAAATTCCGTCACATTATCGCCACTTTCCATCTCAATAAAATCATAGTCACTCAATCTATTCTCTTCGAGTTCATTTCCAACACTTGATGTTACGTACATGAGGAATGAACTTGTCCACAAATTCATGTCATTGCTTGAGCTTCAAGTGCCATTGAACTCATTTTTCCCTTGAGTTCACATTTTTCACAATTTTTTTTCGCTATCTCAGAGCCACCAATCATTCTATCGGCATCGATATTTTTAAGGTGTAATTACTCTTCATTTTTTTATAAATAATTTTCAATTTCGAATGTGATGGAGATTTTCTGGAAATTACACAACAAATTCGCTGAAAATCCAATTAAATAAATTGATATCAATCAATTAATAATTTATATATATTATTTATTGATAAAAAATCAATATTCAATGTGAGTAATAATTTAATCTTAAATTGTTTTGGAATTCAATTTAAATCTTGTTAATGGATTTTTTTTTTGAAAATTAGAAAAACAATTTTGAGGAGAATACGAAATAAAAATATTCTCGTATTATTACTCATGTTTGTGAGCGATTTAAAGGGGAAATGCAATGGAATTCCGTAGCGAGAAGACATTGGCACGTGAATAAAAAATAAAATAAATCGCGATTAACGAAAGCTGAGGTAAATTGCAATAAAAGTTAGCGCTGAGCACGAGAAAAGAGATAACCGTATCTGTTTCAATGTCCTGGGTAATTTTCAGAATCATCAGCTGTATCTGACGAGCTATTTAATTTTTTCATTTTTTTAACTCAAAATTTATTTAAAATAATACGCACATACTCGTGACAGGGAGAATGAGAAGAAAAAATCGATTGACTATTGATCTGCTCGGACTTCAGATAATTGAACTCGTGTGTTAAAAATTATTTTTGAAAATATAAATGAATGAATAAAGGGAAAAGGGGAATTTTCTTGGCACAAATTTACACGAGATTGATTTTTTTTTTTGAATTAAATTTTAATAGCGGAACTACAAACCCCTAGGGCAAATTTATCTATAAATTTTTCACAGCGTGAGAGGGAAATTTTAATTCTCCCCTTCCCCTTCCCCTTGTCAAAACGATTTTTTATCTCCCCAGGTCAAACAAAAAAAAAAACCCTGAAACATGAATAATGGAGCGTAATGCATGATATTTTTAATCGAGGAAGTTACGAGATTAAAAAGGCAGGCGTAAATGTTAATAATTATTGATCGAGTTTATTCAAAGTCATAGAGCAATATGATTATTATTGTTGAGACTTGAAGAAATAATTGAATAAAATAATTAAAAGACGTAGTTCTCTCTGGTCGAGGGATGATTGGGATTTTTTTTTCTTGGTGGTATTTTTTCGATTTTGCAATGAATGATAGACCGATCAGACCAATGGAGCCGTAAATCAAGTACTAAAACGTTTGCAAGAGGTTCATGATTAAATTCAAACAGTCCTAACCAGAACCGATTAATCGACAACACAGAAATTCCAATTAATCTAAACACGTGCGAGTTGATAGGGCGCTCTCAGGAGCTGAGTAATTATAATTGAATGTAGTTGCCTCGCAGTTTTCATCACTGGGGACTCCAGGCAATTCCAAACTTTCGAAAAGATCCCCCGACTTCAATCGTTCGAATGGAAATTGTCGCAATTTATTCAAAGTTTTATAATAACCATTTAAACAATTTTTCCCGTCGTTTCAATAATTTATCCGAGGGATTACATTATTTTTAGTCAACAATTTTACTCACCGGAGACAAATTAAGTTCAAGGTTCAGAGAAATTCCGAATTGTTCAATTAAATAAAAAGTCGAAGTAAATTTGATGAATTTACCTTGCGAATTAAACAATCAGTCATTGGCGCTCTCGTTAACAAAAAAATATTGTTTTCACTCTTTTCACGTTTCAAATAAAAACATTTTTACTGCAATTTTATCGGTGATTGGAAGTCAATTGTTAGTAAATTCTCGAGGTGATACTTCAATTAATAATTCAAAATACGTATTGCAAAACGTGATTTATGTAGAATCGAATGTACACTGAAGAAAATATTTTCTGATGAATTAATTGAAGTCGGTGGACTCACTCGGTGAAAGTAATTAATTTTGTCAATATAAAAGCTGTAATAATAATCCGGGGATGTTGTCGGTACTGATTGTTATAATTTTCGAATTGTTTATTCACTTCGGGGACTTTGAAGATGAGAAATTCGCGGCTTCGGAGGGCCGATGTGAATTCTCCGGTGGATGATGCGCAACTGGCGCGGTTTCTACAGAAATATGTTATCGGTATTTATATATATATGTAATGGCGAGCTCTCGGGTTATACATGAAGAAAAAAAAGCCACAAGAATTACCATGATAATTTCAACACATGAATTTCTCATTATAATTACGGTCTACTGAAGGAATCGTAATGGCGTAGTACACCAGTAGAAATTCAGATTTCCGGGAATTTTCACGGAAAATAATAATAATTACATGATATTGAAAAGTTACCGTAAATGATTTAATATTAATATGTAATATCGAAAATAATATTTCTGAACGTCCCGCGGTTTTAGCGCAAATAAGTTTTTAATTGCTATTTTATTGAAACTACCAGCTGATGCGATAATGTGGAAAGTAGTTTTTTATTCAACTCTGTTTCCCTGATGGAAATAAAATTGCTCATTACGCTTTAAATTCATTTCAATCGATTTAAGTTGAACCTCTAGCGTCCAGGGACCGCCACTTCCTGGACGAAATAAACTAAAAAATCGAGTGCCCCAATTAAATAAATATAATAAAAATAAATTTATCCCGATAATATTAAGAATTATAATTATATTCCAATGGTTATTCTATTTTCAAATTTCTCGCGAGAGAAAACCAAAATTAATATCTGAAATCCTCACTAGATGGCTACGAATCTTTAAGCCTGCAGCCCCGGAATCCGCGAAAAACCCATTAAACAATTAAAAAACAACTAAAAAAATAATGCAAAGCCCATAAAAAAATCCATGTTTAATAATTCCATCAGGCAAAATTTTCCCCAATTATCCCCTCCCCAAAAACATATTCAAAATCACTATAACTAGTGATTCTCCAAATAATCAAATAAACAATCTAAAAATAATAAAAAAAATGGTGATAATTTAGTAATTCGCGGGAAATGGCGGATGTTCAAAAGTTGGCGAGTGAAAATCGGGGAAAATGGGAGAGAGTAATTTTTTTTTTTGGAAATGGTTTCTTGGGGTTTCCCGCAGGTAGTTGGGGATGTTGCAAGTTGCTTATATAGGATTAAAATTTTCTATAAAGTTGGAAGTGTGTGCTAGTGATGGCGCAGCTGAACATTGATCGCTAACGTATAGATTATGGCAGATCTGCTCAGTGGGTGTTGTCACGTGGTCGCTTCAAGTAGCTTGTGTTCGGCTCCCGATTGCGCGATAACAACTTCGTGGTGTTATCACGGCATCACGGATTTGTACCGCCTGCACGGTTGAGTCTTCACGTCGCTCCTCGAACTACCGCGATTTCCAAATTGGGGGGCAATCGAATAGGTCAGACGAGGTAATTTGTCGCTTCCATATACAGGCACTGCAGTTCGCAGTATGCCATTTTTTTAAAACGAGTTTAAAATTTAAACTATTTAAATTAAAACAGCAAGGGGTTTTATTATTTATTTTATCATTTTTTTACGTCAATCAATCGATTGTTTTAAATCAGGAATTTTTCATTATCAATTGCTCTCTATTTTTTTTTTAATTTGATGTGGAAATAAATTATTCAATAACTTGAGAATTCATATAAAAACGAGCAATGAAGCTTTCGTTATTTATTTATAAAATACAATGGAGATGTGAAATACCTAATGGATAATGATTGGTACAAAAGATTATTATAATAACTCATTGTAATTGTGAACAATTGAAGGCAATAAATATTCTACTGTAATTTTTATGTCTCATTTTTCTTCTGGGCTTCACTGTTTAGTTCTGAGGAAACCTGAATAAACATCGACTCCCAATTCCACACTTCGTCGGGCTCTTGAACGCTTTTCTCTGGGTACATCCTCTCCGTCAGAAGAGAGAGATTGACATCATCCAGGAATGCAAAGGAGGCATTTTTCAGTAAGTCCGTATCCAGCTCTTGATAAGCTGCCACGCGATTTCCTCCTCTTTATACCAATAAATATTAATCTCGTTATTAAATAGCTCGAGCGAATTTTTTATCGAATTTCTCATTGACTTTTGACTTACGAGGGGATCGCAGGGGCTTCTGTTAAATTCTCCTCGTGAAATTCCTCGGCGTCGGGGATTATTGGAATATCTAAAATCCATTCGTTTATTTAATTTTCTTTTATTTTATGTTATTCGTTCTTTTCATTACCGTCTATCGATTCTTCCCCGTTTGATTTTCGAGTTTTACTCCTGGAATTACATGAACCAAAATTTATTTATTTTCCATCGATAACGAATTTTGTTGAATTTTCTAAATCAATGCATAATAAATATTTTAACAAACAATTGCTTACTGTTCTGCGATGTGAGCAGATCTTCCTCTGGAATAAAATAAAAATAGAGGGATTATCCATGATTGTTTAAGAAATTTAATTGAAAAAAAAATTTTATTGTGAATTAAACGGCGGAAAATTTATTGCAGAATTTATCGAGAAGTTAAAAATATCATTTTGGCTGAATGTCGGACAATTTTACAACAAAATTTTTCTCGCCTAGATGAAATGAGGGATAAGTACTTAGCACTTTTCAACTCGTCACTCCATCCGGTCTTTCGGGTCCTAGGGGGTGCGACAGGTACCTGAATGGTTTTTCCAGATGTTCCAGAGGAGACTCCAGTGCCAGGACTCTCCAGGATGTCATCATCAAACCTTCCCTCATCCTGATTGACATTATGACCCGCTCTCCTCCCTAATCTCGGTATCAGCTGCTGCAAATAATTCTTATCACCAAGAATCGTTTTCAGGATTAAATGAAAATAATAAAAAACGAGGGGTAAAAATAAAAAAGAATATATCGCTATGAATTTTCGATTTACCTTTTTAGTCACCGGCTCCAGCTCATTGCCCCACTCCATGATGCCATAAACTTCAATTTTTTTTTTCGAAAAAACGAGAAATTCCGAGGAATTCAATCTATTTACATTATTGAGGTGCTTTTGATTTGTTTTAGATGCTCCATGGCAACTGCACAGGTGAATTTACCTGCGCACCTGCGTTTTCAGGTAAATCATCAAGTGCTGGCATCTCGTGACTTCCACGAAAATTCCAATTATTAAAAAATTACGCAAATCCTTTCGAAAACAGAAAAAAAAATGATACATCACGAAAATCTGGATAAAATCTATCACGAACAAACAGGCCATCACAAATTCCATTATAAAAAATTCGAAAGTAAAAAATTTTCTTCTCCAAAAATTTTGAAAAAAAAATTTCGCGCCTCCCTCTCATAAATGTTCTCCTTCCCCTCCTCCCCGCCAGATGTCGCCACCATCACATCCCCTACCCCCACCCCATTCAACAAAGAAACCTCAGATTCCACAGTTCCAGTTCCACAGTTCCAGGACAGAGTTCCCTCTGCCAGGGGGGGAAAGACAAGTGCCCAAGTTGTTCAAGTACCTATTAACCGAATACTTGCATTCTTCGGTCTCCAATCTCATCCATCGCAGCCTGAAAATCCCCGAAAAAAAAACGTGCGATTTTCCCCAAAAAAAAGTAATCCCAAAACAAAAATAAAATAAAAATCATACCATGTGTCGCCACGGGTGTGACTTGACGCGTATCCCGATCTCCCAATAACCAAATACTTGAAAATCATAATAAATAAATTGAAATAAATAAATAGTGACTAAGCCGGTGAGTGTAGTGGAGTTATAGGAAGATCGATCAAGATTTTGTGATAGTATTGTCATCAGTGAGTGAAATATTCTTGACAGGAGGATTAAGGGCCAAAGAACCCGGGGGCACACATAGGCGTGTCGTGTCTGTGTTGCGATATTACCGACGTACAATAGCTATTTCATTATTTTATCCGTCGTGGAAGTGAGCCCCTGGGGTGTGGCTCTCGAGGTGTTGGGATTTTTGGTGGCGATTATCCGTGATTTTTCTTTATTTTTCATCTTTTTTATTTTTCGGTGATTCGGGTTTATTTCACCCGTGTTCTGTGCGGGTGGTGGCTTCCAAAAGGTGGACAACTGGGGGGTGGGGATATTGGAGGGGTAGAGAGAGGTGGAGAACACGGGATTTTGTGGGAGAGACAGAGGGAGCGATAGTGGCGTATCAAGATGGCGCATAATTTGGCACCGAGTGTTAACTGCTCTCTGGATGACATCGACCTCAACGCACTGAAGGTATTTTCATTATTCGTTTTGGAGTACAGGGGGATCTCGGGGGGGTTGCACTCCCGGGGGATGTTTTTTCTGGGTCTTGGGGGGCTCGTGGAATTTTGCTATGCACCAAGTCCCATGTCTCATTTTTTGGGGTGAGGGATTTCAGGGATTTCCAGGGATTTCTTGGGATTTCTGGGAATTTTTTTGGGATTTCTTGGGATTTTTGGGACTTGAAGGGATCTAGGAGGTGAAGGGGTTATTGGGGGTTATTTTAAATAGAGTATTCACTGCTCTCTCGATGACATCGACTTCAATGTGCTCCAGGTATTCTCATGGATGATGTGAGGGTGATGGGTTTTTTTTTTTTGAGGTTTTGGAGTTTTGTGGGATTTTTGGGAGTGAGGGGAATGTAGGGGATGTTTTTGGGGTGAGGGGTTCAATGGATTTTCAGGGATTTTTAAGGGCTCCAGGGATCCTGAGGGTTCGGAGGTCGAGTCAATTATTAAATTGAATTTGACAGCTTAGTTCTGGCAAATGTGACAATTGTGATTACTCCGGGTCCTCGTGTTATCAGCTTTTTCGTTTTGATTGTCCCTCGTCACGTGAATTGTCTTGTTTGGGGCTTCTGAGATTACCGGGGGCAGGAGAGTAAATAAAAGACTGGAAATCAGGGGTTTCTCCGAGGGGAGTGATATCTCTAATTCTGGGTTTGTTTCAACCGAGAGTTTATTTGAGGATGATAGGATTTTTGGGTCTTGGATTATTTTTTGTACGGGTTTTTATTGTTACGGTCTGTGGATATGTAGGAGAGGAAAGGGAATTTAGTTTGGGGAATTGAAATTTCATTTTTTAAACACGAAATCCTCAGAGAAAAAAAAACTATAAATCTGAATGAAATTTAATGCCATGAATATTCTATAAAATCATAAATGACTGAAAGCATCGAATATTCAGGCAATTTTTCTGAATTAACAATTGATTATTCCATTGACAATTGTTATTTTATATTTATCTCAGCCCCTAAAATGGAAGTTGTCTTTGAAATATTAAAGAATTGGTGGGTTTTCACGAAATTTCTCGATAAAATTTATGTTAATTTATGTAGATCAATTCAAAAGGGACAAATTGAGAATTGAGATCTGTTTTAAAAAGAAAGAATTCTGACAGTGTAACAGAATTTTCAGGTTCGTGTAGTAGATGCATTACTAATCAGAATAGAACGCAGTCGAGCTAGAGAAAAAGTGTGGAGAGTTGTCTGACGCGTGTGCGTCATCAATATAAGAGTTTATGGAATGTCTTTCAAAAGCCCCGATGACTCGAGCCAATAACGTTTTTCAATGTATTCTATTTTCTATTCTTTCAGGATCCAGCAGGCATCTTCGAGCTCATTGAAGTCGTTGGAAATGGCACATACGGTCAAGTCTACAAGGTCTAGTCTTTAATTATTTTCGATAATCATTATTGTTACGCTCATCGCGTATTTTCACTTCCGCTCTTCCATTGGGGTGTGGATTTCAAATAGCACTGGGTAATGTTGCTATTGACGATTGTTGCAACATTATTTTTGAGATGGCTATTTTTTAACTGTCGTTTTTCGTTTTGACTTGATGCGTGGGATGTGGCCTGGCCGGTTTGGATTCAATGAATGTCACTGACATTTTCGCCGATTTGAAAATTTCATTGGGAGAGTGGAATATTGAGACAAGATTCTCGAAAGGGGTTTACATATTTTTCATTAATTTTCGAATTTTTAGAAATTAAATTCTGCGACTAAATTATTTAATTTGAGGGTGGATGCATATAGTGGAATTTTTCGAATTCACTTCCCCTACGACCTCATGCACGCGACTATCACGGACACTATATCTCAAAAACTATTGATTTTAGATAGAAACGCTAGGGGAATTTTTAGTAGATAATTAAATTTCTGAGGAAAACGGATTCTTGGTATTTTCACTCAAAATCAATGGTTGTGCGTCGAATTGAGATTGAAAATTGGACTTGCGTAATTTCAACATTTTTTTTTCCCTGAATTATTGAAAAAATATTTTTTACGCATTTGAAACATTTTACTATTGAGTTACACGGTGAAACGGCTGAAATAGTCGACGAATAATCGAATTATTGCCACCCAGATTCTCATTAAAAGTCCATTTTTCCCCCCGATAATTTACGAGTACCTTTTCCAACTCGAGTACCGATTTTTAATTAAGTTCGTGAAAAACTACCGAAGCATGACGGATTGTTAGCGACCACAGCAGCTGGAAATATTCAAGTTTATCCAATAGGGTACGCATCAGCGGTGAATCCCGAATGCCTGAAATTTTCCCAATAAAATGCAGAAATTCCCAGTCAGTCTTTTCCCTTTTGTTCTCGGGTGTTCATTCTTTATTGAAAAATAATTCAATGCAAGCCGGGGAAAAACAAACGGAAATGTCACACTGAGAGGGAAATCGTGATTATAATCAGAGGGAGAGAGACAACAGACGCACACAATTTCATGAGGAGACATGAACTCTAGGTTTTGTGGCAGAAATAGAGGAATAAATTATTGAGTGGGTGGTATTCCGCATGCCGGTCGTTTCCTTCTTTCAATATTCCAATAATTCAAATATTTGAATATCCATTAAGATGATTGCGAAATTGGAAATATTCTGACAGTTAATTATTTGATAATTCTGTAGTGATGGACGAGCTCAATATTTTTTTTTTCTTTAATATTTATATTTTTGATTATGTGGACTTTATGGAATTTATTGAATGGATTCCGTTTACCTGGAATTTGAGAACCTGTCATTTAGTGAATGCCTCTTGATACTGTCTCAGAGTTTTCCCACACCTTCGTCTTTCCTCTTTTCTGGCTATATATTTTTTCTCCCTTTTTCCCTCTTTTTACCCTCGTTGTACTCGAGACGTCAAGTTCGCCGACGAGAGGATCCTCAAACGAATACTGTTCTATTTCCGGATTCTGTCACAAAGCGAGAGGGATTTCAGTCTTTTTTTAACCTTCTCTCATTCAGAAAAGATGGAAAAATATAGTTTATGGGTTTCACCGGTTTCATTGATGAAAAAAATTGCAAGCGCTTTACGATTAATCAATATCGATTCCACTTTTGTCTCTTAGAGATCCTTGCAATAAATCATTTTTGCGTTGAAACATTCCAAAAAGTTTCTGCCCTTTTTTTGAAAATACCAATGAATTATTTAATAGTCAGAATAAAGAAAAATAAAAATAGGGAATTTTTCAATTCGATTACAACTGAATGGTAGAGTCCAGTATTTGATTGATTTTCAGATTATTGAAGATAAAATTTCTGTCACTCGTGTGAAGATTATTCCATGAGAGTTCAATTATTTTTCTAATGTGCAGCAAAAGAGGAAAGAGAGAACAATCCCAAAAATAGAAGAGAATGTGTCTGGGGAGTCACGACATTAATGCATTCTCACGTGTTTCTGAAAAAAATTCCTGTCAAGTCCGAATAATTGTAGGTGATGGTGATTCACCTTGAAAAAATTCTGCCTTGCACATTCGTCCTTGTTGCTGAGGAGGAAGGGTACACAGTTTGCCATTACCCTTGTGGGTAAAACGGTATTTCCTCGAGTACACGTTCACCACATTCGCATTGCAGAATTTTTACTCATATTACTCGTTGAAAAATTGAAATCCATTCATCAACTTCATGAACTCCAATTTTTATTTTCGATATGACGATTTTAAACCATAAATTATTTATTAAAGAATAATTTCTATGGTCATCTTAAGAATTTGTAATCCTAATAACCTTTTAATAATTAATTACTCCAATTAAATTATCAATTTCTCATTTTTCCACGAAAGCCGGTGAAATTACGCAATTAATAGAATTAATTAATCCAATTACTCAATCAGACAATCTATGCGTTGATTATAATTAACTCACGCCAACCATCAACTGAACCGTCAATCATAATTTAATTATAATCAATCCAATTAAATTGTGTCAACGTAATAGTCATTCTTTCACTAAATTTTCTCCTCGTAGAAGAACCAGAAATTGCACAAAGTTTTAAGAGTGGCCAATAGGTCTAAGACAGGAAGAGAAAAATTCTCAGCGAAGAGGATGAGGTATTTTCAAGGTTGAGAGAGAATAAGTCTCGATGCGTGGGCGAGTAAGAGGTACTGTTTCCCAGGAAACAGTCGGCATGGATCCAAGAGAGATCGGCAATGAGAAAATTCGTCTCGAAATTATTGCAAATCTCTCTCCATCTCTTCGTTAAATTTTATCTCCACTGATGAAAACAAAGCGCACATGTGTGCCAAAATAATGGAGTCACTGACCCCAGCCTATCCGGTCTATTAAAACTAATGATTGTTCTCAACGCCTGAAAGAAGGGTAAAACCGTGGGATTTTATCATTTTCTCCTCTGAATTTTTGTCAATTGGCTCCCACTTAAATCAACCATTGCCCTATTTTTCTGATTCATTCCCCTAATTTATCATTTCAATATTTCCCATAATTGTTGTTACAATAAAAATAAAATACCGAAATAATGAAGAGCGAGGGGAAAAATCCAATGGATTAATTGCTGGGATTTAATTTATAGTGAGAGGTCGGAATTAATCAGCTCGTTGATAAAAACCTCTGGGAAATGGATGTATGACCCCATGCCATGTGTGCATGTGTAATATATTGTCTCCAAGTTGAATGCATTGAAATGACGGATCATAATACGAGAAAATGTAAGTGGATATGGGTGAATGTGTGTGTATCAACGAGTATGTAAACTGTTGTTACTCGAGATGTTTCAAATACACCACGAAACCGCACTCGGTGTCATCGGCCTTTACCCACTCAAACATACACACGTGGTCCATTATTTTTTTTTTAATTTCTTTCATTTTTTATTCTACATCTCATCCTCTTATGCCCCCAGAGAGTTTCACGTTAATGCAACATCAAAGAGTTGATAATTTTTTTTATTTATATTCATTTTATCAAACGATTCTTAATCTTTGCGTAATATCTGGTGAATTGTCATCTTTTTAGATTGTAGTCTTTCGAATTTAATGAATGGGCCGTTATCATTTTCCCACGTTTTATTTACTTATCTCAGTGTTTTTGCACACATCGGCGCACCTGAGATACGAAAATTAACAAAACGAGTCAAGTGAAAGGTGAAGAAGCGTAGGCAGGGTAATACCAGCCGTCGAATATCGGCTTTCATTCAAGATAAAACTGACAACAACGAAATGCATGAGAACTTTGTTACCACAAAAAAAGAAAACAGCTAAGATTCCTCAAACGGAGCAATTGTTAATCACTGATAACTCGAGTTCGGTAGAGTGTAAATCATGATATTCTCGTCACATTGAATATATTTTTCGAGGTTTTCAAATGACACCTGACTCATCAAAATCGGGCCATTAGTTCACGACATACGAGCCATTGAAGAATGCCTACTTCACCTTTTCCTATTACAACAATTAAATGTTAGTGTGACACCATTAGCGGAAACGAGTTCCCATTTTTTAAACTCATTTAAACTCAATTTCCGTTTGACAGTGCACATTTTTATCTATGATAAGACTCATGGATTTTATCCACACCGATAATGGAAAACGAATGGAAGAGCTTTATCTCAAGATTTCCTCTTGCTGATGGAAAAATTTAATTGCAAAGATAATTTTTTATTCAAAATATCACGATGAACTGGGAATTCTCTCCATTCGTATGAGACCGTGAAAATAAAAATGTGAAATATCTAGAGATTGATAAATTTTTTTTTTCAAAATGATCTTTTAACTTTTTGTTTACAGGGCCGACACACCAAGACCGGCCAGCTGGCAGCCATTAAAGTTATGGACGTCACGGAGGTGAGCATCTTGACTCAGAATCGATAGTACAGCTGTCGATAAACCCTTTCACCATTTTTTATCACATTTTTTTCATGAATGGGCAGCTATTTAGACAGTTTAGTCCCATGGGGATTTTATTATCCTCCTAAAATACCCAGAGGAAGAAAATTTCCTCGACGAAGAATGATTTTTACGAAATCCCCATTCAATTTTTATATCAATTTTTATTAAACTCAATTAAAATCATTCACACTAAATATAATATCGAGTGATTTTTAGGTTTCCATGCGTTTATGCAATGATTTAGTGTGAAAAATAACTTTTATGCTCACATCTTTGGTGTAATATCTGCGGCTAGGTAATCGTTGGTACATTCCCCTTTTTTCTTCTTCGGAGAGAGAAAGGAATAGGTGTCAGGGTAATTTATGCTTTTTGTGGAAATTACATGACTTTATTCTTTGAATCCGGGATAACGAGGGTGTTGCGTCAATAAAATCGAGACAATTCCTCGCATTGTAGCTCGTTATCTGATAGATTACTCATACCCCGACGGAGGAATTTCTCGGAACCCCATGACTGACTCCGTCATCACTGATTACCGAATATCTCCTTCAAAGCCCGTAATTACTACACGATTGTCAAAGATAATTTTTTTCTGAGTCAATTGACAATGGGATTTTTATAATTGAACGCGTGTGGCCGAACGGAAGTGCTTCTAATACTAATTTTAATCGTCGGATAAGTCGTAGGATTACGCATTAACTGCGTTTGATATAACGGCTTGGAACTTGTAAAGTTCTTTCTCCTTCTAATCCGAAACGCCCGAGATAATCTTAATTCTACTTACCTACTTAACGACTGATACACAACGCCTCGTAGACCCATCGGTTTTTTTTTCCCCGGGGTTTTCTATCCGTTTGATAATGAGGCGAAAGAAGAAAAAAAAACATTCCTTAAAATTACTCACACCATATGTCCATTATTCACGTTCCATTAAACCTGAATTAATAAAATTGCTGTTTTGTTACGCCAGGACGAGGAGGAGGAGATTAAGCTAGAAATAAACGTCCTCAAGAAGGTGAGTCATGCTACTATTTATTTACATTTTATTCAATACCTGCAATTAATTTTCCTTCATTAATTTTTATGTTGTCATCGCATGAAGGGTGCCATTTTACTTGCGCTTTTGGTGCGAGCTATTTTAAAATGGCGGCGCCTCACCTCGCATTTTTAAATGATCATAAAAATTGTTTATCCTCTTCAAATATTTATCGATTGACGTCATTCAGTTCCTGGGCACTGAACAATTTTTTTATTTTCATATACGGATGAAAAATCGGCGACTTCAATGGATATTATTCATGTTTATTTTCAGTATTCAAATCACCGGAATATTGCCACATATTATGGAGCATTCGTCAAGAAGTCACCACCGGGGAAAGATGACCAATTGTGGTTGGTCATGGAATATTGTGGTGCTGGGTCCGTTACAGATCTCGTTAAATCGACAAAGGGACAGAGCCTTAAAGAAGAGTGGATTGCTTATATCTCGAGAGAGATACTCAGAGGACTCAGTTACCTCCACAGTAACAAAGTTATTCACAGGGACATCAAGGGACAGAACGTACTCTTGACCGACAATGCCGAAGTTAAACTTGGTAAGATGCTTTTAATAATCATCGAATTATCTCAGTTATTCCCTCATACGGAATAAATTCCGAAAGAATGTTTTTAATGAACATTTTTTATCAATCACGAACAGTGGATTTCGGTGTATCTGCACAATTGGACCGTACGATTGGACGTAGAAACACGTTCATTGGTACCCCATACTGGATGGCACCTGAAGTGATAGCTTGTGACGAAAATCCAGATGCCACATACGACAACAGAAGTGATCTTTGGTCACTGGGTATTACTGCATTGGAAATGGCAGAGTCACAGCCTCCCCTCTGTGATCTACATCCCATGAGAGTAAGTGGAGTCATTCTCCAGCAAGTTTCAAACGGTTCGACCTCATTCCAGGATAAAAACAGAGAAAAATAATGACGACTTCATGATTCGAGATTTTTTCTTTCCGATTGATGAAGCAGTTTTTATTTTCTTCGAATCCGTCGATTGCCTGGCTATTTCATTGAGTGATTAGAAAGCTCGGGCATTCCAGGAATTTTGGGGATAATTGAATGAATTATTTTAACAGGCGCTCTTCTTGATTCCACGTAATACACCACCAAGGCTGAAATCGAAGAAGTGGGCGAAAAAATTTCAGGGATTCATTGAAACGGTCCTGGTGAAGGACTATCATCAGCGGCCTTATACGGAACAACTACTGAAGCATCCATTCATCCGGGACCAACCAACAGAGCGTCAAGTTAGGATACAGCTCAAAGACCATATCGATCGTTGCAAGAAACGTAAACAGGAGAAAGGTAAGGGTAAGACTGAATCGTATCATTTTTTATTCATTTATTTTTTTCACCTTTCAAGTTCAATCATAAATTCAATTGATTAATTTATACTATCAAAATTTTTTACTCTGATGGAAAGACACTTAAACGGGAAAATATTATCTTTAGAACAAGAGAAAAAAAATTATGACCTCATTTCTCACGCTTCTGAGAGTTACCACTTATATACAAAATTATCGTCGATCAATTTTTTTTTCTGGCTACTTTGAATTTCTTTTCCTCCATATTTGACGAGTCGTTTGAATTCGATTTGAGCTACTTCAAGATGCGATAAATTTTACCTCAAGTAGACTAAAAAAATATTTATCACTCTTGCGCTGGTTTCCATTTTTTTATGATGAAAGCTACTAGTAAAAGTAGAATTCCGTTATATTGGTTACCTTTCCTCAATTTCTTTTTTCGCGTATCTTTCGGTTTTCTTATTCTACTACCCCCGGGCTACAGAATGTAAACAATTCCTTTCGATCGGTGATTAATTGAATTCCAGGTGAAATAAAGTCGAAAAATAAATCGAACGGGTGAAATACAGCATTCAATTTATTTTAACATTCGATAAATTAAATGTGAAATTTTCATAAGTGACGCAACGAGTTATGCAATTCGACATATTGACAGCTCATCATAAATCCTTAAACATTATTGCCACTCTCACTTTCCTCAATATTTGTCAATGCAATGTGCCTTTACCTCGACAGAACGTGACGACTACAGGTACAGTGGAAGTGAAAACGAGGATGACGAGCCAGCCCTCGCAGGTGAGCCCTCGTCAATCGTCCAGGCACCTGGTGGCGACACACTCCGTCGTAATTTCCAGCAGATCCAGGAGGGAAGGACATTGACACAAGATATTCCCCAGCCACCACATTCGGGTAAAGATAAACAAGGAGGTAGAGGCCATCGTGAGATCCCAGAGCCAGGACCACCCTCCAGACCTGCTATTCCTCACAGACTCATTGGTGAGAAATCGAGGATGTGTCCCTGAATTTTTTTTTATACTTCTAATTACCATGGAATAATTACTAATGTCTGAATTTGAATAATAGAGCCACAGCCACCATCGCGGCCGCTGCCTCCAACACCACGTGATGATCCAAGACAGCCGCACAAAGTCTCAACTCCACCATCGAACCACCACTCAGCTGCCAATTCCAGTGGCGTTGGAAGTGGTGGTTCAGGTGGACAGCCACCACAAAGAAACAGTCACGTTTTCAAGCCCATGGTACGCACTTTTGTCGATTTAAACCATTGAAATTGTTGTTATTACGTCGACTATGGATGGAACAAGTGCTCAAGGCCAATAATCGCTGTTAACGCGTCACAGCACGTGTAGAGTCCTTCATAGTTATCTCTCCATCCCTCAACTCTATTCTGCTGGAACAACTGCAGAAACTGCTGTAGCATTCGAGTGAATTCACTTATCTCGACTCTGTCCTTCAAACATCTATCACTTTTTTTTTTTACAGTACACGTTGCAGTATTCAACGAGATCAGATTTTTTTTTGTCATGGAAATTAAGGATATAGGTATTTTGAATTATCGCGGTATCAATATTTGATCTCTTTGAATATAATTTTTACACTAGATGTTATAGCTAAACTGCAATAAATGCACGATTCGAAAGGTATCTATTCTCTTGGCGTTATAATTGGCGTTATGCACGCATTAAACTAGGCAGATGATGGCTAATTAGACCTGAAATGAATACGAAGGAAATTCTAGTGTCACTCGAAAATTTTTGTTTCGGAAATACATTTTTAAATTGATCTCATAGCTCGAGTTTAAAATTTGGAGATTGAATTGAAATCGAGACCTAGAATTTTCTCAACAACAAATATAGATAAATCAAACTTCTACACTCCTCACGTTTTCAAAATTTCCGGAATGTATTTGGTTTTTGTTTTTCTTTTTCCATGTTCACACGTACTGTAGCTGCCACCGAGGAGGCCAGAGGTAAGAGAAACACACACACCCACCACCATTTTCCTATCACTTGAATAATTCAATGAATCACGTATTTAACAAGTAAATTTCACCCAATAAAAGGGCTAAAATTCCGTGCATGCGACTTAATGTGGGGTTTTACGTAGCTCTTAACTGTTTGTGAAACAGCTAAGGATACTGTACATATGGGTAACCTATCGCTTTAACGCTTTATTCTATTAGATAATGAAGACGGCTTCTTACTCGTTGCTATACTCATCTGATTGATTACCAATATTCTCCAGTGACATTTAGAAATGTTTATTAATGCGTTGCGAGAAAACGTCACAGGTGCTGACAATCATTACGTCAATTATAAAATGCACAACACGGTTGGGCATTCATCGATAATTTTCACATGCTTCAATCAGCTTTCATTGCTTTTAGGGATTGATTCAGTAATTGAGTGGAAATTGATTTTATACAATTCTTTTCTCAACAAATACTTTAATTGAAAAATTCGACTTGGTCAATAAATAATTGATGGTAAAAATTGACTTCAAGATTTTCGGATGAGGTGTCAATTGTCTTGAGTCAATCAAATAATTATTGATTATATTCCACTTAAGAACTGATCAGCTTACTCGTGGTTAGTTTGAAATTGATTAATCCTGTAATTGGAGAAGGTTTTGAGGAAAAAAAATGGCACAAAGTGACTAACGGGGTATTTTGTACGTGTGGCGCGTTGGGTGGTAGGACTTGGACATGCTGGCTGCTCAACTCAACGAGCTTGGTGTGTCACAGGGCCCTGAGGCCCCGCCAAGGCCCAACAGGCAACACAAGAGCCCAGCCCCGGTACAAACGTCAAATGTCACCACTAGCCACTCGGCCCAACCAGCCAATAATGAACAGAACAACAAACAGATGCCACAATCCTCCAGTATTCTCGATCAAGTAAGACGATCAATAAGAGAGATTACTGAGAAAAGATTCTATTAAAATTACCAAATTTTAGAGAGAAGCATCTGTTAAAAGTAATTATTGAATCGATATAATTATTGAAGCTCCAACACGTACATTTTATTGAACTTTACTTCACTCGTGGATTCCGTTTTTACGTGGATTTTTCAGGCTTTTTCAAATGGTGATTTTTATTGAATTTTTCTCTGCGTAATAATGGAGACATTTTTATTTTCTTTTAAATAGAGTACAGAGTTAGGGCAGGATCTCGTCTAACTCTTCACAAGCACCCCCTTTAGTTTTGGTTGTCTTTGGGGAATTCGTTGAGTTTTTTTCCTCTACTTTTGCTTTCCTTTCTCGATTTTTAAACTATTTAGGATAGAGCGTTAAGAGGGAAAACCGACGTGTGGATGTAGATTGCAGTTGTAAATTGAATTATCGTTGGTTTATATTTTTGAATGGTGCAATTGTGAAATGAATTTTCAATGGTTTTTCAGGCACTATCCGTCGAGAGTGACAGTGATGATGATTTCGAGGATGCAACTGGAAACAATGCAAGAAACGATGGAACATTACTCGCCAGTGATCCACCAAAGCCTCTGTAAGTTTTGATAGTTTGTTGCCATTCATTGTTGGTAAAAATCGATGGATTCATCCATTGTCATCTTTCATTTTTAATCACTCCTGCATCTCTACCATTGTCTCATCGACTGACCCAAATGGAAACGACCATCAATTCATCGTTTGTCATCCTCATCACTTTTTACTACTGGGATACCATCCAGCCCTGAATTTTCTCCTTTCAGACCGTCTTCAGATTCATCTTCTTCGTCCTCCCACAATGCACAAAATCACCATGAAGGTAAGCTCAATGGTTTCTTTAAAACGAAAGAAATATTACGAAATATATAAGCACTGATTCCACATTTTCTCGAAATGTGATATTCAGTCGAGAATTCATTTTGATTCACGGAATATCTCCATTTTTGAGGATTGAAAATTCTTTGAAATAAATAAATAATATCGTCCAGGTGGTGCACCCAATCGACCATTACCACCGACACCAGATGAAGAGGAATCAGGAGATCGAACACTAGTCATGAAACGAGTAAGTACAAATCCATTTAAAATCACACGTTAAGTATCTGGAATAAAATTAGTGCAAGAGAACGATATGTAGTATTCCACATTGTCAATCTGGCCATCCGTAATCTGCATTGTATTGCACTTATGCCGTGGATACCCAATATTGTGTACGTATTACTGTATGATTCCTCAAATCATTCAGATTATCGTTAGAGTACGCTAAATGGTCCTCTAGTCCACATCTTAAATAATTGAGACAATTTTTCATCTTCAACTCTGAAAAAATTGTCTTGATTTACGAATTAACGAGACTAATTAAGGAAATTGCGAATTGTCGAGGTGACGCTGGCATTTTCACGAACCGCATGAGGGAAATTCGATAATTAAATGAGTAAGGCAAATATTTCACCGAGAATGAGAATAATCAATAATCTTACCGAAAAATTGATTGAAGGTATACTTTTAGAGTAGAAATATTTTCTTATTACATTTAATTACCAATTAATGATCTGGGGAAGGGAAAAATGCTTTGGAATTTTCCCATTTGTCGCCTGCTGTCATGACCCCTGCTCGGCCCTTAAATGTTAGCACACCGCTGTATCGTGCATCAAAAACCCTAAAATTCAGTAGTTAATCTCAGCAACAATGAATTTTTCATATTAAAAAATATGTTGAAACTCGAGAAAGTGAAAGTTCAATGGTTCCTCCGTATTACGCTTTTCTCTTTCAACTGAATTGAGTGTCCGAAGGTTTTGAGGGCTGATAATGACAGAAATTACTGGCTAATTAACAACTAGAGACTTTATGTGTCTAATGGGTTATTCCACTTCAATTTACAATAAAAAATTGAAAATAATCCCGAGCGATGACGATGGGCTACAGATACTCAACAATCTCTTCACCACACGTTCCCTCAAAGTTCTCCCATTACACCTCAAAACTTTCGGCTGACTCGATCTCATCACCAATTCATTGAGTAGTTTTGCGTAACTCACCTCAACTGGTTGCTTTCCCAGTCCGAAATTGCTCGTTTCAAGGTGGAAAAACCCCTGAAAATTTCACCCCGAGTTACTGAATTAATACAGCCCCAGAAAATCATCCCCCCACGAGCAGTAGCCCTCGACCATTCGTAATTACCCACCCCAATAAGAATGAAAAACCTCTCATACATATAGTCACCACATCGCATTATAAACTTCGACGTATCGTTTTTTTTTTCTTTGTTTTATCACTGTTTCATTTCCCGACCATTCGATACCATCGCAATACACTCAAACTCAAAAAAAAAACTCATAATTTAAAAACGTAATGCAACAATCAAAACAATAAACGTAGAAACTTAGTAAAAATGATGAGAAAACAAGCCCGAACCGTCGCTCCGAGATTGATGAGCAATTGTTGCTCAAGGAGTGGGATTTCACACGGTTCTTCCAAGGGTTTAACGAAAGGTTGGATAAAATGAAACAGGAGGTGACTGGCAAGGAGGAGAGTGCAAAATCAACGGAGAGAACCCTGAAGAGATACGATTTATCATCGAGAAGGAAAACCGAGCAAATTGGTGGGCACAGTGGACAGAGGAGTGCTCAGAAATCATCGGCTAGTGGTCAAACATCGGGGCAATTAAAATCTATACATCGTAGACAAGAGTCAGATTCAAAATTGGCAAATTCAAGTGCATTTGCCAGAGCATTCAGGCGTGAAAATTCCGATTTCTTTCCCTCGACGAGGCATTCGGCTTATTTACAAAAATCCGAGCCGAGATCATCGATATTTGCAAGTGGAAATAGACGTGGCAGTGAAATATCAGTTGCTGGTATAAGTGGAAAGAAAGGTAGTGGATTGTCATCGGGTGAGCCAGTACTTACTGATTTTTCATTTGGTCGTGAGCCACCCCAGCGACCTAGACGTGAAAAAACCGAGAGTGAAATTGTTTTTGGAAATAGACAGCAGGATTATTTGAGGGAGCGTGAGGCTAGGTTATTCAGAAATGATGATAATAGGAGGAGAAGTTTTAAACCGTTGGATTCGACGTCGGATGATGGAACAATTAAGTCAACAGCTAGTACAACAGCTAGTGAATACAGTCCAGTCATAACTCAGGTCAGTCTTGAGAGGAGAGAATAGATAAACAATATCGTACTAAAGACTGCCTGTTTCTCCATTTGTCAGAGCTCCTTGTTCCCATGTTTTAGGTTTTTATTTATTTCATAACTAAAGACATTAACTGCATCTGGAGATCATTAGAGTTATTGTTTGTTCAGACTATATCCAACGATTTGACTAATTTATTTTTCTTCCTCATTTATTCTCAGTTAGATATAGATTTAATCAGAGAACATTATAGATTTTTTTAGAGGTCTAATCACTGCTCTAGCTCTTCCATTAATTGAATAAAATATTATGTAGGCGTGTAATAATGCTCAATTGATTCCATGATGAGAATTCATTTTATTAGAATTTTTAGAGGTTCGCAAGTCGATTAAAACTTTAGACAACTTTAGATTTTTTCAATCTGTCATAGAATTTCAGTCGTATTACAATAACTCTGAGTCGATGGAGATAAATTACGTTAATGCATTTCCACGGACTTTCTCCTTTTTCAAACAATTTGAACATACGCTTCAACTATTCCTTCCCTCTGCAAATATAGAATCAATTTACCACTCGAATTATCCGGGAATATTCATTTGGCTTACGGGTCTGATATGAAATTATTCCTGAAAAGATTTATTGGAAAGGTCAATCTATTTTCAAAATTTTTTTTGGAGATGCACCAATTGGAAATTCCACTAGATTAACTGATTCAATTAAACCGTGAAATTATTTAAGATACAATATGTAGAATATTGCAGGTGTCCCTTTATATTTCGAGAATCAACAATTTCAGGCCAATGAAAATTAATTTCGGTAATGCATTTTCTCATGTACTTTCTGCTTCTACAGATTATTTTCTTTCCATATCCCTTCTCCCACGCATATATCAGCTTTTAAATAATTACTGAATACTCAGACTAATTGAATTGCGGATCTGCTATTATTATGAAAATGATGAAAATGAAAAATGTGCCACTTGAAAATAAATGACTTCATGCATTTTCCAGTGGGAATGATTTATTAATTTCTTGAAAATTTCACTTGAACTTTTTTTAACTTAACTATATTAAATCATCATTTATCCAGAAATAACGACTTCATTCGCTGAGAGCTCTGAAATCAATTACCAATTATTCAAATACTGATAATAATCATATCAGATCCGCGTATCAGTGGATTAATTACAGCTCTCACGAGTGCCTAATGATCGCCAAACGTTTTCTCAATAATTCGAGTGTGAAAATTACCCTGACTGCTGAATAAATCCCCGATTAATCCGAATCTCCCGTAATATCTCTCGCAACGGGGACAAAATGTTTTTGTTATAAAAAATTATTTGAATATCAAAAAGAAATTCGCAGTGTTTAAAATAAATAAATACTCTTGTGAATTTGACAACTTGTCGATCAAGACATTTTTTTTTAACAATAAACATTTCCCCGTCCAATTTTCCACCCCGACGATTTACCCTCTTCAAACATTAATTTACCCTTTCCATCTCACTTTATTTCAATTCATACAAGCCACCACTACAATTCCTCAGCAAGACCATTCACAATCATAAAAATACCCGACGAATCCCAGAATTTTGCTTGAAACCTCTCCAATAGTAAAAAAAAATTACCAACTCTCAATTCATAAAACATTCACGAAAGCCCCATCCGCAATAAATGCTCCCAGACCTGTTGTGCTGTACGAGGGATGTGTGTTATTTTTTTTTTAATGAAATTCTCGCTTTTCTGCTGAATTCCATAAACCAACTCTACTAACTGACCCTTGACGATAGAACAAACAAGGACAAATGCTCGCACGAAAAAAAAAAACATAAATCCCATCCAAAATCGAAAAATGCTGATCTTGCGATATAGACGAAATCATCTAGATTCGCTTGGATTGCCATTTGTAACTCCACAAGGGAATCACTGCATTAAAAAGAAATCGCCGCTAGAAAATCATAAGCCAAAAGCATTGAACTGACATTAACAATCATTTTGTGTGTGTCTTGTGTCTAACAATAAATAAAATGGTATCTGAAATAAATTCTCACGTCTGCTGAAGCGTGCATGAAAAATCGTCTCAAGGGAAATGAATAAAGACGGAATTTGAGATAAATAAGAATAAAAAGGGAATAATAAATCCTTTTATCGCAATAAAAACGTAAAACGATATTGGATTGAGGAGAAGGAACAAAGAGGATGATTATGGACTTTTTTGTCAAGTGAAATGGTGTGAGAAAGTGAGAGAGAAAATAGTAATAAGGATTGCAATGGAATGGAAAGGAATTAGGAATCCTTTTGTGATAAAAGGGGATTTTCTTCCTCGATTGAGGACGCACTTCATAAAATCCGACGAAATGAGAGAACAAATGATAGAAAAGAAATATTAAATGTGAGAATACGAGGATTGGGACCATTGCATGATTTGCTTCATTGTATGTACAGAATGTGCCATTTTTATCGATTTTTATTTAGTACCCTTTCATCGTTTTCTCGATGGGAAGAAATGTTTTCTCATTCTGGGTTGTCTTCTTGTTTTTGTGTTTACTGTGGCATGAGATCTTTAAATCGAGGACTTTATCCATTTTTCTCATTGAAACTGAAAGTTGGAACAGATGATTATCGAAATTTATGAATTATATCCTGATTCGATTTTCAATTTTCGTCTAGACGATGTCATTTCAACAATTAATTTAATTATAAATTCAAACCAGTCCAGAACGACAATGCATTATTTTTCAATCGTTCCTCCGAATAATTGTCATCCTCCGGGTTAATTGAAATTGTACCGGGAGATTTCAATACACATCTACATTTCAAACGATTCAAACAAGAAAAAAAAATTGAAAACTCTTTTTTAAACAAAACGTTACGTGCATTTTCTGCATGCAGAACTGCACGCGCATCAATTTGCATGACGTACAGGTGTGGAAAAAACGTACCGAAAAAAAAAAGAGTGAAGGAGAAAACGTTGGAAAAAAAATTGTTACATCGTATTGAATGGAGAGGTCTGTGCTGTTCGAATGGATTGAATTTTTTATTTCATTTTTTTTTTAATACGTCACGTACCACCAGCGTCACTTTGTGACACTTCAAAGATTGCATCGCCTATTATGTAGCTACGATTCACCGCTGCTCCTCCATGTTTTTATATTTTAATATTTTTTTTACCCCCTCTCTTTTCATCAGTGTAATGACATTTTTTTTTTGTGTGTAATCAAGCATCCGCCTGCTCATTGTGCTTTGTAATTTCATTGTTTGTTTTCAGCTTCGATTTCTGATGGTATTGATTGTTTCAGGGTGATCGTATCGAATGCGTTCGTAATTCTTTCGTAATTCTTTTGTAATTCTTTCGTAATTATTTCATAATTACATTCGATACTGTCACCTCAAATCGCCAATGATAAAACCAAAAATCAAATGATACTATTTCATTGTACCAATTTTATGATTATTCCATTAATTATATAAAACTCGGATGTTGGGTACATCTCTACGAAACTTGGAAGATTACCCCAGTGCCTCAGTCCACAAAAGTTGAAAAAAAAAGAATAATAAAACCATGAAATATTCATTTCAATCTAACCCACAAAATACATATTCGAAAACTTTTCCACCAAGTAGATGAAAACTTTGTTAACTCAACCGCAATCCCAGTATTTTCTTTCATTCTGGCCATTTTTCTTACCCAGAAAGTCTCGTAAATATGACATTCGGAGTCATTGGCAATTTCCCTTCTCATTACTCTCCCGTATTCAATGTTTCGTAAATTTCATAATCTTCAACCGAAAGAAGTTACACCACCCTGAACTATTAATTCGCATATTGAATTGATATATTTTATCAACATGAATTTAACATTTCCAGAATCGTGATGGTGAGCGTGGAAGAAGTGGAGGAAGTGATTTCCAGAGATCAGACTCATCCCCCGGCTCACGACCTAGCTCAGTGCTACCAGATTTATTGACCTCGTCGCCAGGTCAACGACAGGACAAGTCAACCAGTGAAGAGGTCAGACATTTCGATTATTTCTCTCTATTTCTCGTTTATCATGTGTCCAGCAGTTACTGGCTATTTTCACCACTTTATCATCGACACTTGAATGCGAAACCAAACGATTATTTCACTTTTGTATCTTTTACTGTTGGTTCAGAGTTGAGAGTTTGGAAATTAATTCCAACAGTGTTTCAGCAGTTTGAGGTACTTCCTGTGGACAATTTTCAACGGATGTTTGGGTTCAATGTGGAGATAGGATGGTGGAAAAGCGCGGTATTGGAATTACAGTATGAATTTTGGTAATCATGACTTTATGAAAGGACTCGGTATGAATATCTCGGGAACAGGGGAAATCTAATTTAATGGTCAGTCTATACTCGAAATTTTACAATGGATTTATAAATGATTTGATCAAAGAATATTTATTAATGATTTAAAATGATAATGACTAGCTGCAAATGCAGACGACTCCAACGGACAAAAGATTCATTAATTCCAGTTAATGCCAATTAATTCCAATAATTAATCCCAACGATAAATTCCCCACCCCTTGATACCGCCAGGTTGCCATCGATTCCTTGAAACCCCAATTTCCCCAAAACAAAGGAAAAATCCACCTGGCAATTCTGGACATTCAAGAAAAAACGAGAAGCACTGAAAACTCGCATCGATCACTCCCAGGTCAATATCCCTATTGCATTTCGTATGATTGGAAATATAGCAGTCCGTTTTCCTGAAATAAACGCATCGAGTCCTTCAGAGAGTCCAATAAACGCCGAAAAAGATCGATATCACGAGCAATATCTCTCCCCAAAAAGAGTCAAAGCCAGAGAATGAAAAAAGCCTATGAAAAATTGCCTGACAGAATTAAAAAATAAATGTATACGAATCAGATAAACTACAAAATTAGCCAGCAACTCCCGTTATCGTGCCTGAATTCTCGTACGTGTGTGAAAAATAATGAAGTTGAAGTCTGTATCAATTAAAAAATTTCACTCGTGAAGGTTGAGAAAAAAAAAAAGAGCATAAAAAACGCTTTAATGTGTTCGTACTCGTATCTTGGGGCAATAAAAGTGTATCACGATGAGATTGATAAGGGCCATCCAAGGCTCTTCCAGCGTTATTTCTCCTCCTTTTTTGAAGCCATAAAAGGATGGGAAATACGAGACCCAGACTATTTCTTTGGTACCGTACCTAGCCTAGCAAATGCTTTGAATCGTAATCGTTTTATTTTCAATGTATTTCTTCATTTATTTTGTTCATTCGACTTATCATTTTTATTTATACTCTCGTTTTTCATTCAGAGATACATTCACCCTTCCATTATTTTACATTGTGTTTGCATACGCATCACTATCACTCATTTTACATGTAAGAAAAAGGGAGAAAGAAACTGAAAAATATTGTGGAACAATACGAGGAGAGAAAGCGGTTTTCATTGTCGTTTCTTTCTGCCTTTCATTCGTATCTCCCTTTTCTCCCCCCCTCAACCCCTCGTTCACCCTTGAGTTACTTCAATATTGCCCCCATTTTTCCATTTTATTTTTCATCAACATATACATAAGTATTTGAATAGTGGAATCCCCCATGTCTCCAGGAAATGGAGAAATATGATACAATGACTCCTGTTTCATATGGAGTATTTTCACTTGAGGAAAAATCTAGCAAGATGAGAAATGCAGCCTGAGAAAGTCCAGAGTATTACAGACTTTGCGATGGCCAACTGTAGGATAGTACTATTGCTTTTGGATTTTTATTGAAAGAGAAATTATTACTGGACATGATTGCTTGCCAGTGGTCATTTCTCTCACACATATCAAATGGGATAATGTACAAATTATGAATACGAATTAGCGATAAATTTTTAGCTGACCCATTAAAATTCATTTGAACAAGTGTGTCCTCTCAATTTCGTTGAGCAATTTTTTAAATATATCAAAACGTGACTAATTGAGGATTATGTTGTGTGTTGTGGGACACGCGGGAGCTCTAACTTGAACGCCAGGGCCCTATCTACTGACCACCCCAATCCCAATACTAATTGCAATGTAAGTATTTATCCATCTACATCAGATCAGTGTCGCTTCCGTCTTTAACTCTCTTATAAAACAATTCAGAAAGAATGAAACGAACACTTGAGAATTTCGGTGACTCGATACATCTAACTCCAACTATTGATAACAATTTTTTCGGGCTCTCTACAAATTTCACAGTATCTACATTATTCTGCTCAAATCGTTAACAAAATTGGGGAGAATCTTTTGATTTGATCATCTGTCATCATTAACGTTTGATTTTGTTGATTTTTTGGTTGATTTTCTCTTTATTATTCAAAAATGCATGTGGAATCTGGTGGACTGATTTGCGGAGGGTTGAATGAGGAGATGAATATGAAAATATCACGAAATTGATTGAAAAATATAACCACAGGCAATTCATTGTAGTTTCCACAAATTTTCCATCAACTCCTCATTCCCATCAGTGGAGAAAAAAAAAGAAGAGAACTGAAATAACCGGGGAAAAACCGTGACAGGGGAAATACCATTAACAAAAATGTTCACCTAATTTATACTTTTTTTTTTCCCCCGAATGATTACGTTGGGTCTATTACCAGTCTCTCACCTGTACTATCTGGCCTTTTTCCCCTCTCGTCGTAACAAGAGGGAAAAAAAATTATAATTGTATAGTGGTTTTGCGATAATTAGACCTTGTGTTATTGTTATTGGAATTTGCTTTCGCATTTCCACTCTATTCTTGTACTTCTCTTCCTCTTTAATTCTGTGTTTGGCTTTCACATTTTGGGACATTGCATTTTTCAGGAAGAGAGAAAATTAAAAATTGCACACTAGTTCTCTCGATGATTTCGATGTAAAAATGAATATTTTCTGTTTAGTTTATTGATTGAAAACTGTTAGAGGATGCGCATTGATTGCTAGTGCAACTTGAGTAATGCTTGAGAGAATAGATTTGTTTTTTGATAATTCATTTGAATCTTTGGCTATTCTTACGGATTTCTAACTCGAATATCGTCTCTCGAATTAACATCAATAATATTTATCATCAATCTGCGATTGAGTGGAATGACAGTATTAAAATTCAAGGAATTAATAAATAATTTTTGGGAAATCATGGGATTGAAGTGAGATATGTCAGATTCGAGTGGTCTTATTCCACTCAACAGCTGATTTGATTTTTCGAGGCATTTGAATTTCAGGTCGTCATAAAATTGCCTCTATTTGCAGTATCGACAAGCTGTTAAAACCCCAGCACCTCTTGCACTTCAACAGAAACAGAGATCCTTCCTAACGTTTGGATTTGGCGCTGGACCAGCCAGAAGGGAATCCCACGTTAATGTCAATGTGACACCCACGAGTCATGATTTAGCATCCGATACACCGGAAATAAGAAAATATAAGAAGAGATTTAATAGTGAAATACTTTGCGCTGCTTTATGGGGTAATGAAATCATCAGTTAATATCAAATCTCTAGAAAAAATATTATCCTTACTATTCACTTAAAAATGGAATTATTCAATGATTTTTTTTTCTGGAAAAAACTACGAGAATTCATGAAAGTATTATTAAATTATTGTCTCTGCTGTTTTCAGGCGTGAATCTCCTAATTGGCACAGAGAATGGATTGATGCTGCTTGACAGAAGTGGACAGGGTAAAGTCTATCAATTAATCAGCAGGAGAAGATTCCAACAAATGGAGGTGCTCGAGGGTCAAAATATTCTCGTTACAATCAGCGGTAAAAAAAATCGTGTCAGAGTGTACTACTTGTCGTGGCTGAAGAGCAAAATCCTTCGCACTGATGGTCACAGCGACGTAAGTACCATAAACAAATTATTATTACCGATATTCTCAAGTATCTAAAAAATGTAGTGAATTTTTTACTCGTTCGTTCAATATTTATAATTCTATAATAGCAGTCACTATTAATTTAACACACGATTGACTCAAGAATTTCGGTCGGAGTGGGTCGTCCTTTATTGGACAACCAATGTACGTCGTTTAATATAGCACGAGACCGAACGCACGCCCCGCCCCTGCCATCTTATTCCGCTGTGTTGATGTTTACATAGCGAATTGACCAATGGGAGAGCCAAGAGTTTTATTCGGAATGCCCAATGAGATATAGGGCGTAATCCTTAGATCGGAAATTCTATATTTTGATCGAATTCAGAATTGAGGATATTTCAGTTAATCGAAGCATATCACGATGTCGTGAATTGATGCTAGCCATTTGTGCGAGTTAAAGATTCATTTAATTTCGAAGTTCTGATCAAACTTTATCAGATACTCAATCGATAATTTTTTAATTTCCGATTGACGTTTCAGAGTTCCATAATGGATCGGAGACAGATTTTCAGTTATAAAGACAAATGCGCTCTTCTGTTTAATTTATCGATTTCAAAAGTTTTGCGTGAAATATTCAGCATCGGATGTCATTCATCAGACATTCACATGAAAAACAGGTCAATGATGAAAATAAATCAACAATTGTCTGAATTTCAAAGAATCCATAACCAGCATTGGCCCCACAAATTTCCACGAATAGCGAATCATTTAAGAAAATAATGAATACCCAGAAAAACAGACAATCAAAATCGCTTGATAATGAATTCAGCGTTTTTAAAAATATCGCGCCTGGTTGTGGAGAGTATAATCATTGAAACCATTCAATTCGTTCTCCCGATTTTTGATGGCACGAAACACTCATCGAAATTATTTACGTACCCGCACACAAGCTCCACCATTTTGCGCTAAAAAATCCTTGAAAATACGCGAAAAAGCCTTTTAAAAATTCGCAGCTTAAAGTTTCATGAACTAATGGAGCTGGAATAATTTGAATATACATTTTAATCCACATCCGTTTTTCTTCTCGACATTTTTCAACATGAAACATCGAAATTTCATTCGTTAGTGGCAGCTGTTGTAAATGTGAATGCATTCATCAGTTGAATATATAGCACGTTTCGAGTTCACTCCATTCAAAGTACATAAATCTCTCTACAAAAATTTTGTTTATTCCACCGATTTATAACTCCGACTGGAGCAATCGGTTCGATCTATTTTTTCAGATTAGGATTACAAACCAGAGGGATTAAAACCGGTTTACATTTGTTAACGAGCAATTTAATTTCGCGATAGATTTATCTCTCCCAAAACTAACTAAAGAACAATCTATGATCACTTGACGTTCATTCATACAAGTCAAGTGAATTTCCATCGAGATTGTAAAATAATAAATTGACTGTTCTCTTCAAAAAAATTAAGCAGCAAGTAGAGAGGCGCAATGGTTGGATAAACGTCGGCGATCTTCAAGGTGCAGTTCACTTCAAAATAGTGAAATACGAGAGAATAAAATTTTTAGTTATTGCTCTGAAGGACTCCATAGAGATCTACGCATGGGCACCGAAACCTTATCACAAATTCATGGCATTCAAGTCATTCGGTGAATTGGCTCACAGGCCACTGCTTGTCGACTTGACCGTCGAGGAGGGATCCCGATTAAAAGTGATTTATGGAAGTGCCGATGGATTTCACGCTGTCGATTTGGATTCAGCAACTGTCTACGACATCTATCTACCCAAACACGTGAGTCCAATCATATCACAACCCATTTATCTCCTCGAGTTTTTCATTTGAACTTGTCCATCAATAATCAGTCAACTCCTTTTGGTTAATAACAAGTTGTGGAAAGGGCGCAATTAAAACAATTTCGACGGTTTAATTGTTGCAGACTCAGGGAGCTATTTGTCCACACTGTATCGTTGCTCTGCCAAATAGCAACGGTATGCAATTACTTCTCTGTTACGACAATGAAGGAGTTTATGTCAATACGTACGGTAGAGTGTCCAAGACAATGGTACTTCAGTGGGGTGAAATGCCCACTAGTGTTGCATACATTGGTACTGGACAAATAATGGGATGGGGTAATAAGGCTATTGAAATAAGGAGTGTCGAGAGTGGCCATCTTGACGGTGTCTTTATGCATAAGAAGGCTCAACGGCTCAAGTTCCTCTGTGAACGTAATGATAAGGTAAGAATTATAAATAAATTTTTTCACGAATTTTTACAATCGAAATTCGATATTCGATGAAGATAGAAATGTCAGAGTCTTTTCTGAAGGTGAATTCATGAGTGGAATTGAAATCGTTCGATATTCAATATTTGAGTATACTATATAATATCAGAGTATGTAATTTCCCAGATAAGTATTAAAACTCGACTGACATTTGTTATTTAGATCACAATTTTGCATAATGAAGTTCTCATTAACAATTGATTATCGAATTCTCAACTCAAATAGTTTCAAAAAATGATGTCACGTGCGAGAAATAGATCGCTCGGATTATGTTGGATGAATTACAATAGCGATAACGCAGTTTAATCGAGAGAAAAATCTGATGGAAGCGTAAATTTGTTTGTCAAGGTATTTTTCTCATCGGCGAAGGGTGGATCATCCTGTCAAATTTACTTCATGACCCTGAACAAACCAGGCATGGCTAACTGGTGATCCCGAATGCGGCCAAATATGGCCCCACCGTCAAACGTACAATTACCAACTCACCATTTACCCCGTGTATCTGGTTACCTACCACAGTGTCCACCAATTCATCCCCCACTGCCACAAACACGTTACGTGGATTACCAACAGTGTATGCATCGTGTCAATAATTATTATCCGAGTGATAATAATTCCACTGGATCACACTATCATCAGAGAGATAATCGTTATCAGAGTAATCGTCGTAGGTCAAACTCAAGGGAATTTAACTCGATCGAGGTGAGAAGTCATTATTCACGGAAAGACGATGATTACGAGGACTTCAGGAGTGATAGATGTGGACGATCCTCTCGTAGAATCAGTTCGGGCCCACTCAATGGTATCAATATTTTGATTAAACGATTTTTGTGCTTTCTTGGTTGTCCAACATTGAGATCGTCATTGCGTTATGGACAGGATTGTTGATTATCCTCTACTTGGTGTCGAATTATTATGGATCAATCAAATGCATTGTAGTTTACGATGGACGACATATCCATTTGGGATTTATGTTGTAATAGAAATAATTTATTGGTAATGGTGGATTGATAGGAATTTGTCTGACTTGTCAATCCATGGATTCGATCGACCGAGCGGTTCGGGCTGACATACATAAATGCGCAATGCAGTCCCACGACAACCCCTCGAGATCGTTTTAAATTTATAATCTCTGCTGACTGAATCTCGCCCCCTTTCAACTCTGGCGTATTCTTCATTCCAATTAAACTTTTTCATGAAACTGCGGCAGTTGATTTAATGGAAAAAGAAGAGAAAATAAATAGCAGCAAAAACTCTTTACTTTGGCTACAGGTGTTTCATTCAAAACCCCATCGTCGGTTAATTAAAGTGGGTTAACACGAGTTTTTTATATTTTTTTTTTCAAAATATACATACGTTGGATTCATGAAATTCATTCAAACCAATGTTCGGGAGTGAGAGGTCAGTTTGTTGAATGAATTCTTTTGAAACATAATATTTGGATAATGGTATTTCATTCTGTGTGAACAGAAATGGATGTGAATTTTAGTCGTACCATTATTTTCAATCGAGCGATGCGAAATTTGACACCTCGTGGCTTAATACCTGTCGACGAATTGATGGACTCAATCGTTTGACGATCAATATTTATGATGGATTATTACTTTGGTCAACGATCTCAATGAAGTGGCTCAGAACTTTTTCCACTGAGAAATTTTTTAAAGACGATTTCTCCATTTTTCTTTCAAATCAAAAAAGTTGGGAACGAGTGCAGGGAAGATTTTGGAGTTATTCTTTTCCCCTCATACATTTTGTCTGAGATATGTTCATTTAACTCTGATGAATCAACATGATTAATAATGATGGCAATGGTGTAATGAAATGAAACGATTCGATTATTGTGATTTAATGGAGGATTAACATTTTTACAAAAAAAAATAATAATAATATGGAGTAATAGAGATTTTGCTGTAGGGTATCGAGTTGCACGTGATGCGGGTGTAATTAAAAAAAAATTATTTCACCCTCGACCGTCCCTCTTGCGATGAAAAAAATGAAAACAGCTGAAAGCTCGTGGATAATGGGCTTTTATTGTCTGGTGATGAAATCGGAACGTTAACGACATCCAATAACCCATGAAAATAACAGCTCGTGAGTGGGAAGGAAAATCCAATTATCGACAGTGTAATACACATTTATCGTGCAATAATACTTGCGAGGTTGATATTTAGACGATTATTATTGTTTCATTAATCGGGCATATGGACGGGTGATAATGACCCCTCGTAATAATCAGTTCTGTACAGATAAGTTGAAAATGTGCGACGACTAAAATTTCACAGTCTTGAAATATTCACGCTCATTCGTTTACGTATTTAATTCGATGTTTTAATTCTCTTGCTCGTGACAATTGAAATTATTGACAATATCAACCCTTTGGTTATCATATTGGATCTTCGGCAATTATTCGATTATCGTGTGAAGATATTATTAATGAATGCAGACTAAAACAACTTCGACAATTTAACTTTGTACATAATGAAGTATTTAACGGTCCAAGTACCAAGTTGGCCACTATTAATCGATCCAAGTATCTCCCTCGTATTCTCGATACCTGATACTATATGTTACGTAGTTTTCGGGAGAGTAGTTCTCATGGGTATTCTCTCCACTTCCAGAATAACCGAGGACAGTTCCTCGGGCATTATAATTTGCGATTGGATACTCGTTCCACCAATTAATTAACATTAACGCAAGCCCATGTCTACAGTATAAAAAAAAAAAACCTTCAACTTAGGATAAATTTTCTACTAAGCGATGAGAGAGTGAACAAAATTTCTCGAGTTATAAATCATAAACGGAAGAGGGACGCCCGGACATTTTGAGGAATAATTGACATTTATTTTTATTCTGTTTCGGTGCATCGATGATGAAAGACTGTTTTATAACGATGAAAAAAAAAATTTGCGAAATGTGGTAAAAAAAAATGTGACGAAAGAAAATTATCGAAAATGACAAAAAAAAAAAGAGAGAATGTGAGAAAGTGGCTGATGTGGGAGTTATTAAGGATTTAACAGAAAACAAATTATCGTTACATTGTTGTATGAAATACCATTTCCCACTTCTTCCCTCCTGTTCCTTTTATTTTCATTTTTATAACGCTGATAACTGCCTCTATGATAATAACCGATTTTGCCTTCTTATTTGCCCAATTCTTGCTTTCTCTTGATTGATCCCTCGGTAAAAATAGCTTTATATTTCTTTTACCCCCACCCCCTCATCCTCAAGCCTTTTATATATATTCTCCCAAAGATGGTAGTGATGATTTTTTTTATATATAATTATTATATCAATCAGTTTATTGAATGTAATATTATTTTTTATTCATGTGGTCAGACGAAGTAAAAAAATGATTATCACATCGCGCGGTATATTATGATTACGTCTTTATTATCATTATTATTATAGTTAAGGTCAAATATACGGACGATTCGTAATAAAAATGTGTGTTTTTCCATTTATTCGATGCCTTTGACCTATTAAAATAACAACGAAAGATATTGCAGCTGAAAAAAATATTTAAACAAAACACTCTTTTAATTATTTGCTATTTAATAACGTGGTCTTTGTGGAGTTGCATTACATTGGCTGAATAAAACGAGAGATTTATCAATTTTTAATCGTATCACAATATTTGGTTCGCAATGCAACGGATCCGGGATAAATTGTTTGTTGTTTAGTGAAGTAAATATATTTGTAATCGGATAAAATGCATTGAGCGTGGAGCTTGAATATAATGGGAGATTTATCCGTTCACTTTCTGTGTTGATAATAATTTCGACTCTTTGAGCAGATTCTTTCAATCGTTGTCGATAGATGTACCTCGTGCCTTCATACTTTTTTAGATAATAAAAAGCTGTTTGGATGGAGTGAATATTCTACTGTGGCTCTCTCATTCGAATTGAATGAATAACTCATTCGTTCAGCACTAATTCCTAGTGATCAATAAATTATTTTAAGAATTATTGCTACTGTTATTTTAATTTTAAAAATTATCACTCAATTTTTTTCTGACGTAGTAAAAAATTCGAGGATTTTTGGAAATATCTCGGAAGCTACAGGACCTACCGAAATTTTTATTTCACATTTTTTGTAGCTCTCATTTTTCTCCGCGAAAAGTTTAGTCAAACCATTTTGATATCTTTCTTAGATTCGGAGATATCATTGAAATTTCGGCCCTAGATTTCGTGCGCCATCGCGATGTGTTTATAATCCAGAAAAAATTTCTGGACAATTTCCGTCCAATGAATTATTACGTACGTTTATGATGTAAACCCCAATCGGCTGCAAAATTTGATGCTTAAAACCCTAAACTCTCTCGAAATAAAAAACTTCATGAAACCCAACTCAATCCTCCGTGGGACGAATCGACCGGAGTAAATGGGAGGTAAAATTCCCGAGTGTTTAAAATTTAACTCCTGTATTTTCACCCTGAAATGAAGCCACCTACCTCATGTACAGAATACATTGAAAAGCTAATGAGATATTTGCGCTTTAATTTCGGTGGTTAATGCACCCCCAACCCCTTCTCGTCACCGGCGCCTGAATCGTCTGCACTTTGGGGCACCATTTAAACGTTTTCTCCAATATAATCAAGTGATCGTGCAGTAATTGCGAGTGAGTTCACTGGACTCTTGTTTTAAATTAATCATGCACGAACTTGGGATTGAATCCACTAAATTTCATTTGAATTTAAAAAAATTTTTTCACTAGAAAACGAATCGATCAATAGAACTTAAAGTCAGATAAATCTTGAGAGTCATTAAAAAAATTATAAATACTCAAATGATTAATTATAATCAATTACTATTAATAATTATTTTTATTCAAAAAACTCGACAAAAATTCCAAAATCAAGTGTTCCACGAGATAATGAGAGAAAATTATTAAATGAATAGTAAATAAATTGTTTCTTCCGCGAATTAAAATTGCGCTGGAATATTCCAACATATGAGGGTGTAAAATCCTCCCCTCATCGTCATTCCCCAGGGGGTAGAAAATTCGTGGGAACCGGTTGGCGGATTTTAATAATTCGTGGGAATCGTTTAGTTTTGAACTGCACTACAAATTGTGGATCCACATTGCGGTGGGTAAGGGTAACTCGAGAGGGTGGGATGGGGGTGGTGGAGTCAGGGGGGTGTGGAGACAGTTGTTATGGCTCCAGGAGAGGGATGGAAGGGGTAAAAAGAGAGGTGAGTTGAGGTAGAGATGCGATCGTCCACACCGATACGCGTGTTGGCTGACTAAACCCTCTCACCTCCCCTCGGTTCAAAACTCCAACCAAAACCACTGGAAGGGAAGTTTGGTCGACCATAACGGATGTACACTGTATGGTGGGTTTCAGTTCTAGTTACGGGAAAAGGAGTTTACTACATGTCGAGATACGGATTTTAACGAGACTAAAATTACCGACAATTTTCGTAATCCTTCGGTTAAAATGCCCCGTCATTTTTACGAGCAGTATGTCCCATGGAAATTTGAGGATTTAAATTATTCGAGGGTTCTCGCATTTCTAACGCCATCTTCGCGAATATCTCAGGTAAATTGATGGAATAAAAAAAAATACAAGTGGTCGTCGGTTTTTATTGGATATTTGGGGTTTATCTAGGGAATTTTCCCTTGATTATTCACTAAGAGCTCGGTTTATTGACAATTAAACACATCCTCATTACAGTTAATAAATCATCCAATTCAATGAAAAGCCAGTGTTGCATGGAGTTCAATATTTAATCCGGATTTTTTGGGATGGATTACGCGATTAATTAATTGAATCTCCGGTGTATTATTATGAATTAAAAGCTTGGTATAAATTGTTACCTATTATTTATGGCGTCATAAAAAAATTTGAGTATATCATTGAATTCCTGTTTTACTTCTCATCAAATTTGAAATTACATTGGATTTTTGGAGATTCTCCAAATGTCACGAAACATTTCCAAGATAATAAAAATAAAAAGAATGTTGTTAATAAAAAGAGAATTTTTTAATCAAGTACTTTCATTTATGCTAATAGCAATTCATTTCCCAACATTTCATTCCCTCGGACCCGAAAATCCTCTAAACCAGCAAAAACGACATTTTACCCCTCAAAACCGCAAATTAATTCCCAAACTCCTTGGCCCACCCCCACCCCCACCCGGATAGGCAATTTACTCTCATATTGAGTTATGCATCCGGTAATTGCGGTCTCGAATTGAGCGGCAAACTTCCGCAATTTTTCAAGACGAAAAATAAAAATTCCCTCGCCCCGAAAAATCGTAAAAATTGTTCCCCAAAAACCGGCAGTCGATATTGACTCACCATAACTCCAACCCCAGCCCGCACCCGCCATTAACTCTCTCCCCCATCCGATTTTTTCCTCTATTTTTTCATTTCCCTCTTTTTTTTTTAAAGAACTAAGCGGTCGTTTACTCTGGCAACACAGAGTCTCCGGTTAGAGCAAAACCCTCTCTTCTCCCAGAATGAGAGGTGAAACCATTGCACTGTACACACATCCTCGTACCTAGGGGAGAATTGGGTAAAGTGGACCGCTTTCAATCTTCAATATCCTCTGATGTTTTTTTAACATTATTTTTCCTCAATGGAGAAAGGATTTAATACAATATTTACACGTAAAAAAATGTGTCAATATAGAGTTGTGAAAATCGTGGGATAGAATACAATCTTTTCTTTTGGTAAACATTTGGGATTTGCAAGCAAATGTTTATGGAATGATATTTCTCTGGTTACACATCCACAACAACGACGGATTATTTCACTTCATTGCGATACAGTCTCGAAACAGATGTACTCAATAAAATTTATTTTTTCATCACAATAATAATGATAATATTACTAATTTAATTATATTCCCTCCCCCCCTCCCTCCTCCCCACCATTCCAGAAACGGCTGAGAAAATTAAAATGGCGGTATATTCCGCCAAAAATTACCGACAACGTCCGCAACGCTGTAAAAAAAAATTCCGCGACAATTTCCTCACCGCGTCCCCCGTGCCCCGACATCACAGGATTTCCGGCGAATATGTTTCCCCAGGTACTGCTGCCGGACAGCCTCTGAGAGTCCTGAGACAACAAGATGACAACCCAGAAGATGAGGTGTACTCAGAGCAGTAAAAGCCAGTGTATGTGGATTGAGTTAACGGGTTGAGGTACCGTAAAACCGGCCTAGCCGTTTGAACAAACGAGGGGTTGAAGGGGGGGAGGGGGGGCAAAGAGGTGGCGGAGGATGTGCTCTTGCAAAGAGGTGGGGAGAGGGAGCGAAGGAGTGAGTGAGAGAGGGAGAGTGGGGTAAAGTGGGCGGCAGAGCTGTATCGATGTCCGGGGTTCACCGCCGTTGAGGAGGAGGGGGTGGGTGGGTGGTGAGGGGGTTGAGGGTGGTTTGGAGGGAGAATGGACACTGGGAAAACGTCGACGACGAAATCTAGAGGAATAGAGAGATAGAGACGGTGATGACGGAAGGATAGAGGTGGAGAGGGTTGTAGGGGGGTTGATGGGGGGTCGTTGGGGGGGGCGGGTGGAAGAGGATTCTACTGTCTCGCAGTTTCACGAGATCTCAGGGAGTACCTTTATGCACTCGGTGAGCATTTTCGGGTACACGACATGCTTGGGTTATGGAGTAACTGCAATGGCAGTGATGAGAGGGGTGGGTGAAAGGGGGTGGATGAGGAGGGTGAGGAGTGAGTTGGGTTCGTAAGCACCGGTGGACCAAGTCTTCATCGCTATTGTTGGGGTTCATGGTACCGGTGTGTTGCATTGCACTGAATACTCGACAATAGGTTCCAGATGGGGGGTGGGTTGGGGACACGAGGGGATGGATGGGGTGGTTGAGGGGGAATGGAGGGGGCGAGTGCTGCTGAGTGATCTCCGGGACGATCAACGGTTTCAGGTTAGGTATCTCGGATTTACTGCTGGAAAGTGAGGGTGGAAGGGGTGAAAAGGGGGTGGAAGAGGGAGGACGTTTTATTTGGGGCACTTATCTCTCTCCGCTTTGTCTCTCTTTTTTTTTGTGTCTCCTTTTTTTATTAAAAAAAGTTATATTCATTTTCGGGGATGGAGAAAGTTTACGGAGGAAATTGAATGAGTTTATCTTTGTTATTGGGAGTTTTTCCACGGAGTGGAATATTTATTTCGGTTTTGGGGATGAGTGCGGGGGTGGCGGGGATTTTTGTGAAAAATCAGCCCGAGGAGAAGTTTAAATCGGTTCGAGTCCTGTATGGGCGATTGTTAATTGATGGGTGGGAGGGATTTTGGGTTTGGGGGATCACCCGTTGTTATTAAATCTTTTTTGTTCTTTTTTTGGCGTGGGAGTGGATTTTTTTTTTTTCAGGGAATTCGGGAGGGGAGTATATTTGGAATCGCGCTTTCACGTTTCGATGAGTTGGAGGCATTGACGTGTAAATACTTTTATATGTGTTTGGCTGACCTGATCTGGCATTTTCCACTT